CCCCCCCCCCCCCCCCGGACATGAGCCCCACCCACTAACTCGCTGGCTCATGCAGACGAACCTCGCCACACTCACTCATGTGCACACACCACCTGGACGGACCGGACCATAGGCAGGCGGTGGAGTGGACGGACGGACGGACACGCCGTGTGCAGCACACACAGCCCGTCTGGCGTGCCCTTAATCACATGTGGCGCGCTCAGACGTCTGGTGCACCACGTCAGATGCGGCCAGCTTGTCGATCAGCGGCTTCGGCTCCCTCTTCACCTGCAAGGATGCCATCCATATTATCCACATGTATGTGTGTGTGTGTGTGTGTGTTGTCTCTCTCCAACTTACGCACCTACCAGCGCCTGTTGCCACACGCGAGGGTCGCTACGCGCCAGCCGAAGCACACTGAACAGACAGAGGGATGAAGGCATGTGCCAAGGACAGACCGACCAGGCAGTGTTACTGACCTCGGTCCTTGGGAGGGAGGGACACGCAGCCATTGCTCCTCAGGACGGCCATTTTGTTTGGCCTGGCAGTCGCCCTCCACTGCAGACAGCATCTACCATACCAGCAACACGCGATGGATGGCTCAACGCCCTGCAGGGCCCGGCAGCCATCCACACGAACGAAACACAGCAGAGATCTGACTGACATCTCTGTGTATGTGAGGTGGTTGCAGACCTGTCCATCCGCTCTTTCATCTTCTGTGAGGGCTGCTCAGCTCCACGGAGGTGCGGACACGGCGCTCATCATCACCTGGGCTGATTGTTGGTCGCCGTCGAATGTAACCATCATCTCATCGTTTTCGCTCTGAAGTTGGTCGGATCAAGATCACCGACGAGGGTCATCACTACGCCGCGCCATCACGGACCGCCACAAAGCGACGCAGCACCTTCAAGTTGAGCTCGCAAGCTCGCCGATTGGAGCAACGCAAAGTAAGGACCGCTGTGCGTCGTCCAGTGTGTCGTTTGACGTGTGTTGAGGTCCGTATCGAAGCGAAGCGAATACTGGCTCGCCCGTTCCTTGTGCCCCGTGGTTTGTTGGTTTGTTTGTCGTCTGGCGTCGGGGCGATGTCGGCCAACGAGCGTCCGATCCAGTTGACGTTTCTGACGACCAAGGCGGGGTTCGCGCAGACGTGCCGCATTGAGGCGGACGAGGGCGAGACGCTGCAGAGCATCATCGAGACGAAGCTCAAGACGATGCTGCTGGTGTGGCAGATAGCGATAGACAAGGCGGACGTGAAGCTCTTCAAGATTAGGGACGGCAGGGACCCAATCCAGCTCGATGTCAAGCTGCCTGTGGCCGGCAACGGGCTCGTTCAGTCGGACACCATCAAAGGTACGTCGGTGTCTGAGCGGGCAGACGGGCGCGGGAGAAGGAGAAGAAAGGGCAGGTGTGTGTGCGTGTTGTCACCGTGTGTGTTGTGTGTGTGTTAACTGCAGTTGTGGAGGAGCCGCGTGACGACGACCCTTTGGGTGAGGGGCTGGACAAGAGCGGGGAGGCCTACGACCTCGCTCCGGTGCCATCAGACCAGTTCGGCGTAGAGGACGTTGAGGTAACGAACGACCAGACACCCCGCACACGACACAGCAAACACACCATCATCACCCTCCCATCAGTGTGTCCGTCTGCTTCTCTCTCTCGTCCATTTGTCAGTGGAGGAGTCGCAACCAGTTGCGTGCGCAGCAGCTGGCGGCCATGGCCCCCGGGCAGGTCATCCACGCGCGGCGCGTCATCAACGACGAGATATGCGACGACTATGATGAGGAGGACCAGCACGAGGCGCACCCAGAGTGGGACACCGACGAGCCCAACGAGGGAGGGGGCGAGTGGGGGGAGGGGGAGGGCGAGGGGATGGGGGAGGGCGAGGGGATGGGGATGGGGGAGGGGGCGGGGGCGGGAGAGGGCGAGTACTTGCCCGACCCATCGCAACACCCATATGGCGTGCCCGAGGCTGAGTATGTGAGTGCGCCGCCAAATGGCCATGGAGAGTGAAAGAGTGTGACTAAAGGACGGCCGCTGGCTCCCTCGTCGCGTGCAGTGGGCCATTTTTTGGGGGCACGGGTAGAGTAGATGGAGGGACGGAGGGGTGGAGGGGCGTCCGTGTGTGTGTGTCTGTGTGCGTGTGGTATTGCGTGTCGCATGTGGGAGAACACAGCTTTTGAATAAAGAGGGAGGGAGGGAGGGAGGGGTGTGCATATAACAAACATAAAAGACACACGCGTCCACATACATCTGTGCAGATCAGATTCGATTGTTACCCTCTCGGCCTTCCTTGACGTGATATTTGTTTCCGTGACTTGCTTGCGTCCTTTCCTTCACCTGTCTGGCAGCCACGCAATGCACCACGCTCCAACAGCAGCATGGTGCATTGCGTCGCCGGCAGTCGGGCGAAGGAGGGGACACGTGCAAGACGGCGAATGGAGATGAACAAACAGACAGACAGACAGACAGACACACACACAGACACTCAGAGCTGGCTTGAACTCTCTCTCTCTGTGTTGTGTTGTTGGTCTTGATCGTCCATGGCTGCTTTCGCGCCTCCATGCAGGAGTGTCTGCGCTTCTGACTGGAGTTACGGAAGTCGCCCTGGATTCTCAGGTCTGCAACACACGTGCAGGAAGCGAGAAATGGTATGGCCCATTTTTTGTACTTTCTGCGATTCTCTCTGCTGCACGTCCCTCCCTCCCTCCCTCCCTCCCTCTCTCCCTGCCGTGTTCATGGCGATGATACCTACATACCGACCCACCCCGATTCCCTCCCTCCTCTCACTGTGCAGTCCACACCATCAGTCAGTCAACTCATGGCTTCCCTCCCTCTCTCTCTCTCTCTGTCTGCCTTCCATTTCATTGCATTCCATTCCATTGTACGGTGCGTGACAGACCTGTGAGTGACCTACACACGATATGTGAAGACGACAAGAACGATCACACACAGACAGACACACGGAACGCGTGGACGTCTGGCTGTCTGCGTGTGTCTGTCTGTGTGTGTGTGTGTGGTTTTGTGTTGGTACGTGTCCGTCCCTCGGGTGTAAAGCTGTCTTGTGTGTTGCTGCTAGCTCTGACCGAGAGGGGCATGTGTGGAGGGGAGGGGTGTGGGGTCCATTCCTGTGTGCGAGCGGACATTGTGAATTCAATGGCGCCTTAAATTCGCCCTCATCCATCGCGACTGACTGCTCAGTGCTCCCTCTTTCCATAAAGACTCCACAATGACGTACGTGTCCATCCTCCATCCATCCACTCCATCCATCAGTCACACCCCCGTCCACCCAGAGGCTACGCTCGTGTGAAGACACACTCATCAGTGAGTGCATTGAGACAAATACATACAGCTGACCCTCCCTCTCGTCGTTTGCGGAAGCCAGCACATCCATCCATCCATCCATCCACACTATCGCATTACATTTGGGTTCCAGCTCGTGGCGGCACGATCACCAGACCTAACAGGACCCCGGGGCCCACACATACGCATCCACCAGATGGAAACGAATGTCATGTGCTGTTTGTTGTGATATTTGTGGTATACATACCTGCCTCCCCATCCGCCTCCCCCGCCCCGTCCCCCTCGCCCCCCACGGCCGCCACGACCGCCACCACGGGTGTCGTGGCCACCTGCACACACACACACTCACACACGAAAAGGATCTTCTCATACTTATGGTTTGGTCTGGCGCCTTCCCCTCCTTGTACCTCCGTGCTGCTGGTACTGCTGCTGGTATTGCTGCTGCTGCTGCTGCTGGTAACCCCCCGGCTGCTGGTACTGGTATGCAGCCTGCTGGTCCCAGGCCTGCTGCTGGTGGTAGGCTGGCTGTTGCTGATACTGGTAGCCTTGCTGGTGCTGCTGGTATTGGTGTGCTTGCTGCTGGCCCCACTGGCCACCGCCGCCTCCCCCTCCTCCATATCGTCCGCCGCCTTGGTCGTAGCTGCCACCTCCCCCACCATACCTGCCGCCCCCCTGGTCATACGACGCAGCTGCTGCCGGTGCACCACCGCCTCCGCCGTATCGCCCGCCCTCATCATAGCTCCCCGATGAGCCGTATCGGCCTCCCCTGCCCCCTCCTCGTCCGCCTCCGCCGTATCGGCCGCCGGCTTGGTCGTAGCTCTGGCTCTGTTGGTAGCTGGGCTGCTGGTGGCCACCACCACCACCACCACCACGGCCGCCGTAGCGCCCGCCGCCCGACTGGTCGTAGCCTCCGCTGCCCACTCCCTGGCCGCTGCCCGTCCAGCGCTTTTCGCCGTCCTGACCTGAGGCACGCTCCGCCTGGGCGCTGAGCGAGAGGAGAGGAAAGGGCGAAGGATACAAATGGTGTCTGTGAGGGTGTTCCGGGTGGATCCATGTCTCACCGTTTCTTGGCCATGGCCTCGCGTTGGTCTTTCTGCTGCAGGGCGATGTTGGCCTGCAGGACAGAGTGAAGGGACATGGTATGGTGTCGTTCGTGTGTGTTGGAGGGGAGCCAGATGCATGGCTGTGTGTGGCGGGTGTTGTATGTACCTTTGCGACATCCCTGCCGACATCCTGGTGTGTGTAGCCCTCGGGCACTCCGCCACGATCTGGCACCTGCAACCATACCACACACCCACTCTCCTGTGGGCCCATCTGCTGCCTGTGCGCCTGCTCACCTTGCCGATGGACACTGTCTTGAGTTTCGACTTGACGGCATGCTCGGTCGACACGCTCTTGGACTCCAGCAACGACCTGCAGACACCCACACACACGAACAAGGGTAAGGTATTGCCTTTCTGCAATCCGTCCCTCCGTCCGGCCATGTGAAGCGTACCGTACCTGTCGGCGGCGAGGACGTCCCAGAGAAAGAACTTGGTGTGAGTGACTTCATCCTTCCACTCAACCATGTCCTGCAGTGCCTTGGTCAGCGCATCCTCGTACTCCTGCGCCTTGGACGACCACAGAAACGCCTATAACAGCCACACACACACACACAGACATGGTGGAAGTGAATGTGGCTCTCTCTCTCTGTGTGTGTGCGTGTGTGTGTGCGTGTGTGCCTGTATGGTGACATCCAGGCGGCGCAGGAGGACTTTGCGCCGCATCTCGTATTCCTCGTTGAGCGACGTCGCTATCTGTTGGACTTGTTGCTGAAGAGGGCGACAACAGCTTCATCACAATGCCATGCCGTGCGATGCATTCGTTCACTATGTGTTTTCGGCTGGCTGACCATTTTGGATGGGTCAGCCTTCCACTTGGGCAGCAGCAGGTGGTGGCTGGGCAGCTTCTTGATCTTGTCGAGATCGCTCTCCAGCTGAGCACAGACAGATGCCAGCCAGTGTTCGGTGTGCTACTGACAGATTGGCCCGATACTCCTATGCCATGCAATCTGCCTCTCGCACAGCTGTCGGTATGCGGTGCGTGTAGCAGAAGCCCAGCAGCCCCTCTCGCGAGCTCCCTTCTTATACACCGTTGCTCTGCCTGCGTGTCCGTCCCTCCCTACGACCCACCCACCCCCGCTGACCTGGTCAGCGACCTTGTGCATGAGTTTGCCGTCGATTTTGAGGTCGCCCTCGGTGTCTGTCATATCACCCAGGCCCTCAATCAGACCACGCACAGTCTTCTCGATGTCCTCGAGAGCTGGCGCCTCCTGCAGGACAGCAATTGACCAGTGGCTGACGTGCTCTCGCTGGTCGTGTGTGTCGTACCGTTGGCAGCTCGATGGTTTCGTGTAGAATGCGGCCGGCGCCGAGGCGACACACATGGAGGTCGATCATGATCTCATCTGAAGGACCAACAGACAGCACAGCACCTGCAGGCAGGCTGCAGGCCTTCTGCCAGACATCTGTTACACAGCATGGTGGCCCGGTTCTTGAAGTCGTCGAGGGCCGAGGAGTCGGTCGGATCGAAGCCGAGAAGGTAGCCTGAGGGAGGGAGGAAGGACGAAGGGGTGAGAATATATGAGGATGTGTTGACTGTGTAGATCTTCTTTTGTACCTCTGTCCTTGGCGAATTGGCACACAGACTCCATCGTTGGCTCGACGGGATTTGCATCGCTCATCTGCATCAACAGGGACAGACAACCCATCAAAGGATGTCACGACTGACATCAATGCAGCACTGCCGTCGTGTCGTTCCTCACCTGGGTGTCCAGCTGCCGTATCTCATCGGCCAGCTGCACCATTCAGCAGACAATGCAAGCCGGCTGCAGGTTGCCTGCCACGAACATGCTTTGCACGAGCGCTCTCACCCACCTTGTGTAAGAGGAGAGGGAAGCACCCATCAGAGAGCAGCAGCAAGATCTCGTGGCTCTGGTGCGCCTTGACAGGCCTGAAACAAAGCAAAGGCAAACAGGGCTGGCTTGTCATGGCGCCTTCATTGCTGTGTCCGCTGGTGGTGTTGGGAGTGCTCCTACCTGCCATTGAGCGTGGTGACCAGCGTGCCGAAGCACGAGTGGAGCTCATCCGCTGGAATGGGAAGCGCCATGGCGAGCCGAGTGTCAAACTCGACGGAAGCGCGGCAGATGTCGAGGCTCTTTCTCTGGAGAAGCAAAAAAGCTCGCCTCACTGTGCGCGTTCGTTCGTTCCCTTCCTCCCCCCCCCCCTTTTCCCGTCGTCTTCTTCTCGTCTTCTCTGTGACAAAGATCCATGGATCTCTTATCTGCCTCGCTTCAACGCGGTGAAATGACTGATTCGATGAATCTGCTTCAGCTCGGAGGACGATGGCGCTTTGCGGACCGGGTGCATTTGTTCGGCTGAATGCGCTGTGCTATTTGCCGCCTTGGATCTTGGCTGCTCTTCCTGCTCTGTGGCTTCACGCGGCTGGTTATGGGTGTTCGGAGGAGCCCGTCTTCATCGCTGGAACCGCACAGACGGCTGTGCTTCTCTGTGCCGCGCGCCACGGGGATGCCTATACCTTCTGCAATGAGGCGTTCGACGAGGCTTACTCGGCAAGCCACCAAGTCTGATGCTGCACCGCAACTTGTGAGGCTCACTGGGCGGCAGGACGTGCCACTGGAAGAGTCGATCCGGTCGTCGAGGACCTTCACGGAGATGCTCAGCCGGCTGTCATCCGTTCGCAGCGATGTGTCCTCAGCTTCCTCACTGCCCTCTGGCCTCAGCTTCGCAGAGCTCTTGGCGGTGCTGTCGAACACTGCCCGCTTCTTCCGCATGAAGAGAGGCGGCACCAACCTGCCGCTGCCCGCTGAGCGGAAGACCTTTGCTGGCTTCCTCGCATCGCTGATGCGTGAGCTGCACTCGTCGGCCAAGACGTCACTGGACGGCCGCGTCAAGGTGGACGATGCCGTCAGCGCCGTCTATGACGTCGGTACACTCGCCCCTGAGGTGGAGAGGGACAAGGCTGCCCAGAAAGACGCCAGCAACTTGATGCTCTTGCTGAGCGGCCACCTCTACAAGCAACGGGATAGTCCTGGCGTGATGAAGGCCATTGATACGCTGGATGGGTTTGCCCGCTGCTTGTCGTTCTTCAAGGCGCCTGAGGATCACTTGAAGCGTCTCCTGGGGGACACTAAGTCAGATCTTGCTTCACTCAAGTCTGTGGGAAAGGCCATCGTGCTGCTGAAAGCTGTGAAGCAACTTGTTCCCGTCAAGTCCAGACTGTGGCCTTTCCTCACCCAGTGGCTCTATTCGTTTGTCGGCGGCTTCGCCATGCGGATCAGCGAGCTCTCGTCCATCCAACTGGTCGATATGGTCAAGACGATCGCGCAGCTCCGCGTTCGTGTTGACGAGTCCAGCGCGCCCTCCCCAGAAGCTTTTCGCGAGGCTCAGTCGTTCATGAGAAACGTGGAGATCGATGCGAGGCAGAGGATCGAGAGGGATGAGATCGACCCAGAGCGTATGTGCAGCCTTATCTGGGCTTTCGCCCATCTCCGCATACAAGACAACGACCCGCTCTTCTCTTCCGTCTTCCAGCAAAGCATCGCCAAGAAGGTCAAACGGCTGAAGCCTGGCGCTGTCGGCAACTTGGTCTTCGCCGGCAGCGTCTTCGGCCTCTGCGATGACGATAGCGCAGAAGGCCCGTCTCTGCCAGATGTCATTGAGGAGACCATTCGTGAGCGTGCGTTAGAGTTCCAGAACGCCAAGACGCTGATGGACCGGCTAGGACAGTGGCGGGAGAGGGCTTCTCGGAGGCGATTGGGGGCGTCGAAAGCAGCTCGCGCGACATCCCTTGATGAGCTCGCTGCTCTGGCTGAGTCTTTGCTGGCCAAGAACGAGACGAGTGCGGCCTATGCCGCCGCGCTGTCTTCCCTGCTACTGCGTGTGGCCAAGGTGAGTCCTGTGTCTGGCGGAGTCGACGTCACGGCCCCTCAAGTGTCACCTCAGCCGGCAGACGAGGACGAAGACCTGGAAGAGGTGATGCCTGACGAGGGTGAGGGTGATGAAGAGGAGCTCGACGATTCGTTTGTGGATGAAGCGGAGGGACAGCCGTCAGGGGAGCTGCTCGGCTCGGATGCCGACCCCCGACTCCCCTCTACGCACCCCTTCCGTCGCTGTGAGGCCTTTCAGTCTGTGTTTGACCGCTTGTGTGGCGTTTTGCAAGACTCTCCATCGGTGCTCGACTCACAAGGCCTGTCGAATGTGGTGTGGAGTGCGGGGACGCTGAAGGTGGCATCTCCCGCCTTATTCGCCGTCTTGAAGGCTGCCATCCTTCCGCGACTGGGCAGCTCAGCGGGCGCTGAAAAGATGCAGCCATTCGGCAGCACCGGTCTGACTCAGATTGTATTCGGGTTGAGCTTGCTCAAGAATCAGGTGGGTGCATCATGTGCGTGTCACTGTGGATGGAGGCTGTCTGTCTGTCTGTCTGTGGTACTTTGTGCAGGACCCTGAGCTGCTCGTTCCTCTCCTCAGCGAATGCGAAGACCATGTCGATGAGTTCCAGCCCTACGAGCTGTCACAAGTGCTCACTGCTATGGCCCTGCTCAACACAGCCCTGGATGAATCGCAGCAAGGCGCTATGAGTCCGCTGCGGGAATCGATCCTCCAGACTTCAAGGGCTGTGGTCGATCAGCTGAGGGGATCTCTAAGGGCGCTCACGGCCCGGCAGCTGGCTTTCATGATATGGTCTCTGGGTCAGCTGCGGCAGCGGTCTCGGCCTCTGCACGCAGGGCAGGTGTATGACTGGGTCTTCCTCAACAACCTGTGTTACGAGCTCCGAAACAAGTGAGTCAGCCACACGACAGCACGCGACACGGCAGCCCCTGTTCTCCTCACCAACCGCAAATGGCATGTGCTTCTGTGCAGGCTGGATTCCTTGGTCGACAAGGAGTTCCCTCTGGTCCTCGATGGGTTTGCCAGCCTAAGGTGGACCGACGAGCACGTCCTGGAGGGCATCACTGGGGAGGTGGCGAAGCTATCCAGCCGCTTCACGCCTCCTCAGCTGATTATGCTTTCGGGGGCTGTCGTCAAGCTGGGCATCACTGACAAACGACTCAACGAGGCTCTGGCCGCATCAGGTTTGCTGCAGGAAACCTGGCCAGACTGCTTTCTCATAATTGTGTGTGTCTTGTCGTGTAGTTGAGGGCGTGATTGACTCCTTCCACAGCGACACGTTCATCCCATGGCTGCTACAGTGGTTCGATGAAGGCAAACATGGTGAGGAGAAATCGATTCCCCACACCGTATGGTGGAAGTCAACCTCTTCTCTGTCGCCAGGGTCACCGGAGATGCGAATGAGACGGATGTCTCGCCGGCTGTCGCAAGCAGGCTCCCATTCCTCCCTCATGCGGGTGATCAGCAAAGAGTTCGGTGGCGTTGACCACCTACCCGCTGCCCTGATGGGTATTGTGCTCAAGCGGCTGCTGGAACTTGACCTGTGCCACCAAGAGGTGGAGGAGCGTCTTGACGAGGCGTCAATTCGATGCGTCGAGAGGGAGTCTGCATCCGTGAGGGAGACCCTCGCCGCGAAGGTGGCGGGCATCGCTGACGTGCTGCGCCAAGACACTGCCATCCCGATGAGGGTACGAAGGGAAGAGGCAAACCAGTTCTCTCTGGTTGCGGGACTGCTGCCTGTTCCCCTGCAGGGCACTCTTGACCTCGTGGACTCTGTGTATCGGGTGACGAAGGCATATCCGGCGAGCGACGACACCCCAGCAGGCTCCCTTGCCCACACCGCTGACTGCCTCCTACCTCTGCTTAAGCAGCATCTACAGGAGCGACTTGGGTCTGCCGACCTGCTTGTGGGCAGGTCGGACACACACCCTTCGCCGCACCACCTATCTGACGAGGCTTTCAAGCAAACGGCGAAGGTCTGCTCCAGCCTCAGCTGGACCGATCGGGGGCTGGTCGACCCGGCAAGTGACGCGTTGCTGCGGCGGCTGGAGATGTGGAGGCTAGGTGTGAGGGAGCCCATGTCGCTGGACACACTCCAAAGGGTGGTTGGGTGGCTCTCGTGGGCACAGATGGCACCCAGCCGCCTTCAGCCCAAAGGCGAAGCTGAAGAGCATGGCTTGACCGATTCGCGTATCCGGGGCCTGGTAGAGGCGCTGTCACAAGTGACGTGGCACATGGTGGTGGAGAGGAGTGCTCTGGACGAGGTGCTGCGCTTCGGCCGGGCGCTGGCGCCCCTGTTGGTCGCCCACGATGAGGCGGACAGCCGCGATGACGAGACAAGGGCGTCGCAGATGAGCCTCGCCTTCTGCCAGCGGATCCTGCCTTCTGTCCGGCTGCTGACGAAGGAGAAGGATGGCCGAGCGCTTGGAAGGCTGCTGGCTGTTGCGAGTCGGCGCACTCCGGACGTCATTCAGTTCGCCGTCAATGAAACCCTCGCCATGCTCGAAGGTACGCACCTTCGATGACGACACCAAGAACACGGCAAGTGGCGCTGTTCTCAGGTCGTGACATGGGCACTGTTTCCTTCAAGGGCAGGGCCCGCGCGTCTCGTGCCTTCTCGGGGCTGGTGGACGGGCTGCTGACGAGGCCCGAGGTGGGCGAGACCTTCATGCAAGCCCTCATGCAAGCGGCTCAGGACCGCCTGCCCTCTCTACTGTTCGATAGCCTCATCAATTTGATACTGGCGACGGAGCGGTGAGAATGAATGCACACACAGTGGCATCGTTGACAATCTCGGGATCGTGTTATGCGTACGTCAGGGTATTTGGGTGGCAGTCGCATCGCTATTTGCTGGCGGAGAGGCGGGTGCGAGACCTGGTGCAGCAGTGCCTACGCGAGGCGGTCATGCGCGGCCCCGGGCTTTCGCGACACGAGACACTCAAACTACTCACGACCTTCTCGCAGCTTGGGGTGAGCCATTTCGACACCATTTTGCCCTCCGTTGGCATATGTTGTCCCCCTTCAGATGTGTTTCGATGACTACACTCGCTATGCCCTTGACGAGCTGGAGCCCTCTTTGCCATCCATGCCGCCAAAGGCACTGGCGTCGCTCGCGTCCTGCATGGGACAGCTTGGTCTCACTGAGGACCCATATGCGTCGTTCTTCCAGAAGATCGCCTTTGTCGCCACGTCGCGGGCATCCGAGTTCACGAGGCCGCAGGAGGTGTCCATCATCTCACGTGCGCTGTCGATCGCCGGTGTGTACGACGAGGAGTGGTTCGCCCATGCCCTCTCTCTCAACTGGACGGCCGCGCTGCCCCACACGCTTCTGAGGATGAGGGCGGCATGTGTCGGGTATCTCTTGGAGGGCCGGCAGGCGGGAAGGGCCACTGTCGATGACGAGGAAATCTCGGACACTCTGCTGGCCATCGCAACCAGCCAAGGGTGGGCAAGCAGACCAATACATGACTCGGTCAAAGGCCCATTCCCACTGCTGTCATCTGTGTGGTTCTGTGCAGGGCGTTTATGGATGTCAGCAGCCCCTCTCCGGTGTCGCGGAGTCAGCAGGATCTCTACTTCCGACTGGCGCACATATTCGAAGCCATGTCGCCTGTTCTTCCTTCGGCGAGGCGCAGCGGCAAAAACAGCCCTGGCCTGCCGATGAGGTGGGAGGTGTTTCAGGAGCACCACACGGACTTCAACCTCACCCTGATTGATGTGGCCATTGTCGGCACGCCGGTGGGAGGGCGTGGGGATGTGCCCCTGGTCAAGGTGGCGGTGGAGCTCGATGGCCCACACCATTTTGTGGAGCTGCTGGGCTCCTCGCCAGTGCCACTGGCGCGCGTCAATGGATACACTCAGCTCAAGACAAGGTCAGCAGACTGAGGGCCGGGAGGGGCCTGGTGTCAATGGATGGGTGTGTGTGTGTGTCGTGCAGGCTGTTGTCAGCGATGGGGTGGCGGGTGGTCAGGGTGCCCTGGTGGGAGGCAGCGACGCTGGCGAGCCAGCATGCGGGCGACGCGTACCTGTTGAGCAGGGTGGAGGCGGCGATAGGCCCATTCGTGTTTGTGCCAGTCGATGTGGAGAGCAAGGACAGTCTAGAGGCTGTCGCGTCTGTGTGACAATGCAATTGCCACTGCATGTGCCCTCGTGGCTGCACGGCGCTGGGGCGGATCATGCCGCAGAAAGTGTCCAGATGCAAAGGCACTCGCACAAGCCGTGGCCAGGATGGACGTGGCCAGCTTGGGGCGGTTGCAACCACACATGTCCTTTCTGACGTCATGCACGCTGCCAGCACCACAAGCATGACGCCTGAGCCCGCAAGAGACGGCGAATATAGCGAGTAGCCCAGGGGAAAAACAGAAGGACAGGTCGGCGATCGGGCCGTTATATACTGTCCGGCGCGGGAGGGCAGGAGGTCAGACAAATGAATCTGTGAGGGGGGCGCTTCGGCGCGCGAGGCAGAAGTGTTTGGAGGACTGCAGGAGCTGAGAGCGGACGGAGCCACACAAGCCTCACATGACGTGCGTATGGCAGTGAGGGTGTGGAAGACCCCTCATTGTCAATCTGCAGACCGCTGCTACTCTTCTCTGATCACCGCTCTGGTGAGGTGTCAACACTGCTCATATGGGCCGGCTGCTGAGGGGCTCTCTCGTCCTCGCCGCCCTGCTCCTCTGCGCAGCCCTGCCCGACGATGGTAGGCCGCCACACACAAAGCAGGAGGGACACGCAGACGGCACAACACGCACACTCTCTCCATTCGTGTGATTGTGCGTGATAATCAGAGTACGGCTCGATCAAGTCCCCCTCGGTGCCGAAGCCACCGCCCAAGATTGACTCCGCCCTCCACCTCATTCAGCGCATCCGCAATGGCGGCCCCGGTGACCGCGCCCAGTCGGCCTACGGCCTCTATGTGTCACAGGGCCGGTCTCACATCATTCGAACGGTTGACGAGGACCACGTCATTATCGATGCGGTGGCGACCAACGACACGGCGGCCCTGCTGGCCGACCTAGAGGAGGTCGGCATGAAGGGCGGCGGGGCCTATCACCGGTGGGTCAGCGGATGGCTGCCCATCCGTGCCATCCCCAACCTCGGGCAGCTGTCGTCGCTCCACCACGCGAGCCCCGCTGCCGTGGCCACACAGGCGGGCATGAAGAGGATGGACATTCTTGTGGAGAGGGACATCAAGAGGCGGCTGCTGCAGAGGCAAGAAGAGGGAGAGGGCGGTGAGAAAGACGAGGGCGCCATGTCCGGCTTTGACCAGGACAAGGTGGCCAGCGATGCGATTGAGAAGAAGATTCAGCTGGGGCTGAGGTCGCCCCCAGCTGCCTTCAGGCCCCCGGCCGAGGACATCATTCCGCCGCCATTCCAGGACATTGTCCCGCCGTTTGCCGGGCAGGAGCCGTTCATCCCCTTCCCAGGGAGCCCCAATGTCAGCCCTAAGCACAAGCAGGGGAAGGGCAAGGGCAAGAAGCACAAGAAGGGCAAGTCGGGCAAGCAGGGCAAGAAGGGCGGCGGGGCCATGGGCGGGAACGGCAAGAACAAGAAGTGGAAGGACAAGCAGCACCGCTTCAAGGAGCACAGCTGGACCAAGGGCACCATGGTCAAGGAGGGGGAGAGGGGCAGCATCGTCTCGGAGGCCGACGCCGCAATGGGCACCGACCAAGTGCGGGCCACATACAACATCGCAGGCGAGGGCATGACCATCGGTATCCTCTCGGACTCATTCGACAAGGCCAGCGGCCTCAGGACCGACGCCGACCAGGACATTGAGGACGGCAATCTGCCCGACATGGGGCAGATCAAGATCCTCAAGGAGGGACCGAGCGGGTCGGACGAGGGTCGCGCCATGATGCAGCTCATCCACGACATCGTCCCGCGAGTCGACTACCTCTTCCACACGGCCTTTGCGGGCCTTGCAGACTTCGCTGCGGGCATCGACAAGCTGGCCGACAAGGAGGTGGACGTCATGACCGATGACGTCATCTACTTCCGGGAACCCATGTTCATGGACGGTACACACCGCACACACAGCATTTGATTCCGACACATGTGCGCATTTCTTCGGTGTGTCTCATTCACTTAGGTCCCATCGCACAGGCAGTTGACGACGCGTACCGTCGTGGCATCCCCTATTTTTCCTCTGCGGGCAACAACGGCCGGCAGGGCTACAGCAGCGAGCTGAGGCTCTCTGACAAGAAGGGCGTCAACGGCGGCATCGCACACGACTTCGACCCAGGCAGTGACGTGGCCGATCGGCAGAAGGTGACCATCCCTGTCGGCTCGCGGATGCTGCTGGTGATGCAGTGGGATGAGCCGTACTACTCAGTGACGGGCGACGAGGGATCGCAGAGCGACCTGGACGTCTACCTGCTCGACGCCAAGGGCAACGCCGTCAGCTATGGCGGCAACAGCAACAACATCGACGGCGACCCCATCGACATGTTCGAGTACTTCAACGACGGATACGTCGACGAGGACGACGATGACGGCGCCGACGAGACGTTCTACCTGCAGATCGTCAAGGACAGCGGCAGCACCCCCACCCGCGTCAAGTACGTCATGTTCGGCTCCAGCAGCGTCAAGATCGAGGAGTTCGCCGGCGAGTACACGGGCACCCTCTACGGCCACGCCAACTCGCACGGCGCCATGGCCGTGGGCGCGGCATTCTACGCCAACACGCCCTACTACATCAAGAAGATGCGGGGCACCAGGGGCGAGGATGACGACGATGACAACGCCAAGAAGAAGCTGGCCGTCAAGCCAGAGACATTCAGCTCGGCGGGACCGCAGGCGATCTGGTTTGACAACGACGGGAAGCGCCTCCAGACGCCCGTGCTGCGGCAGAAGCCGCAGGTGACCGCGCCCGACGGATCGAACACCTCGTTCTTCATCCCCGGCGTCGAGTAAGGGATCAAAAACCCGCCAGATTGCCGTCATGTCTCGCTCCATGGCTGCTGTGTCTTGTGTATGTGTGTGTGTAGTCCTGAGGACGACGGTTATTTTAATTTTTACGGGACGTCAGCTGCCGCGCCTAACGTGGCTGCCGTGGCCGTCCTGATGAAGCAGGTCAACAAGAGCCTCAAGCCATCGCAGCTCTACAACATACTCATGGAAACGGCATCCGACATCGACGGTATGCATTCATTGACTGCAGACACACAGACGGGAGGAGCAGAGAACAGCCGAGGCACATACGGGTGCATGTTCATGTCTGTGTGTGTCTGTGTGTCTCTGGCACAGATCCTGAGCATGAGGAGCAGCAGAAGGGTTTCGACTATAGCACTGGTGCGGGCCTCATCGACGCTCCCGCTGCCTTTAAGGCCCTCAAAACCAGATGTATGTATGAAACAATCCATTCAGGCAGAGACGAGACGCCACCACACGCCCATGTGTCTATTGGTTGACGTGGCGCGTGTGCACGTGCAGCCGAGTACGAGATGTCGGCGTCTTTTGGCGGCGAGAACCCAGCTGAGTACTGCCGTCAGATGAACGGCATCTTCGACCTGGACTCGGACGCCTGCTGCCACAGAGGTGGGCCCGGCACGACAATACGCTCTTGACGCAGACAGACGTCATGTGTGTGTCTATCAGATTGCGGTTCGTGTGGCAACGAGGATGATGGTGACGTCAAGTGCGAGGCGCGGCCACTGGGCGTCGACTGCTGCATCGATACGGCCAAGGACATGGACGACGACTGCATCAAAGCCGCTGGACCGCCCTGCATCTTTCCGTAGCCATCCTTGGCTGTCTGCCTGTCTTGCTTCCCCCCCCTTCTCACCCCTCATCTGTGTATATGCGCTGGCGTGTATAGCCTCTCTCTCCATGTCAGCCTACCCGCCTGCCTGTCTGGCCTCGATCGCGAATATCGTATACATATGCTGAGGGGATTTGTCAAGTCTGTCTGTTTGGCCGTTCCCTCCCTCACCATGTGCATGTCTGTCTTTAGTGTGAGGAGCCTCGTGTCTGTATGGCGGGAGGGGTGCAAGCGTGTATGCGCAGCAAGTTGTGGATACGGTGCCAGACATCTGTAGGTATTGGTCTACTTGTGTCGATAGGTGCCAGCAAACTAACTCTTTGTGGTCATACGGAGATGGACAGACAGACAGACAGACAGACACACACGGTTGCGTATGATGGTTACGTGTTCGATCTGTGCCGCATACATACTGATCTAACATATACACATACATATATACATATATCGCATGTTGTACATGCGGCCGTGCTGCGTGTACGTGTGCACGTGTGTGTTCGTGCGGTTTGCGTTTCGTCTATCTATCGCATGGCATGAATGACATGTGGCGTGTTGATGTCCGTGTGCGTGTGGATGGTGCTCGATCCATGATGGATGGACTCGGACTAAGTATATGTACGTGTGTGTGTGTGTGTTTGTGTACCTGCGGGTGAGAGACAAGGGATTCAACGTCCATCCCATCTTTTCATCAAGGTGGGGTTCATCCGTCCACGGCCCAGTCAGTCAAGTCTTGTTACCATCGCACACACACACACACACACACAGACACGTGTGCGCGCAGCGCATGTGTGCACGCACACGCGAATGAATGGAGAAGAATGAATTGTGTCCGCAAACAGCAGCAGCAGCAGCACCAGCAATGCATGCAGGGAGGCACACAGTCGGGAGATGAGGAGGGAGGGAGGGAGGGAGGGAAGGAGACAAGGGCGGGAAGCATCGAAGCAGCAGCTAGGCGACCATACACGGCTGGCGGGCGATTGGGCATCCATCCATTCATCCATCCATCCATCCACACACATCCGTACACATCCCACCGACTCACCATCACCACTCACTCACTCACTCATCAGTCGGATAAATGTGGAGGTACGCATTATTGTTATTATGTATGTATGTATGTATGCATGTATGGTGTACGCAGATATGTATGTATCATGGGATGTGTGTAAGAAAGCAGGCAGCCAGCCAGGCAGGAAGGCAGATGCGCCATCCCGTCCATCCATTGTGAGTGATTGGACCGCCCGGATATCGATCCATCAGGCCGCCGGCCAGACGAGGCGAGGCTGCCTGAATGAGAGAAAGAAGAATGACAGCAAGCCAAGCCAAGCAAGGGAGAGGGACGAGCAAGACAGAAAGAAGCCACCATTCAATCAATCAAGTCAGCCCGTCGGCCCATCAATCAGGAAACACCAGCACGTAAGACTCTCTCAAACAGGAGAATGAAGCACGGGCAGGAAGGAAGCCAGCAAGAAAGAGAGAGAGACGGCAGGGATCGCATGGCTGCATGGATGGATGAGCCGAAATCCCGTCCAAATCGGTAACGCCAGCCGCCCAGCAAGGGCAGCAGGCAGGCAGGCAGGCAAGCAAGCAGCCAGGCAGGTAAGAACATGGTGGCCTTGTCTGTCTGTCTGTCTCTCGAGAGACATTCAGACAGATGGGCCGACGGGCAGGCATTTACACAAATACAAGTGTGCAAGATACGCCTTCGCCCCGCCCCTTCACACATACACTCACCAGAGGTAGGTGGGCAGGTCTGCCTCCCTCTCCCTGTCTTCCCATCGGTCCATTGCACTCTCTCATGTAAACATGGACCACGTAAACAGCTCATGGCGCGGCGCTCGTCCCACAAGTGAGTGAGTGTCGATCATGCCAGGTAAAAAACTACCAACCATTGAGTGTACCACACCACATCACACCACACCACACGACGGGATGGATCGCTCCAATCCAATTTATAGCTACACACACACACACACCACACACACACACACACACCCGACAGGCTCACGCGCACCCCCGCGTGAGCAGACCAGCCACAGCACCCACATCACACAACACGCACATCGCCTTCATGGTCATGAGACACTCTTCTTCATTGGAAAAACAGCAAAGCACGTGCCGATGCACCCACTGCACACATCCATCCATCCATCCGTCCATCCATGGGACCTCGCTCCCCTGTATCTGCCCGCCTCACTCACCCACTCACACGGCTACCTACAGGCCTTACCGCACCCACCCATTCCCCTCCCTGCCTCCCGTCTACAAACACCAACACCAGCTAGATTGCAACATCCATTCATCGCTGTGCTAGCTCAAACACCAAAATGCCCCGCCTGTTTACCATACCATAACGACTCGGCTCCTCTTTTCTTCCTCAGTACCAATCACGCATCGATCGCATAAGGCAGACAGAGACATGGACCAGAGAGGGGGAAAGTAGATGACAAGTGAATGACCAGCGCGAAACGAATGGCAAAACCTCTCTCCCTGACGGCAACAACAATCAAACCTGATGTATGTCTGTCGTCACTTCATGGTGTCCACCCGCGGACTCACTCCGGTCACTCAGTCAAGAAGAAGACACACAGACACACACACACACACACATTCACACACACTCAGATGCGTGGGTCCCTGTCAGCGGTGCGGTCGATCGCGCCAAACAAGCATCCGTCCATCCAAATGCAAACCAACAACAATGCAAACAACACCTCTGGCCAACGCAGCTAGTCCGTCTGTCTGTCTGTCTATATAAAAACCAGCGTGTATGTGTGTCCTGGGGGGACGGGCGCTTACACGTACACACACATGCATGTCGAGTGAGTGGGTGAGACAAAATGGATGGCCCCACACAGAGAAAATACTGGCAGCAGCAATCGTGGGCGGGCGAGTGGGTGAATGGGTGGGCAAGGGAAGCATGCATCATGGCGTCATTACCGGCAGCAGCAGCAGCAGGAGGAGCGTCATCACATAACTACGTAAATGCAGCGCAGCCATATGAGTGGTCGTAAACCGCAAAGTGGATCGCAGAGAGAGAGAGAGAGAGTGAGTGAGAGTGAGAGTGAGAGAGGGCAGGCGCCGGTGAGCAGCGAAGGGACGACCGACACTCATTGTTCCATTCATCCACTGTGAATTCATCCATCCACTCATTGGTTAAATAAGCCGGCCGGCCAATCAGCCAGCCAGCCAGGCAGCCAGTCTGTCCTCCGCTCGCTGCCCACGGCTAGAGCAGTCAGGAGAGAGAGAGAGAGAGAGCCAAAGAGCGCTAGAGGGGAGGAGAGAGAAACAGGGAAACACCGATCACCAAAGTGGCTGGCTGCTCGCTCGCTCACACACGCGCACATCAGCTACCTACGGCACACAAACGGATGAAATGAATGATTGACTCAATGACCGGGCGCACGCAGAAAACGCATCCATCCATCCATCCATCCGTCATGCTGAATAACGTAACGCACACACGGGCAAAAATCCCTTCCCCGTCGGATTCGCCGTTCATTGCTCGCGTACGTAGATAGATATGTACGCATGCCTGTGTATGTGTATGTGTGTGTGTATGTGTGTATGTATTTGTTTATTTGTGAGAGTGTGGGTCTCCCACAGGCACCCGCAGCAGGCAAGAAGCACCCATAGCCGCGTTTTCACACACACACACGTACTGAGTGATTAGATAGGATTTGGCTGTCCGGTCGCGACGACAAAGCGACTGACACCTGAATTAATACACACACACGTACACTCAACACACCCACACACGTACACACATACACACGCACTTGCACACACACGTAGACACGAACATGCACGCACACACAGCACACACCAGCGCCTGCCTTATGCATGTATATATGCGTCACACACCACACCACAGAAACCACACCCACCGTACCACACACCGCACGCACCACACACAGCCAAAAACGATCAGCTGGGCGACAGACATGTCGACCACGCACAAACACACGCGCAACGCAACGCAACGCAACGCAACGCATAGACTTACCTACGTCTGTCTGCCTGCCTGAATGCCTCATGCTCGGTACTGACGTACGTATACATATATGTGCGTATGCATTGATCATCGCCCCCCATTGAAACGAGTGAGCGTGGAAATAGCCAGCCAGCAAGCCAACGACACTAAACACCCACCGACGTACTCACCTCTCCCTGGCTACGTAGCAAGGCGCAGCGCAACACACGCACACGCACACGGACGAAAACCAAAGATAAAACACCATTCATTCAAGGGAAACCAAGCACCAGCAGCGATCCACAGGCAGGCAGACACAGCAAGAGGAAGGAACAGACAGATAGACAGGCAGACAGGCAGACACGCAGACAGGCAGACAGGCAGGTCGGCATGCATTTGGGGAGGTAATTAGACAGACAAAAATACCGATAGAGGTAGCACGTCAGCCAGCCAGCCAGCCAGCGAGATTCAAAGAGCCATCCAGCAAGCGACACACGCAACGCAGCGCAATGCCACGCCACACCACACCACACAACAAGTCACACACATCGACCGCCACTCTGCCCATGTCAGTGGCTTCCTCTCTCACTCAATCGAGCCTGCCTCCTCTTCAATCTCTCCAGCTGTCTTCATGTCCGTCTTTCCGTGAGGTTGATGTGTGTGCGACCGAGACAGAGGAGAGATAGAAGGCATGCCAGCTACTTGTGGACACAATCCTCCCTCCCCTCTCTCATCACACACACAAAAAACAGTACTTTGGAACAAAGCCGGCGACACACACACCCGCGCACACACACACACACACACGGGATGGAAAACCGTGTGGGCGCATCCATGGATGCAGTCATGCATCCATCCGTCTGTCCGGTAACGAGTGGCTGGTCTCGTTCGACGCATGTACGAAAAGACCAGCCTGCTTGCGTCTCTGCGCCCACTCCCTACTCCTACCTAGTTCCCCTTAGCCAGTTACATATACACCCCCGCGACGAACCCCAATTTCCCCTACCCCACCCACCCATTATACAGACATTACATACATACGTACATAGATGTCCACTCATCGCCTGTCTCTTTCACCTTCACAAGTCCTTTACTCCCTCCCTCCCTCCCTCCCTCCCTCGCTGTCTGGCTCGATCCGCGCCGCGCCCGCGCAGCTGTACGGGCTGTCACGTATCACTGCTCCTAGACGGAAGGAATGACAGACGGATGATTGGACGTCTCACTCACTCGATGCGATGTGATGCGATGGATGGATGGAATGAACAAAATGGCCGTCACAACACAGCAAACACAACACAAACAATAATCCTACCTACCCCTTCTTGCCTGTCTATCTGTCTGTCCGCCCCCTCCCCATTGCATCTCCTTCCCTGTCTGTCTGCCTGTGTGGAAACACCACACACATGCCAGCCACAAGCAGGCGGCTAACCACACACCACAGCACAACACACCAAGACACAACCTACGTACCAACCAGAAGCCAGTCCCCGCACCCACCCATAGCAGAGAAAAGAAAGCATCACGGCGCGTGACCTCCTGTGAGTCACAGGCAGTCGTAGTCGCTGGCGAGCTGTCTCTTGAGAGATGGGCTGGGCACGCTCGTCTCGCGTGGCCGGGAGTTCTCCACCGTATGAATGGCGCCCGACACGAGAAATATGACAGCGAAGACCAGGTAGAGGAACAGATACAGCTTGCGGCGGTCCTTCAGCTGTCGCTCCTCCCTCTCAGCCTCATCGTTTGCTGCTGACGGGTGAGAGGCCTTGTCGTCATCGGCCGGGCCCTTGAGGTAGTCGACCAGCGACGGCAGGCCGGCGGGTGCAGCGAAACCCAGCTCCACCAGGTCGTCACCCGTCCAGTCGCCGTGGCCGATGTGCGACGATCCGACAGTCGCATTGGTCTCGGCCGCCTCGCTCTGCACGTCGGGCATGGCGCTTGACTCGTCGGCCTCTTCGCTGCTGCACTCGGCCACGGTGGGCAGGGGGCGGGGGGAAGGGGGCGGCATCATCGCGTGAATCGCCTCCGTCTCGCAGTACCGCGTGATGGACGCTGGATGCCACGCCATGCGGTCGATTTGGTCGCTCAAGTGAACATGGCTCATACTTGGGGATCCGCTGTGGAGCGAGTAGCGCTCCTCGCGCAGGCAGCCCACACCTGCACCCATCGATGGCGGGGTGATGGACGACGATACGGACGAGGTGACACTGACGTGGACGCCCGCCTCGCTGTAAAAGAAGGGCGGCACTGGCGCGGATGTGTGGGAGTGCTCGGATGCTGTGCGCGGTGTGGTGGTGCAGCGGGAGGTCAGATCGGACGACAAGAGCGACTGGGAGTCAGCTCCACGAGGCTTGCGGACCTGGAAGACGGATGGACGGACACAAAAGGAAAATGTCTAGGCATGTCAGGAAGCAATCGTGTGTGGGTGTCTGTGGCTTCTCCTGACCTTGAGCGGTGGCACGGACAAGTTTAGGTGCGTCTTGGATGAGCTGCCGCAGCCCGACAGCGACAAAGGCGAGGGGTCATCGGACATGACGCTCTCAGCGGCCATGGTGACGTCTTCCTGCTCCCGACATATCGCCCCATCGCAGTCCTCGCTCGTCAGGCTGCGCGTCAGGACGGGAAAGGGGTCACATTGCTGCAAACGGCGCCCGTACATGCGCAAGCAGTCGTCGTAGTCGGGCAGCGTAACGGTCGACGGCGCGTACGCGGCGAACCGTCGCTCGCTGTCGATATCGAAAGGGCCCTGATTGGCATCATAGCACACGTCAGTGTCGCCATCAAGGTCCGTCTTGACTGCCAGCGACAGCTGCCCACTCTCGTGCTCCCGAAAGTCGCTGCTGGACGGCGACAGGTCGCCGGCCGATGAGGGGGGGCTGGGGAAGTCGCCCTTGTCGCCCAGCATGAAGGCCGCCACGGGCTTGACCAGCTCCACACCCGGCACAGACCGGCAGGTGAAGCGGGGCAACACCGACGCCTCAGAGGTGTGTGATGAAGGCAGGTCGGACCGATAGGTCGACAAGCTGCTCCTCCTCTCGCCACTGCCTCGCGAGGGCTTGCACTTGAAAACCGACGGCGTGTTGACGTGGATTTCCCTCAGGCCGTCGCGGCTCCTCTGGCTCTCCCTCTGCAGCTCGTGCAGCGGCAGGCGGGGGATCTCGGGGAGGGACCGCCGCGACGAGCACGGGGGGATCTTCTGCGCCACCAGCGACTCGCTGTCCTCCGACTGTCCTTTGGCGCGCAGGGAGAGCCGCGGCACCGTATTGTCATGGGAGATGAGGGATGTGGCTGTGGATGACGAGAATGTCCTCCTGCCGCTACTGACCCTCACTGCGGCTGAGCTGTGCAGCGTCTGCAGCATGCTTTCCAGTCCAGCCACGTTCTGCTCGGTCGGCCGCAACGGGTGCAGAGGGGTCTTCATGATCTCGTCCTCGTGTGCCCCGCCATCGCGCTCCCCCCTGGCTCTCGCCGGTGTCACCTGCAGCACGTGGCCCCCTCCCTGTATCTTGAGACCACGTGGTGACATCTTCTGTCGGCCCCATTGCTTGGGCACCGGCGTCTTGGGCGGGGCCAGGTACGCTGCCGACCGATAGAGGGCGTCTGCGTCGGCCGATGTGGGTGTGATGGGGGCGGATGTCGACTGGCCCTGCTGTGGGTGCCTGCGCTTGGGAGCGAGTCGCTGCAGCTGGTTGATGGTCTGCTCCGTGAGGGTGTCGCCCTCCACCACACTGGACGACAGGGCCGGGACGTGCTCGGTGCTGGCGTAGCCCATAGACGACGATGCCGGCGCCAAATGGTAGGACACCGTCGTCATGTTGGAGGGCGTGTTGGAGGGGAATGAGCTGTCGAAGGTGCTCGGCTGGGCTGAGACGGTTGTGGTGCCCGTCAGGCTGCGATAGAGGCCCGCCCGATGCCCCGACTGGTCGCCGGGGGGCGTCAAGGCTGTTGGGGGGAGGGTGTCTTGCGACAGTGAGCCTGCCATCGTTGTCGGTGTGTAAGTCCGCATCAGGCCGTGCTCGTTGCGTATCCCGCTCGTCGCCGTCAGGTCGCCGTCGCCATCTCCCTCGCCCTCCTCTTCATTCACCTCCACAGAGACGCACAGCGCCGGGACATTGCTGCGATCGCCCCTGTCGCGACCCCGCTTCATGATCGATGAAAGCGGGCCGCCCTTCTCCAGGTTATCCCGTGACCGAGCGAGCTTCCGTGAGAAGGCGTGCACCGGGTGGCATTCGTCGTCTGCTGCCTCGAACGACCCCATTGATGAGCCGAATATGGGTGTCTTCTGCTTGCGCATGACAGGGCCGTCCATCTCGAATGGATCGCCGTCTGATGGGGTGCCGTCGTCGTTGTAGAGATTCTTGAGGGTCATGGGGCGGCCTTGGGATAACGAGATGCGCCTGAACCGCCGACGGAAGGCCCATGTGGAGGCAATCACCTCGACAGTCTCCAGCACGACCAGCGCCAAAAAGGCATACACCATGTTCTGCCACACAGACACATCCATGCAAAGATACAAACGAATGGTAGGTGGGGCGCTGTCTAGGGTCAGTCAAGTGGTGGGTGGCCTCACATGTGCGTGGATGAGTGTTCCCGGTCTCGATAGTGCGGGGGCGCCAATGTCGTTTGACAGCAGAGCAATCTCGGCCACCAGAGCGACGGGAGGGATCCACGCGGCGATGAAAGCCGACGAGAGATTCGTCTCCTCTTGCCTGCATGCATCACATCCATGGCGCACAACACGCAATTAGCATGAATGTATGTATCCATCCATGCACCGCACTTGTGCACTCACTCACCTGTATAGGTACCACCACAGATTGTTCATATGTCGGTCGTGCTTCACACCACACACCCATCGCAGACCCTTCTGACCCAAACACCACAAAAGCACACGACACAAAGGAGAAGGCAGAACCATTCAGCATGTTCTGGGAGTCTGTCGGCTTCTATCCACGTGCAAATTCTGTACCTCGAGGAAGCAGCCTCGGCTGGCCACGACGGCGGTGCGTATCGCGTTTCTGGCGAGCACTGCGAAGCCCAGAGCAAAAAACTCATACGAGAAGGGCTCGATGTTGCAGAACATGAGGGCCAGGAAGAGGTCGGCGGCGAAGGTGAAGACGAACGACACCAGCGGCACCAGGTGGAAGGGGAACGCGAGGCGGGCAGACAGCCGGAAACACAAACTGATCACCTCAAACGCCGCATAGAAGATGACAACGACCCCGATCTGGTGGATCGCCTGATACATCATCCAAGATACACACAGAGAAGATGCGAACAGCGGTGGTCCGTTTGACACTTTCGTTGCTTACCGATATCCCTGATTCGCTGAGCAGGTCATAGCACGCTCCGCCGAGCAGTGAAGGCAGGAAGATGAGCACGAGCGACAGGAACAGCAGGATGGCATCGTCGGATTTCATGTCAGCATCACAGGCCAGCTGACAGCGGGGCTCCTCACCCTCCTTCCCGCCACCACCGCAAGGATGCAGGAGGCGCCCCACGAGGCCGACGGCCTTGATGCACAAGTCGCGGACTTGACTGAAGCGCTTCTGCCACTCCTCCGATCCATGCCTGCTCAGCAGCCTCTGCACCGCCGTGTTGTCTCGTGGCGTGCTGTTGGTCGTGTCGACACGCGGCAGGCTGTTGTGTGCCGCAAGCGACGCCTCCGCATTAAAGATGGGCGAGACGAACTCTCGCGGCCGCGGGATCTTGCTGCGATTGATGAGCAGGTACGATGACCACAGCAAGAAGCAGATGGCCACGCCGAGGTAGGAGAGGTTGAGGGGAGTCGCTGCATTGTAGTAGATCATCCAGCCGAAGTCCTCCAGTGCCGTCAGGATGATGGCGGGGATCAGCACCAGCCAAAGGAATGATGTGCAGATGTTCTTGGGTCGGAACATCATGGGCACGGCGACCACAGCGGTGATGTAGTAGAGCATCTCGCACGCGAACTTGATGTTGTAGCGGTAGGACTGCATCAAGCACAGCCGACCCGACAGGTCCCTGGCTGTGGCCGCCACGACAAGCACGAGGCTCATGATGCTCCCTCTCCAAAACATCTTGCTGGGCGTCAGGCGGCCTGGGTACCGGATGCCCCACATGAACATGACGGTGAGGTACTGAGCCGGCTTGTAGATCAGCGTGAACTCCACCGTCTTCGGCACGAACCGCAGAGGGAAGTCAATGTTGCTCACCACGATCAAGCAGTTGACTGCGGCGGCCGTCAGCAGCGCGATGAACAGCAGCCGAAACGTCACCAGCGACAGGTGGCCACGCAGTGACGCACACAGCCCGCCTTCCCGCCAGTGTTGCTGTGGTTGCCGCTGCGGGCCGAGCCGGCACTGTATGACGCAGCAGCGTGTCTCCCATTTGCGCTGGCTGCCGCCTCCTCTGCTTGCTTCGTCTGAGGGCTCGAGCGAGACATCTTGGTCGGCGTGTTTCGCCTGGGCAAGCTTGACGTGGCCGACAGATGAGGGAGGGAACGAGGGAGAGGCGGACGCCATGGGACGCGAAGACCTGTTGGACGCCTTCATCGTTAGCTCAGGCGTCTCCTCAGGAGAAGCAGCACTCCTGGCTCTCCCAGGCCTCAGTACAGCAGCATGTGAGATCTCCGGACATGCCTTTTGTTTCTCAGGTCCGCCGGTGGCTGTTGCCTGACTGTGTCGACAGAGGAAGGGAAGCAAAGCACCAGAAACGGGAGGTCAGATCTGTCACAAACAACGATCCAGGCTCGCAGGTTGCGACGATGCTTGTCAACTGCTGCTTCACTGTGAAAGATCTCCCTGTGCTGCAGTTGACGTGAATCAGCGTGAATTGGGCCCCGATCTATGCATTCCTTACAGATACGATGAAGCAATTGTTAACCGTTGCCGCTTGCTTCATCACAGCGCTGGCGTCGGCTGCCAGGACTGCACTGCGGAGCCCCCTCTTTGTCAGCAACGCTGCTTCAATCCCAAGACCCTCTCGTGAAGCCAGAAGGGCAACCATCACACGAGCAAACGCTGCTCAGAACGTTTGCGGCGGTTCACTTGAGTGCTGCTGCGCAGGTGGGTGAGCCAGAAAGCAAAGCGGCCTTGATCTATCGCTGGTGGTTGTCCTGCCTGTGTGCACAAACAGAGCCGTATCAGACTGGCTTCTACCGCGATGGATATTGCAACACAGGTAAGGTAGGTAACACATCGATTGATTGATGGCCTGCATGCCTGTTGATGAGTGTGAATCGGATAATACGTCCAATACAGGCCCATCAGACTTCGGGACACACACCGTCTGCGCGAAGGTAGGAAGTCCTTGATGAGCACGCAGTTTGACTGTTTCTTACAATGTGCGTGTTGTGTACTTTGTGCACAGGTGACTGACACTTTTCTCCAGTACACCAAGGCGAAAGGCAACAACCTCAGTGATCCGGTGCCGCAATACAACTTTCCTGGCCTGAAGGAAGGGTCGCTGTGGTGAGCCTTGAAAGCATGAGTCACAAACGGTGCGAATTGAAGCATGCAATGTGTGTCTTCTGTGCAGGTGTCTGTGTGCGTCACGGTGGCTGGAGGCGCATGAAGCCGGAGTCGCTCCGCCAGTAAAGACACACGAGCACCACCGGTGCTTGTGCATGTTTGGCGCGTGTCTTCAGATATACTTGAAGAGGACTCACAGCAAGACGCTTGAGACCATTGACATGTCTATCCTGCAGCAGTACGCTCTAGACGCTGGGATTGACGTGGCTGTGCCCTCTTGAAGAGGATGACGTCATGGAACGAGGGCATGTCTGACAGTGTAGTGAGTGGATGTACAGTGAGTGTATGTGAATCGATTGAGACTCCCTGTTTTTCTCCTGTGTGCTGTCATTGAATGATCTCTTCGCCTGCCAAGAAGCCCGATCACATGCACTGAAGGGATGGATGAGGCGACTGACCACACACGCATACACATACAAGGGGTGGAAGGGGTCGATAGCTATACAAGTCACACACTGTCTTGTATACAGTGGACCCACGCCATGCCACAGACAGATGTACACGCATTACCCATTGGTCAGTCAATTCACACGCTATGTGCCGTCCGTCCGACCGGTCGTCATGAGCACATGCGGACCGGGTGGCATCACGAGTACTTGAGGAACAGCAGCAGCCTATCCTTGACATCGCCAGGAGTCTTGAGCAAATAGCGGCGACCCGGCGCGTATGAACTGGACACACGGGCAGGACATGTGGCGTGTCGAGGTGAGAAACGTCGCCAGTGTGTGTGTGCTTACGAGTCGAGCTCCAGGTTGCCAGCCGCGATGCGCAGCTGCTTCTCAGATGCCCCGTGGATCCACTGCTCACTCAGGCCTGCACATACAGGCACTCAGACACAACACAGACATCCTTCATTCGGCCATATTGTAGAGCGACGCCATCGCTCCTACCGACGAGCTCGCAGTAGAGTGTCCTCGCCTCCGCCCCCTCGTACTTCGACACGCCGCCACTGAACCTGACTCATACGCACACACATGGCTTCGCGTGTGCATCTGCCTGTCTATGCGGCCTTACGTCTGTTTCTGTTTTCTGTTCCATATGTTGCCGATGGACAGGAACTGCTGGTGCTTCCTCTTGGCCCTCTCGACCTGCCTCCGCAGCTTCGCGCACTCTGAGTGCGTCGCATCCAACAGCAACACACGACATACACAAACACGATGAGTCAGAGATCTTGTGCGTGGTCCCATCCATGTCCACGTCTCTCGGCCCTTTGTGTCAGCCCTGACCCACCGTTCTCCTCCTTCTCTCTCCTATCGACCACCTGCTTCTGACCTGAGAAGGAGAAAGAGAGTATCGTACGCTCACAGATGTGAAAGTGTGCATATGGTCAGTGGCAAATACGGTTCTTGAAGTCTTTGAGTTCCTCCTCGGTCAGCGAAGTCGCCACGCTCTTCGATATGATGTTGTCCAAACTGACGTTGCCCACCGGCACACGTGTGACGGCCTGCCTGCACTGCGGGCACTCCTTCTTCTTGGCGCTCCGCAGCCAATCCTCAAGGCAAGAACGGCAAAATGAGTGGCCTGCACGATGGATGCACAAAGACACACATCGGCATCGGTAGGTCGAGAAATCTCCATCTCTCTCTGTCTGTCTGTCTGCCTGTGACGTACCACACTCGGTGGTAGCGGCCTTTACGATGACTTCCATGCACACGCAGCACTTGAGCTCATCGGCCACGTCCGATGCCGCCGCCTCCGCCGCCCTCTTCTTCTTGGCTGCTTCCAGGTTCTTGTCATACTCATCATCTACACACATAGAAGAGACACACACAGACACATGGAAGCACAGCCCCGCTGGCCTCGCGTGGCCTTCCCTGAATGTGTGTGTTGCTGTCACCGACCGAAGAAGATGTCGTCATTGTCGAGGTCTATGGGTGGGGCGAACAGGTCATCATCTGACTGGTGGGCGGGCTCGGCAGCAGCAGCAGCAGATTCGGGGGGAGGGACGGGGGCGGGGGGCTCAGGAGCGACGGACGACTCGGCATCTGGATGCAGATCCATATCCTGTGGCTCACTAGCAGCGGCCACCGCAGCAGCAGCCGTCTCGTGTTCCTCCATCTGTCTGGTCCGGACGTTATCGGCGTGGCTGGCCGCCGGCTGCTCCACTGCCGTTGCCTCCCGCCTCCCCGCCTCCAGCCGACGGCGCTTCAACACCTCCTGAGACCTGCATGCGACACACAACACAACCCACCCAACACACGGATCCATTTGCCGTCCATGTGTCCCCTTTTCTCTGTGCAAATCTCACTCATCAGCGTCTGTGTGAGCTGCAGCAGCGGGTTGCTCCTGTGGGTGGGGTGCAGACGCAGGCGCGGCGGGCTGCGCAGCGGGCGCCTCTGCGGGTGGCTGTGGATGTGGTTGGGCGGTCTCGTCGATACGATAGTTGGCTGCAGTGGCTAACGATAGGTGGGGGGGTAGCTGGGGGTGGCGCGAAAACATGAAGACGTACTCAAACTCAGGGGGCTGCAGACACGGGCAACAGAGGGACACAGACAGACACACAGATTCCTGGCCCTCCGTCCATCCCCGACGCATATGGTGTTTCTTGCCGACCTGAATGGTGTTGGTACCGAACACGACAACATCTCCCTCACGCAGCTCCCTCGTCCCGCCCCCCACCTCCCTCCCATTCACCAGCACACCGTTCATCGACCGCTTCTCGCCGTCACCGTCAACAATGGTCCACCGGCAGCCGCCGCCGTCCATACTGGTGCGGGTGATGAGAGCATGATGGCGGCTGATCATGGCCACAAACTTGGTGGAGGTGATGACGACATGGTTGAGCGACGAGCGGCCGATCCGGGTGCTGTCCCTGCTCAGGTCGATGGTCAGGGGAATGCCGCAACTGTAGAGGAGGAAAATGCACAGAGGGATGAATCGTTTGTATTCAGCTTCATCATCACCGTGCCCTTCTCGTGTATGTGTTGTCACCTGGGGAAGGAAGTGGCGAGAAGGAATAGATATGCGGACTCATTGCTGCCGGCGGCGGCACTGCTGCCGGCGGCGGCACTGCTGCTCGCCATCACATCACTCCTTCCAGCACAGGCAATGAATCTCCATCACGAGCAAATCATGAGCCCTCCTTTGTCCGTGGGATCATTGCCATGCCTTCCCTCTTTGAAATCTCTCCTTCCCTGCTAGCGAGCTTTTTCTGCGAGCTTGGAAGAGCTGACTCGGAGGGCGTCGCCAGTCAAGCCTGACGGTTCACAATGGCGGCTGCTCGGCAGGAGACCATTTTCATGCCAGAGTCACAAGAGGACATCGTGGGATACGGCAGGGAGGTGAGAATCGTGTGCTGAGGTCCCATCACGCAGACGAGCATGATGCATGCGCCATGCGCCTGTTTTGTGCAGGACGTGATAGCCATGGCGGCGCTGCTGCTGAACGGGACGAAGCGGTGGATGATCCTGTCAGACAAACGCATTGAATCCTGGGAGGCCGCCACCGACCAGGACGAGGTGGGCCAGGCACAGACAGACCAACACACCATGCAACGCCACCTGGAGTGTGGTGTGTCATCAGCCTGTTGCGGTGATGGAGACCGCCAAGATCACCAAGGCAGTCGGTACACACACAGACGCTCGCAGAAAGAACAAGGCGGCATTAGTACTATGGCATGGCACTTTTTTGTGTGGTTTGATGGTCGGTTGATTGTTTGGCTGCAGCTGATATCCACGCCGAGGACCCCTCCCTCTATGTGGAGGCGGGCGACGACAAGTGGACCATCGTCGTGTACTCGAAGGAAGGCAGGGCCACACACGACGAGAAATCAAAGGTCAGTGACTAAGGCGAGCACCGCAACAATCATCCAGAGACCTGTCTGTCTGCCTGCCTGCCTTGCTCACCAGGAGCTCTTCAGGTGGATGGCGGGTCTCAAGAAGAAAGGGGGCGTGCACGTCGACGAGAAGCCGGCCGAGGCCGACTCTGCGGTCTAGCTTAGGTCTAGAGAAAGGCCTGAGGCCAGGCCTACCTTGGTGTGCCTGTCCCTCCGTCGGGCCGTCCTCTGTTCTGGGTCGATGGGTGGGCGTGCGCGTTTTTCCCGCTTGGTGTACAAAGAAAGCAGCGATCCGATCCGTGTCAGTCAGTCAGTGAGGGACGACCATGGCGTGTTTGTGCGATTCCCTCACTGATGTGATAGGGAGGTAGCCAGGTGGTCCAGGGATGGATGGATGGGTGGACGAGTGAGTGTCCGGATGACTTCACAGGCGGGGCATACACATCTGCCGCGTTGGAGTTTTGTATCTGTGCCGCACAGGTATATACGTGCGCGTGAACGTGTGTGTGTGTGTATGTGTGTGTGTGTGCGTGTGTATGTGTGTATGTGTGTGTGTGTGTGTGTGTTGTGTACAGCGGTCGCTGATGCGTCAGTCAAGTGTGCGTGCCGCTGTCTTGCTCTCCCCCTCTCTGATTCCGGCTCAGCTTCCCTCTCTGCCTCTCTCTCCCTCTTCGTATTGTGTGTGTGTCGGCGTGTTCTGTGTGGACCAAATGCATAGAGACTGTGTGTGGCGACGAATACACATGCAATTGATGCCCCTTTCTCCCCTCCCGACAAGCCGGAACCACCCGTCCTTCGTCTTGCGTGGCCAGACGTTCTACGGTGGCCAGGACGGGGCGCGAGCTCGGGTGATGAGTCTCTTCACGGTTGCTCTGCCTGCGCTGCTGTTTTGCCAGCTGCAAAGCACAAACTGCCTCAGTGCCCCTCCGTCTGCCTCTTTGGACCCCGAGCGAAAGAGATCTGCTTCGGCAGCCGAGGGTATCATGGCGGCTGGTGGAGGCAATGAGACGTCCTACTGGTTCAGCGACAAGGCATCGTCGACGCCTCAGCCCATCTTGGAGAGCATTCGTTCATCGCCGCCTCACTCTCTGGTCAAGGGAGGCTGGGAGCCACTTGAGGACCATGAACTGTAAGTGAAGAGCATGCATGGGACACTGACACGGTGTTTCTGCTTCTGTGTCTGTCTGTCTGTCTGTCTGTCTGCAGGTATGAGGTCCCTCCCGAGAGCATCACCGGCGAGCTGCCATCAGGGCTGAGAGGAACGCACTTTGTCAACGGGTCGGGCAGGATCAGGTATGCACTGCAGAGATCCACCCACACAGCATCAACATCGCTCATCGCCTTTCTCTCTGTATGTCAGGCTCGGCGGCATGCGCTACGGCCACTGGTTTGACGGCGACGGCTTCATCGCTGCGCTCAGCCTCACGGGCGACGGCAGGGCCTTCTTCCAGTCAAAATACATCAGGACGAAGCGGTACCTGGCTCAGGAGAAGATCGGCGGCGGCAGTGCGGGGAGGCTGGCCGTGAGGGCGGCGTGGACCAACAGACCGGGGGGCATCCTCGGCAACATGTGAGCAGCTGAGGCGCCACAGCTGAACGGGCATGCACCCGGTTGCTGTGTGTGTGTGAAGATTTCGTCTGCCGACCAACCCGAGCAACACGGCCGTCCTGTACTACGACGACAAGCTGCTGGCCTTGTGCGAGGGCGGCCTACCATTCCAGGTGGACCCGTACACCCTCCGGTCAACCGGCAACGACACAGGCGACTACACCTTCGGCGGGGCCGTCACGCAGACATTCAGGTACACATACACTTGGCATGATGTAAGCTGACGCTTCGTTGGGTCACTCCTATCTGTGTTGGCTGCAGCGCCCACTACAAGCAAGACCCGGCCACCGGCTACGTCTACAACTTTGGTGTGGACTTCGCCAACGCCAAGATGACCATCTTCAAGACCGCCCCGCCTCACACGGCAGGCGAGCCGGGCAAGACAGACACGGCACACATCGCACTCGGCAGTTTCATGCCCTTCGTGCACGACTTCGCCATCACCGAGAACTACGTCGTCGTGTTGTTCCCTGCGTATGGCGTGGAGCGGCAGTGGATGCTGGCCCTGCTGCTGGGGTGGGGGACGTTCGGGCACTCATACGAATGGAGCGAAGATAGAGGTAAAAGAGTCGGACAGACAAGAAGGCTCGGCAAATGGTTGCCTGTCCTGTGTGTCAGGGAGTCGTGTGGTGGTGCTCAAGAAGAGCGACCTCTCCGTCGCGGCCGACTTCAAGACGCCAGCAATCTCTTTTTATCACGTGGCCAATGCCTTCGAGGACCCCAAGAACAACAGCACCATCAAGCTGCACATCGCCAAACACGCCAACGGCCAGAGAGAAGTGGTGCGCAGACACACACACACATAGAGAGAGAGAGACAAGCGATAGATCCACACGTGACCCACATGGCGCCTCCCTCCCTCTCTGTCTGTCTGTCTGTCTGTCTGTCTGTCATGGATCAGGTGGAGAAGTTCCTGTCGAGTCCCCAGCTGGAGCAGTTCACACACGGACATGTGCCCATTTTGCATGAGCTGGACATCAGCCTCTCAGAGAAGAGCATCCTCCGCATCGAACCCCTCACGTCGCCCTCGGGGGCCACCAAGGCCCTGCAGGGAGAGTACCCCACCATCAACAATGCCATGACCGGCAAACCAAACAGGTACACGTCCAGTAGACAAAGCCCATCGCTATCTCAGTCCCGCGAATGGTTTGTCTGCCCCTTTCTCTGCCCAGGTACATCTATCAGGCGTGTTTCGAAGACGAATCGACAGCCAGTGGCCACGTCCAGTTCTTCAATGCGATCCAGAAGGTCGATCTGCGCGGCGAGTCCTGGCAAATCTACAGTTTTGGGCCCTACAGAGCGCCGCATGAGGCCTACTTCATCGCGCGGGAGGGCTCCAAGGCCGAGGACGACGGCTGGCTGCTGGTGCCCGTGTACAACGGGTACCAGCACATCAACGAGTATTGCATTTTCGACGCCGCCGACGTCGCCAAGGGACCTGTTTCGACGATATCGCTGCCGCACCACTTCCCCTACACCTTCCACGGCACGTTTGTGCGCGACCCCAAGGTACCCGACGAGCTGCTCAAGGGCAAGGGGGAGGCGGCGCTGGCTCAGACAGTCAGCTGAGTGGGCAGATTCTGTTCATCTCATTTTTCGTGTTTGTGGCTTTTATACGTTGAGCGCTTGAGGAAAGACGGGCGGACAGATAGATAGGTTGGGTGTGTGTGTGTGTGTGTGTGGTCAAGTTTCTGGGTTCTGTGCCCTTTGCACTGATTGATTGATTGTGTGTCTTTTCGCGCTTTATCCTGTGGAGCTGTTGTTGTGCCATGATTGTAGACAGCCTTTCCATGTGGTTCTTCGTCGACTCACTGTGTACGGGCCATCACCACCTTAGCACTCATCACACTTGGCACGGTCCCGTTCGGAGAATGATACGGCTGCATCCAAAAAGGGGAAGGGAGAGATCTGCATGCTTCAAGCTCGCTGTTCTTCGATCCCGCGAGGAGAAATATTTTGAGCTTCTGCTGTCAGAATGCTGTCGAGTGGTGCACGTTTGAACGCCCCTGAGGCGCCTCCGTCACCTGCCTACGCCGGACTTGGCACAATATTCGGTGGGCCTCGCTCAACTCATCGCATGCTGCAAAAGGGACGTCACAGTCGTCTCACTGTTGCTGCAGGGGAGCTGCGTAAGCTGAAGGAGCAGCTGGCGTGCCTGCAGAACAGCCTCAAGGACCTGGAGGGATGGAAGGAGGCCGTCTTCGAACGGGGCCCTGGCGGCGTGAGTCCGCCCTCCCAGGGATTCCTCAAGCAGACTATCCAGAGGGAATCGGAATCGCTCATCAGAATGATATCAGAGGTGCGCATCGCATTCAAGGATGGGCGAAGGGGGAGAAACTGATGTGATGTCGTGCGTTGTGGATGGGATTCAGCTGGAGGGTCGTATAGGTGTAGTAGCGGAGCGGCAGCGGGCCGACCTCGAGCAGGCCCTGCACCGACTCACCATCCGCATCGAACGCATCACACAACGGCTGGACAAGTATACAAGGCATCAACACACAAATGCGTCAATGTCAGCTGAGTGTGGACGTCTGTTTGCCCTGGGTCGTCAGGTTGTCACGTGACGGTGAGGACCGCCATGCCGCCCAGTCCTCCGAGACCGTCAAGAGCATGCAGACTCTCGACTCGCGCATACGGGCACTGGAAACCTCACAGGTGGCCACTCTGTCACAGAAAAAAAAGAAAAAGAACGGGGGCCACCAGCCTCTCGGGTCCGTCTCGGTGTTTGGTTCAGGGTGCGCTTCGTCGGTCGTTCTCTCAGCTGACATTTGGTGGTGGGAGTGCCAGCGGCAGCGGTGAGGGTCTGGGCGGCAGGGCCGCCACACGCCAGTTGGTCAAAGGGGTCCCCAGCTCATCTGCTCAGGAAGGAACGGTCGCGCACGGGGCGCAGAGGGAGGGTGCTACCACACCAGCACCAGCACCAGCTGCTGCAGCTGCTGGTGCGGCTCCTGCTCTGGTGGTTGCTGCCGAGGAGGTGTCGAGTGCCGATGCGATCGCTACACTCGAGCGCAAAGTCAACGGTGAGAGGGAGGGGAGGGCACCATACAATACATACATGCTGACAGAATGGTGCATGGGATGTCATGTGTGTGCAGAGGTTGACGAGAGGGTTCAGCACCGTGTGATGCCACTGATCCAGGAGCTCTACAATCGTCTGGTGGCCCTTGAGAGCGATCGCAGCAAGGAGATGCGGGAGCCATCGCAGCTTCAACACCGATTCAACGAAGAGATCGCACGACTGAGGGTGAGTGTGTCGATGGCGCAAGCAAGACAAAGCCGCAGTGGGTGGGGTAGGAGTATTGTGTGTGTGTTCAGGATGAGATGGATGCCGAGCGCGAGAGGAACGCCGAACAGATTAATCGCCTGACACAGCAGGTGATTGCATCGACACACCACCATCCATCCATCCATCCGTCCACGTCGTCTCTCTGTGTCGTCAGATGGAGGCCATGCAGCTCTCCCTGCTGCAGCAGGGCATTCACGTGGACATCCCCGCCGAGCAGCAGCCAAGCGAGGAAGCACCATCCTCTACGGCCATGGCAGGGCAGCCCCCGACAGCCATGGCAAGACCTCCCTCGGCTACCGCTGTCCCGACGGTCGCTGCTGCCGCTCGTCCTTGCGGCGACCTGGAGGGCCGCGTGAGGGAGCTAGTACAGGAGTATCTCGACAACCTGCAGCAGAAGGAAGAAACGATGCTGCAGGAGGGAGAGGGCATCGTCGAGGGTGTTCCTGGCGAGGGCGAGGGAGCATTCCCTTCTCAGGAGGGAGGAGCAGTGGGGCATCCCCATGAGGCAGAGCCTGTCATGCCCTCTCGCGTGCCGGATGAGAGTGCCGCGGCAGTGCCGTCTCGCGATGGACGGCCGGTGCCACGAGCCGAGGGCGCTCCTGGCGCCGCCTCGACCCCTTCTGCGCCTCCTGTCGGCGCTGCTGGTGCGGCCCCCTCTGGTCGTCCTGGTGGTGCCCGTCGATGGCGTGCCACGATGCCGCGTCAGCAGATCGTAGAGCTGAGATCGGCAGTAGACTCTTTGGCGGACCAACTCAGCAGGTATGGACCAATGGGAAGAAAGACACATTCTGAAAAGCCAGACGATTGATTGGGTGCGGTGTTTGTTCCATGCTGCAGCGTGAGGGTGGCAGAGAAGGTCGAGGCCAGCTGGGGCAATGAGCTGGCAGGTACTGTCACGCACTCAGCACAAGAGGCGAAGTGCTGGCGTACACACATGTCCGTGTGTGTGTGTGTGTGTGTGCAGGTCGGCTTGAGGGTCTGAGCACCGCCGTCCGCGACACGCTCGAGACCGTCCGCATGTCCCAGCACTACCAGACCGACAGCCACCAGAAGATCCGCGAGACCGTCGAGGCCTTCCACGCCAACCTACAGCCATACTTCGCACAGCAGCAGGACCTCGCTACCCAGATCGACGAACACTCACAGCAGCGGGCCGAGCTGGCCGAGTCCTTCGGTCGCATGGAAGACGCCATCGAGACGGCGGCGAGCACCGTGGACGGGCTAGAGGGCCGCATCGACAGCCAGCAGGTTGCCATCGAGAGTATTGTGGAGGAGGTGGAGAGCAGCGGCAGTGCTTTCCAGCACACAGCCTCTCAGATGTCGGAGCAGCTGACGGCTCGCGTGTCTGCTGTCGAGGCCAAGGTGGATCAGGCGCACGAGCAGACCAGCCAGACCCTAGCCGTGGTGCAGGAGGACCTGCAGCTGCGCGAGGAGGCCCTCCGCCACGACCTCGAGACCAAGATGACTGCGGAGCTCGAGAGCCTCCACGTCAGCATCGACCGTGACCGTGAGCGGCACATAGAGGTCGGCAACGCGCTGGACAAGAGCCGAGAAGAAACCGGCCAGCTCAAGGAGCAGCTCACCGGCCTGCAGCAGTCGTTCGACAGCGAGGCCGGCGAGCTCCGCTCTTGCTTCGCCCGCATGCAGCAGACCGTCTCGGACACATTCAAGTCCAAGATAGAGGAGAACGGCCGGCTGGTCGGGCGGCAGGTGGAGGCCATCCAGGCAACCACCGAGCGGCGCGTCACCGCGGAGACCGAAGCCATGGAGCGCAAAGTGCGTGACGGGGTCCGGGCGGAGGCCGACCAGCAGCAGCAGGCGGTCTCCCAGGCCATCGAGCGGCTCGACGCCCGAGTGGAGGAGACCGTCCGGGGCCGCTTCGCCATCGACCAGAGCCTCAAGAAGTTCCAGCGCGCCCACTCGGATGAGCTGCAACGGACCATCCAGCGCATCGAGTCCATCGAGCAGGGCCAGGAGCAGACAAAACGCGGCCTCACACGCGCACTGTCGATGCCAACCGAGAAGGTCATGGAGGCGCATGAGGAGCTGAGGGGCGAGGTCCAGCGTGTGGCGCAGCTGGTGCGCAAGTCGACGCAGGAGGCCGACGAGAGGGTGGGCAAGGTGGCGCAGGACGTCATGGGTCACGACCGTGAGTGCGCTGAGCTGTCGGCCAAGCTTGAGCAGCTGGAGCGGCAGGTGCGGGAGGCCATCATGGGTCAGCCGCAGATGAAGGCCGTCTCGGCCAAGGCCGCCGCGGGCGAGAAGGCACTGCAGGTGGTCGAGACGCTGCAGAAACAATACAAAGGTGAGAGAACCCACCATCCTACGTATGAGGTGTGACGACCCACGTGCGTCTTGTGTGCGTTCGTGTGGCTTAGGTATGGGTGCTGAGATGGACAAGGTGCGTGAGTTGCAGCGGTCGGTGAAGCTCCACGACGCCCAGCTGGCGGCCCTGGAGAAGATCGAGACTGAGGGCACGCCGGGCGAGAAGGAAATCGCCACAAAAGTGGAGCACCTCGAGGGCGAGATACGCAACCAACGACGGGTCAGGCAAAACTGCACCCTCACAACAGGCACATGGCAAGCTAGGTGTGTGTTGGTTTGCAGGCGTCTGAGGCCCAGGTTGACGAGCTGAAAGCCCAGCTGACGCTGGAGACCAAGAACATCAAGGTGAAAGGACGACAAAGAATGTGGTCCGTCCAAGCGTCACTGCCTCTCCTGCTCTGTTCAGGCGTCTCATGAGAAGGTCATGACGCATCTGAGGGAGGGGGAGAACTGGATGGCCACTCTCAAGGGCCACATTGATGACACACACTCTCGTGTGCGGTCGGTGGAATCGGCCCACTTGCCCACCATTACACAGCGGCTGGACCGCCAGCAGACATCCTCGGAGGAGGTCGCGTCACAACACGACGTGAGCGAGATAGAAGGAAAGAAAAGGCCAGGAGATACATTGGCAACAGATGACATGTGCATTCTCTCGATCAGGAGTTACGAGAGACGGTCAGGCGTTTGTCCGACCAGGTAGAGGAGCTCTCGAAGCGACCAGCCGGCCCCTCTGACGCCAACGACTCGCTCACACGCCGCCCAGCTGAGGCCAGGCACACACACCAACCCAAGACAGCCAAGGCGTCCCAGAGAAGAGCCCTCGAGGCCTCTCCCCGACCCACTGGCAGCCCACCCACCGCCCCCATTGGTCGATCTGTGTCGGGGCGAGGTCCATCGGGGCTGCCGGAGGCCCTGCAGCGAGTCGCATCCCTCGAGGAGTTCAGACACCAGACACACAAGGATGTACAGGTGCGCGGCAGATGAGTGCTTGCGTGATTTGGTATCTGTTGGTCGCATCTGTCTCGCCTTACCTTGTCCTTTAGAACGTGAGTCGTCATGTGGAGCAGCTGCGGGACAAGCTGGAGGCACGCACAAACCGACTGCAGGTGACGGACGTACCTGTGAATTGAGGAAGACCACACCACCAAATGCATACATGTGCATGCTGTGTGTGTCTATGCAGGAGGAGCAGCGGCGGCTCGGTGACAAGCTGGTGCGTCAGGATGGCGCCCTGCGGGCGATGGAGCAGCGAGTCGATGACGCCATGCAGACACACGAGGGGTCGGCACGCCACAACTTCACGCGCCTCAGCGGCATCATCCGCACCCTCGTCGCGTCATGCGAGAGCAATGCCGAGCAGACAGAGGTGCGCGTGGGTGTGGGCTGGAAACGGGAGGGTCCTTGTCGACTGTGTCAATGTTTTCCGTGTTGGTGTATGCAGAGTGTGAGGCGCCGCGTTGAGGAGCTGGATATGACGGTAGATCAAAGCGTGTCACTGGTCAAAGAACGCGTTCAGGTGAGTGATGCATCCCTGCACAACGACAGTGTGCACCTTGATCCCATCCATTTCCCTCTCTCTCTCTCTGTTTCCTCGCCCACCTGTGTGCAGCATGCAGAGCGTAGTGTGAGCGAGCAAGGCGGATGCTACAAACAAGAGATACACCAAATGGCAGCTGGTAAGCAAGACAACGATCGTGGGACCCTGAGGCGTGTCATACAAAAGCGTCTGTCTGTGTCCTCAGGGATGGGTCAGACCCGTGCTGACGTAGAGCTGCTCAAGGCCAGGAATCAGGAGCTGCTGCAGTCCATCGACCAGCTGCGGGGAGACGTCAACCACATTGGCGAGCATCTGGCGCGGACCGTGACCTCAGACACACGACCGAGACACACATTCACGTAAAGAGAGAGAGAGCAGCACGCCCAACACACCCATACCTCCCCCATTCATGTGTGTGGATGTCCCCTGGCAGGCGTCATGTGCCTTTGGTAGAGGATGTGTGCACAAGTCGGACCAGCCGCCTGAACACCATCGAAGAGGTAACCACCAACACCGACACCACACCGCCCTGCACCTCAGTGAACATCGCCACCTTGCGCACATGTCGATTTCTCCAGGCGTCATTCGCCACCCCCCGTTGCGCATCCACCGTCCCTCCCTGCGTCCGCAACGCTCTCGCCACCATGCCGCCCTGCCCCAATGCATCGTCGCCCTCAATGCCACCACTGCTGACTGCCCGCACCCACCGGCCCGAGAGCATGCCGCCGGGCAGTGGGTCGCTGACCCATCGGGCGAGAGGGGGAACTGGCGAGGGTGCGACGGTGCTGAGGCCGCCACGGCTAGGGAGGAAGTGAGGCCCGGGGCAAGTGCTCCACATCACTTCCTTCGAAGTGATGCCTTGTGTTGACTATGGTCAACACAAGGCAGCATTTGCTGTTACCTGTGACAATGCTGCCCGGCATTTGTAAAGTGGGGGGCTGTGTGGCGTGAGGGTGTGAGATTGATGTGCATGGACTAGGGGTGACGTGTTTGCATGGTTGTTCCTCGTGTCAATAGCCTTTTCTCTAGCAAGCGCAGCAACACGGCACTGACGGCAGGGCCACTTTCTGAGTATCCACTTCCTTCCCATGCAGGTCAGTCGTATCGTTGGCAGCACTTTCACTTTTCGAGGCGGCCGGCTTATCGATAGGCATGCATCAGTGTCACATGTCAAAGTGTGCGTGGGTGCGTATTCACCTCCATTCAGATCCAGAGCGAATCATCCATCATCACACCGCAAGATTGATAGAAAGGTGAACAATCCGAAGGCACGGCTGCCCATGCACTCATTACTGCTTCTCTCTCTGTCCGCCTTTTTGCATCCTCGCGTTGGAGGCGGAAACATCCGGCCACTGCCGCCATTGTCAAGAATCAGCACCCAGGGGCTCTCTCAGGCCACGGCCCTGGGGCAATGCATAATGATCGTGCATGACTCGTTGTCGACGGCCAATTGTGGAGGAATCAGCACACAGCCGAGCTCCGACTTTGTTTGTTTCATTGCAGAGAGGAGAGAGTGGGGGTACTGAAGCGGTGAATCGCCAAGAAGCGAACGGAGACGGCAAATGGAAACTGTTGCTTTTGTCTGTTATTCCCTGCTCTTCTATCAGCGTGTGTTCTCTCTCTCGTCCCCTGTTGTCTCAACGCGATGCCTGCACGTGGGAAACCGCTAGTGGCGAGATTTTCGCGAGCCGAGACGGAGACAAAATGATTTACGAGCTCGCAGTCACTTTTCACATTTTCCGTCCGCGTTCGGCTTTCCAGCCTTGTTTCGGCCACATCTCCTCCGGTTCTCTTTCCTTTCGGCTGGTTGTTGGCTTGTGTTGTCCGCTGCGTCCTCCTCTACTCCTCCCAACTCGTCAGAATGTCGTCCGCCACTTCTTTCTTCGACCACCGTACCCCGGGAGAGGCCTCGTTTGGTGGTGCCCTGCCTCCTGTGGAGCGGCTGGCGTCTCCCTGGCGCCTGCCGAGTGCGCACGCCCCTTCTTTTCGCCCAAACCGACCTCCAGCAGGTGAGTACATATGCGTGTGGCCTCGCGCGTCATCTCTGTTGGGTGCGGTGATGGTGTGGTGTGTGGATGATTTGTAGGGATGAATACGTGGTGCATTTCGTTGCCATGGGTGTGCTCAGATGCCCTCTGTTGCCGTGTTTGTGCGTGCAGATGAACTGGCGGCTTTTTCTTTTTATACCCGTCTCTTTTTCTCGACGCATTTCTCTTTAGGTGGGTGAGGTGGGTGACTGCCTCATTGAGTTTGGTGTTGACGCGCACGTCAGAGTCCCTGTCTGCTGCTTTCCAGATATGCGTTTCCTTTGGCCCGACGAAAAGAAAACCGAGAAAAAAAGACAGATTTTAAGCATTTTTCTAATCAATCTTTCTGTCTTGCAGCAGGCCGGGAAGCTTCACTTCGATGACAACAACCTGCCCATGGAGGAGACATGCGCATGAAACACAATGCCTTGGTACCTCGCTCCAGAAATTTTCTTGGCTCGGCCACAAGGCCACGCAGCAAGACGGTACACATTGACCGAAAAACGCGCCAGCCATCACGCCACCTTTGATGCGGTGTGGTGTGTGTGCGTTGTGGATGGGTGAGTGCAGGTCTGAAGGACGACATCGACACGACATTCGGCGGGCCCACCAAGCCATACCTCGCTCCAGAGGTTGTCTTGGGTGTGCCGTACGACAAGAGAATCGACCTCTCAAGCCTGGGACAGCTTGTGGCCAACCACCCCCCACCAGCCACTTACAAGAAAGGGGTTCCGGGACTTGGAAAGCAGCGGGGAAGGACACAAAGGGCGGTGTGCTGTGTCTCGACAAGATCGACGAAGTCTACACGCAGCAAGACGGTACACATTAACCGGAACACGGAACACACGCCATCACGCCACCTTTGATGCCCTGTGGTGTGTGTGCGTTGTGGATCGGTGAGTGCAGGTCTGAAGCACTACATCGACTGGACCAAGCCATACCTCGCTCCAGAGGTTGTCTTGGCTGTTCCGTACGAGTCAATCGACCTCCTAAGCCTGGGACGCCTTGTCGCCGGTCTGCTGTTGAAGAAGCCCAAGCACCACCCACCAGCTACCTTTAAGAAGGGGGTTCCAGGACTTGGCAAGCAGCGGGAAAGGACACAAAGGGCCAAGGAGGCCCGACTGCGACGACAGGCAAGAAAACAATTGGATCACTCATAGCACAGATTCTCATGAGATGTGTGTGTGTGTCTGTCCGCTCGCCCTGCAGGCCTGCCTCGACACAGCTCGGCCATCAGGGGATGTTGGCAAGTATGGTAAGGATGGGAAGGCATATATGTGGACTGTCTTCATCGCTCTGTGTGTCTGTGTCTCAAGGTTGAGGGTCGTGTGTTACGGCCGTTCAAGACAGGGCGACTTCGCCCATGGCTGCCTACATTTTATATCCACAGTCCCATTCTTCAGTCGTCTATTGCTGCTGTTGTCGTGTGCTGTGGTCGCAAGTCATATCGTGCTCTTGAGACAAGGCGGCGTAGGTCAAGGCACTGGCCATTCCGGCACTTCTCGCTCGTAAGAATGGATTGAAGGGAAATGTCAGCCAGCCTGTGTGTCTCTGCGTGTCATGGTTTAGAGACGCCCTGGCTTCCTCTTCTGGCGGCGGCGACGGCGACACCCTCAAGCCCATCGCCGACGACGACAGCCTCAACAAATTACCGGGAAAGCCGAGAGGCAGCGAAGCAGGGAAATCGGGTGAAAGGGGCACGATGAGGTGCATACTACATGAGAGAAGGCATCCAAACATCCCTCTTTCGCGGTCCGTGTTGGTTTCAGGGCAATCGGCCCACAAGCTCGCACGAGGTGGAGCTGGTTTCTCTTTCTCTTTCCCCACGTTGTTCTCGCGCTCCGTAGAGTTAGACTAAGTTATTCTCACCATGAATAACGCAGCCCACGACTTGGCCCACCGCCAGGCCACCTCCTCCGCACGGTTCGGCGACTCGCCTTACGACACACTCTGATGCAGCACACACTCTGCCGGCCCTCATGTGTGTGCGTGGTGTGGGCAGGTCGCTCTTGAGTTCACGGGCAACGTGCTGCCGCGCCACGGCTTTGTGTGCCACCGGGCACTGGAGACCGTGGAGGGCGCGACGACCGTGGAGGTGGTGGACCAGGATGATTGGGAGCCCGACCCAGATGACGCCGAACAGCCCGACCCGCTGGTGTTCGAGCACTTGCCCCCCAACGCATTCTCCGCCGCTACACTCCTGTGGATTCACACCATCAATGGGCTCGCGATTGCCCGAAGGCTGGTGACCAAGATGCCCGCCGTCAAACGCATTGACCTCTCCCAGCCCTACCCGACAGAGGAGGACGCGGTGGGGGTGCTGCAGGCGGTGGGCGGCGAGAGGGAACTGGAGCGTTTCGAGGCCAAGTGGGTGAAGGGTGTGGGCGAGGGGGGGCTGACGTGGGGCGACATAGCGGACCAGCTGCCGACCATCTCAAAAGTGGATGTTACTGTAGAAGGTGAGCTGCGAACAATTACCTCCTCAGCTTACCGGCTTATTCATTCGGTGCTGTGCTGTCTGTGTGTCTGTCTGTCTGTCTGTCTGTGTGTGCAGTGCCTGACGATTTGGGTGATGGCGATGCCGCCGGTGAGTTCGGCATCGCCTGCGTCACCGAGGGATCAAGGAGCTCTCCTTCCGGCCGTGGCCCGGCGACGCCTTCAAGCGGCTGGTGGATGAGCGGACGCATGGCGACGCCATCGAGGGGCTGGACGGGCGATATGACATTAGCTGGGGGGGATATTTGGGACAACATGCGAAACGGCCTCCCTCCTTGATGTGTGTATCTGTGTCATATATGGGCTTCTCGTGTGTCTGGCAGGGCGATCGCCTTGTTCCACGAGAGGGTCTACGTGATGAGCCAGGAGCTGATGCGCGCCGCCAAGATGTACAACCACGTAACACCCAGAGACATACTGGTCTTCATCAAACACTTCCTTGGTACGTTTCTCGCGCCACTCAAACGACACACATACACCATGGCTAGGTGGCTGTGCGATTTGCTGTGTGTGGTATGTGGTGTGTGGCAACAAATCAGGTTTGGTGAGGGAGAAGCGGGAGCTGACCAAGTTCAAGGACACGGAAGAGCAAGTGGACGAGATGCTGGTCTGGCTGGCCGAGAAGGACAAGGACCTCGCGGTCCTTGCCGCCAAGAAACGACGCACGGGTGTGTTTTTGTTTCCTTTTCCGTTAGCTTAGCATTTCCATCATCGCATCGTCTTAACCATGAATACCGCCAACCCCCACTTCCACGGAAGCCGCCAGCCTGCCGCTGTTGTAACCGCCAAGACCTCGTCATCCCCTGCCCTGACCCTCAAGCCCATCTCAGACGAGGGCAGGGACGCCCAGAAGGCCAAGGACGCCCAGCCGCCCACGCCCACGGCCAACGGCAGCGATGCGACGGCGGACGGGGGGCTACATGTACATGATGGAGAGGGCGGGGGAGGGACTGGTGATGTGGCGGTGTCGCGGATGGATAGCTCTGCGTTCAAGGCGCTGTGTGGCAGGGCCGGCGAGACCAAGAAGAGGGGCGACATCAACTGGCAGCTTAACAGGACTCGGTAGGCAAGGCGGACAGCGCAGAGCAGACCCCGACACGTATACATATACATGTATGTTATGTGTGTATGCATGCATGTATGTCCTGCATGTGTGTCCTGTTGTCTTGTCTGTCCCTGCCTGCGTGTGTCAGCATTGCGGTGGCCGAGTGGGAGGCGGCCTTGAAGCTGCTAGAGTCCCTGCCCTGCGCGTCGCTGCCGGCCCCCAAGGACACTGACGAGAGATTCTGTGCGAGGTGAGGTCACCGACCGACCAACCGACCGACCGACCGACAGGCCACACGCACATCTATCTGTCTTGTGTTGTGTGTGTGTATTGGGTGTTTGGTCAGTTGTTGGCGGGCGACGCCGATGCGGCCCAGGAGGACACCAGCAAGGAGGACGAGGCCACCCCCGAGCCCCTTGCCACCGAGCCCCCCGCCCCCGAGCAGGCAGCGGCCACCGCCCCGAAGAAACAGAAGAAGAAGAAGAAGAAGAGCACCAACAAGAACAAGAACAAGGACAAGGCGCCAAAGGAGGCGGCGGGGGAGACTCTGCCATCCGAGGCCCCCTCTCTTGTCCCCGCCAAGACGCCGTCATCCCCTGCCCTGACCGTCTTCAAGCCGCCCATCCTTCCAGAGGAGGCCAAGGACGCCCAGAAGGGCAAGAAGAAGCCGCCCACGCCCACGGCCAACGGCACCGAGACCGCCCTCGAGGGAGCGGCCACCGGCAACAAGAAGAAGATGGCATTGGTGCCTACATTTTATATCCAGACGAGATTTTATCTCATACCCAGAGGTATCCGCAGGTCTGCATCTTTGGATTCATGTGTATACAGCATGAATATATGCCTCCTTCTTGGGTGTCGTATGTGTGAGGCTGCCCAGGAAGGAGCCCGCGTGTGTTACGGCCGCTCAAGACAGGGCGACTTCGCCCATGGCTGCCTACATTTTATATCCATAGTTTCATTCTTCAATCGATTGCCCGTCGACTCATACATACAAGCGCTTCTACAAGAACATTTCCACAAAAGGTACACACTTTATCGCCACATCTAGCCAGCTAGATTTTGTGTGTCCCCATGTCTGTCTCCGCATTCGTTGTGCTTTAGGTCGGTATCAGCTTGATCGAATATATGGGGGGCCTGATCCAATGGTGCACTAGTTCGAGGGCCCGATGTGGACAAGAAGCGGTCCGAGATGCTGAGACTCACCGTACACGTCCTTATGCGCGTCGATGTGATTTGTGTGTGCCTTGGCTCCCTGTCTGTGGTGGTGGTGTGTCAGGCGAGTTCCGTGTCAAGATTAGCGAGTTGGACGACAGCCTAAAGATGGCGCTTGCCAACGGCAAGGGCAACAGCACCACCCTAGACGACCACTCCGTCATGGCCATACTGGAGACGTCCTTCGCCGACACATCCTTCATGAAGAGCCTCCAGAGCGCCCTCCAATTCGGCACACAGCTCCTCGTCGAGGTAAGATGACCAAATAGCATCTCACACCCATCCCCCCCATCCATCCACACGTGTGTGTGTGTGTGTGTGTCCTGTCTGGCAGGATGTTGAGCGTGTGGATCCCATACTGCTGAACCCGGTGCTGACCCGCAAGCAGGGCGGGCGTGTGCTCCTCGTCCAGGTGGGTGAGCTTTGAAAGCACAGACATCTTCAATCTATGTGTGTCAGGCCCAGGACAACGTGCCCCATGTGACCAATCAATCAACACAGACACACACATACACACACACGCACTCACACAGAGGGAGAAGGCAGTGCTGCAGGCAGGTGTCTGACTGTGTGTCTCTTATGTTGTATGGTCTATATCAGGATTGGACACACCCTCTCGTGGCCAGGTCTGTGGTCCTCACTCTCAAGAAGATCATCAAAGCCAAAGGCAAACACGACCCACAACACACAGGCACTAAACCGACATGCGTCCAGCCTGTATATGTCTTGTTCAGCTGCGGGCCGCAGTTTGGTATGGCTAGGTGGGTTGCTGTGGCCGGAGGCCGTCTCCCTAGCGACGGCCACCGGCCACACGACTTAGAGGCCGACCCATGACCCCTCTACCACCTTGTCCAAGACCGCGCAGAAGGCCGAGCAGGAGGAGAAGGCCGAGGACGACGCGGGTGCTCTGAAGGAGGGGGGCAGGCGGATGTCCAACCATGCCCGGCGAATACAAGAGGGAATCAGGGGGAGAGAGGAGCGAGAGGCCGCAGAGCAGAGGATAAGGGCGGAGAGGGTCGCAGCGCGAAAGGAGAGGAAAAGGCTGGGGAAGCCGCAAAGAAGAAGACGGCCAAGGATGAGAAGGAAAGAAAAGGCTGTAGGGAAGGCAGGCCTGAAGTGCTTCATTTGACGCTTGTTTGTCATATTCCCTCAGGAATGCAGCTGCCGTCTGCGTCGACCAAGATCGAGGCACCCAGCCAAGTGCCTAAGTTCGTCGCCGCCCCGGCAGGTGATTGTTGGCAACGTAAAGCGTGTCCTTGATCCCTATGGCTACTCTCTAGAGGACATCCAAGAGCTTGTCGAGATATGCGGATACGACCAGAGAGAGGTACGTACACACACCTGCAGCCAGCAGACACACGAGACACCAAAGCTCATCACACACACACTCCCATTTACCGCATGAATCATCTGTGGGTTTCCCTCCCTTCCTTGACTCCTTAGGTCGAGATTGCTGTGTGGAACATCTTGCAGGACCAGAAGGGCCACGAGAGCGGGAAGCCACCACGCGAGAGCGGGCCAAGGCCAAGCGCGAGGAGTTGCAGAAGGAGCAGCAGGAGGCCGCCAAGCAGCGCCACATACCCGGCCTCACGGCAGCTCCCACTGCGAACGCATACGGAAGAGGGAGCTGCGGTGACGTGAAGCGGAGATGGGTCGTGAAGGGAGCGATTCCGACATGAAGCTGCTCGAGAGGGCGGCATGGACATCATGAAGGCAGTCGGCGTGCACCCACCTGCTGCTGCCGCCGAGGCTGCAGCGCCCAAGCCTTCTCAGCCCTGCCGCAGACTTGCACCGCCTGCCACCGTCCGGCCACCGCACCCCGGCAAGATATGGGTCGTGAAGCAAGCGGCGACATGAAGCTGCTGTGTGTTTATGTTTTGCGTGTTTGTGTTTATGGTTTGTGATGTGGGGGTCTTGCTGAGACCTGCCCCAAGGCCGCCAAGCGAGAGCGGGCCAAGGCCAAACGGGAAGAGTTGGAGAAGGAGCAGCAGGAGGCCACCAAGCAGTGTGACGTCCCTGGCCTGATAGCAGCTTTCCATACGGCCTGCAGCAGGCCATTCAGCGTCGAAAGCGGCCCAGCGGCAAGGCCCCGGTAGGCAGTAAGTTCGAATTGTATAAGCAAGCTTTATACCTCCACCACACCCGGGAATGTAATGTCTCTCATTATCCGTTGCTTGCTGCGTGTGCTTGTCTGTTTGTCTGTCTGTCTGTCTATGACTTTTAGGGAGGGAGGATGAGATGGGTGCCAGTACGCAAACGATGGATTGGGTCAAGGAGGGCTTTGACGGCATGCGAAAGAAAAGCGGCAGGCCCCCCCCGGTAAGAAATTGTGCGTATCATGACAAGATATGTGCTTGCACTCGGTTGCTGCGTGTGGTTGTCTATGCCGTGCAGGGCATGAAGTGGGTGCCGATTCGGGCTTGGAAAGCAGCGGAAAGAACCCACCGAGCGAAGGAGGCCAGACAGAGACAGCAGGCAAAAAAACGCGATGAAGCGCGGTAATGTAAGTCAGTTCAATTGTGCCTCTTATGTCTCGCAGATGCATCGGTGCCTACATTTTATATCCAGACGAGATTTTATCTCATGTGACGAAGCTGCGGTCTGTCGATACCCACAGGTATCCGCAGGTCTGCATCTTTGGATTCATGTGGTTACAGAATGAATATGTGTTTTTTGACAGATGCCGGTAATTGCGCCGCATCTGGAAAACAATTGGAGCCACGCCTTTGATGACCTGATTCGCAAGACGGCCGACGATTATCACGTGAGGTGGGAGGACTATCAAGAGCGCGGCGGTTACGACAACAGAATTGAAGTGAGCTTCGCAGGTGAGTGTACACGTAAAGGAACGACACAATGTCGTAGATGACTGTGGTCCTGTCTGGACCCGCAAGCACCGAAACAAATGTGTCATCCACCACGGCCTCTGCCGCCAGGCAGCAGTGCACCGGGGAACTCTTCACGGCTCTCAGGAACCTCATTGATGAGGAAGAAGCGGCTGCTGGCGTGCCCGAGGAGGACAGGTTTGCCTCCTGGTTCGGCGTCGGCTACGTCCACGAGATGCGGTGCATTGGGTGTGGACACGGGTGGTTTGGCGCCAGTCAGCATGAGGGCAGCGTGCTGGTGTGTGTGGATGAGACGATGGAGATGCACAAGGGCGAGTGGGACCTCATGAGGGCTGTCGACAGGGCGGTGAGACGGCCCGAGCCCAAGGAGGCCGTGTGTGGCGCACGAGAGACATGCGATTTGTGTGGCGCCCAGCTGCTTTGTCAAAGGTCAGCTCGACAGGAAGAGACCAAAGACCCATTGCCATATGTTCGTCTCCTTTTTGTTTTTGTTATCAGGCGGTCGTTCTTCGACTCACGCGAAGTGGGCACCAATGGCTGATTTCATCGTCTCGCTGCCTGTCGCCCCCGCCGCCACCTCCCACCCCTAGCTGACCATATCAACAAATCTGCCATATCAACACGGTGAGCGACCGATCACAACACAACACAACACAACGCAACGCAAGGCAACAACATTCGCGCGATAAGCAGAGGATGTCTTTATTTGTGTTCCCCCGCATCGCGCATGTGGGGCGCTGTGTGTATGTCTGCAGAGGGAGGAGAATGTCGGCATTTGCTGTCTACATTTTATATTCGTGGCATCTTCTTCAATTCCTCCGCACCCTATCAGTGAATCGATTCGGCTGGTGACAGGAGTGGTGCCTGTCCGTCTGCAAGAGCTACCCCAACTATGACGTCTTCTTCGTCGGCTTGACACACACCGACACACCCAACGCCACGATCCCTTCTGCCTCCCTCTCCCTCTTCGTCACACACCAACACCAACACCAACACCAACACCAGCAGCTGAGGTGTCAATCATCGTGTCTCACGTTCTTGCGTCCGAGATGGAGCTGTTCGCTGGCTTCCCGGATCCCGCGCGCCCGCCATCAGTACTGCACTGGGAGCATTTCAAGACCGAGGCAAAGAAGATGCTCCATCTGACGGACGAGGCGTTTGAGAACTTGCACATCGGCGCCCTCTTGGACCGCACCGCAGCCGTCGTCCAGTGGGGGCAGGCTATAACACAGCAACAGGTATTTATCCAGAATACAAGTCAGGCCTGGACATGCACTCGCACTTAGACAGGCCAACGGTGTGGTCGCTGGATGTGTGCCTTTTTGCAGCTTTCTGCGTTGAAGCTCAGTGAGGCCCCTTCCCTGGGGAACATAGCATAGGTGCGGCCATTGGCACACGGAGATTGAGCGATGGCGTTTCCACCGACATCTCTCTCTCTCTCTCTCTCTCTGTGTGTGTGTGTGTGCCTATCTCTCCGCACAGGTTGACCTGACGGGCGGCGCCGCTGCTGCGGCATCAGGACCGGTTTCGGGGCCTCCGCGATCCAAGGTGTGTAGAAGCACATACCCACAGGCCCCCTTTTGTCGCTCTCTCACTGTGGGTGCCTTCCTCGCTCTGCCAGGCGCCTCCTATTCTAGTGCGCCCACCGCCGCCCAAGCACCCGTGTAAGTGTGCGCACCTGCGACAGCAGCAGGCAGCCACAGAAGAGGGACACTGTCTGTGTGTTGTCTCTTTGTGGTGTCAGTCGAGATAGAGAAGTACACTCCGTGGATGCTAGGCCAGCGAGAGTCATCGCGGGTACGTATGAGCACGCAGATGGGGGAGAGCACCTACGCGTCATCCGCCCCCACACACCACACGTGTCTTGCCTGTTGGTTGCCTTGTCTGTCTTTCTTTCTGTCTATCAGGCGCCACTCAAGCAGAGACCCGGTGAGGCGGGGCTGGAGACGCTGGAGACGCCCCCTATGCCCATCCCTCCGCCTTGACATGCAGCACCGGGTGTGCCAAGGCCCAAGATGGCCTTCTACGGTACGTCCATTCAAACCCGCACTTGAGTCCTCTCAATGATTGTGTGTGTATGTGGGATGCCTCCAGAGACGTGCCAGCGTTGGCAAGAGGGCCGTCTGCAGGACCCCATGGCGACCATGCTGCAGCCGCGACACACGGAAGGGCCGACAGGGAGGCCTGCACACCGCCACGCCGCAAGACTGCCGCGCCCACGCGACGTCAGCCAGCGGCAGGGGCACTTGCTTCTAGCCGATCGCTGTTTACATTTTATATCAGCGGTCTTCTTCCATTCCACTGCACCAGCGATCGAGCTGTAGTACCCATGCCGAGTATGCATTTATCCGCGCGTCACGTGGCGCGTGTGTGACCTTTTCTCAGACCCTTCTGTCGCCCCACATACGGTCGCGCGTGTTTGTGCGTGTGTGCGTGTGTGTATCGACTCGACTCCTGCCCGTGGGGCACTTCAAGTCGATATGACTCCGAGGGGCAGAAGTCGATATGTCTCCCTCCACAGCCTGTGCATGACATCAATCCACAACCCGCGGAGTCCCAATCCTCTTTGATGGTCTCTGCAGGTAGGCACAGACACATCGGCCTCATCCCTCCGGTAAGATAGAATATGGGACTGAGGGGTGAGTCGTTGCGGCGAGAGAGGGTTTGGCTGATGTAATCTCGTGATGGTGTACGTGTGTTGGTGGTCGGCATCATGATCATGCTTGTCTGTGCATGAGGTGCACCCGTTGTGTCCACTGCGTTGTGCGGCCTGCCTGGCGCTCCTCCCCTTGATGTGCGTACGTGTACATGTATAACACTCTGTGTGACACGTGTGTTTGCAAGTGAATGCATCAATTGCTGCATGGGGGATCGCGCACGCGACCTGGCAGCAATGGCCGTGACAACGCGTACGAGGAAATTGACGCCGCATGTTTTTGGCCCCCAGCATGAGACCTGTGGGCGTCTTTTCAGAATTTCACTCCATATTCTACACTCCGCTCGTCGCAAGGCTTCTATTGACCGTCCATCCAGTATCCACACCCACTGCCAGTCTGACACACTCGCCATGAAAACCGCTGTCTCCATGCTGTTTGCCGTCGCCCCTCTGCTGCTCCACGTCATGGCCGCCACTGGCAAGCCTGTTCGGCCCCAGCTGAGCGCTAGCCTCGCGCTCATCCAAACCCAGGCGCAGCGGGCAAAGGCCATGGCCCTCGCCGCTAACGAGATGGCGCTCACCGCTGACGAGACGGCAGCCACGGCTGTCAAGACCATCAACGCGGCAGAACAACAGCTCAAATATCTCGCAGGTACATGCGTTGTGTGCATCGGAAGCAATGCACAGCTTGGATGCACGGGTTTACATAACCGATGTCTTTCTTGCGACAGGCCAATGGCCCACCAGCATGGAACCGCCGACTGACAAAGGCCGGCAGAACGCATGCGCATGGATCCGTACATGAGAGTTCCTTTCTCTCTTTATTGGTTCAGATGAGATGTCTCGAATTCTGAAGTTCCACTCAAAGCAGGAATACAAATGAACGGACTGGTTTCACATTCTGGGGCTCAACGTTCAATACCCAGACATAAGCACTGATGACGTCGCAAGGGCTTACACGAAGCTGAGCCAACTAGTAAGCGTCCACAGCCGATCAGAAAACACATAAACATTTGTACTCTCCGGTGCGTCCACATACAGATACAGCCGGCGAGAAACCACCCTAAGCTACAGGAGAGATTCACAGCCGCCCAAAAGCTGGTACCACAAACCTCTACACACAGACAGACAGACAGACAGACAGGGGGAATTGGGCCTTCACTCTATGACATGCATGTGATGCAGCTGGATATGGCAAAACAGCATTTGTTGGTCGAGTGCACAAAGGATCACCAGTGCGGGAAAGTCGGTTCGTGGGGACAAGCCTTCAAGTGCTTCGCGAAGAGAGACTTCACCGGTATGTGCAAGGTTAGAGACTTGATATGCAGATGCGGATCTGAAACCGTCATCTTTCTTTGGTGGCTCTCTTGCGCATGTCGCGAATGAAGATCGCAGGGGAGGAGCACGACCAATGTGAAGACGAAAAGCAAACGCACAGGCTGGCGCACAAGTGCAACCGCTCGCTGCCGGACATCGAGCTCAAATGCGAAGCAACCCAATTCGGCAAGGTTTGCGTGAAGCAGGGCTGTTACAGCGACGAGGACTGCCAGAACAATGAGAATGAGCCCCTGTGCTTCAAGCCAGTCCTCTTTGAGTCCAAAAGATTTGGAAAAGCCGGCGCATGCCGCGTAAGAAATGCTGATCCAAGTTTGGCTTGCCTATCTTTGGCATTCACGAATGAATTTCGTGTGTGCTGGTACATTTTCCTCGCTCAGAGCGTCGGAGTTGTGTCTGACCAGTGCAAACCAGATGGTACGCATCCCTGTGATGCCGGCCTTCAGTGCACACCGGTGTGGTTCGATAAGTCGAAGCACGCCTGCGTGCTTTCCCAGTGTTCGGACGACAACGACTGCTTGGGCAACAAGTACGGCCACCTGTGCTTCAAGCAGCTCGGGGGAAATGGACGAGAATGCAGGGTCAGGAACACAGAGAGGGTAGCTAGCCAGACGAAAAATCCCTGGATGGACCTTTCCTGCGTGTGCGTCCATGTGTGCAGGACAAGGGCGACATCCAGGTCCGTTGTGATGAGACACATCCATGTTATGAAGGCCTGGTGTGCACCGGAAAACGCGACACGCGTGGATGGGGCCCTTATCGGAATCGCCGGTGCCTCTGGCCGTCTGATATAGATGATGTTTAATGTTGTTCGTCTGCCCGTCTGTCTGTCTGTCGGTCGGTCGGTCGGTCGGTCGGTCTGTCGGTCTGTGTCTCTGCGTGGCTGTGTCACGTTACTGTCTGGCTTTCTGCCTGATCTGGCTGCCCAGTCTGGTGGGTGCCGCTGATGAGCAGTGGTAGATCTGCGCACGCTGGCTGGTGAGGTGTAGGTGTTGGCGGATTTGCCTGCACCCCTAGCACTCTCTCACACTGACTGACCGACCGACTGAATCATGCAGACAGACACTGATTTGAAGTCCTGTCTTGTGCGTGATGGACATGTCAACCAACGGAACAGTAAATGGACGGAAAGACGGACACACGGCCTTAGGTGTGTCAGTATGTCTGTGAGCCGCTCGACGGCCACCACAATGAATGCGTCAGGTCACCATGGCACATCACAGTCAGCAAGCCAACACACGATGCACACCACACCGAAATCGAGAAGCAAGCATCGTGATGCCTGTATCTCTCACGCGCCCAGCCCACCTCATCTCTCCTTCACACACACGTGTATACACACATACGGCCTGCGTTCATTCACCAACACGCCAGGCACCCACGTCGGCACATAGAGAAATAGTCAGGCAATACAAACCAACCAGAGCACTCAGTCTGTGTGGTGTAACATGGCCAGGAAGCGTTCAACAGTCGGCACACCGACACACGGTGCGCACCGCACTACACCAACACCGAGAAGCAAACAGACGCCTCTCTCACACTCGTGTGCGGGGCGCCCATCCCACTGGCATCTCTCTCTCTCTCCTTCCCCCACACACACAACAGTGTGTATGGCGCATACGCAGCCACCTATATATCGGCACAGAGAGAGGGATACTCAGGCGCATCCACCCGCCCGCCGAGTATGCCTGTTATCCGCGGGTCACGTGGCGCGTGTGTGACCTTTTCTCAGACCCTTCTGTCGCCCCACATACGGTCGCGCGCGTCTGCATGCGTGTGTGTGTGTGTGTGTATCGACTCGACTACTGCGGGGCAGAAGTCGATATGTCTCCCCCACAGCCTCTCCCGTTCCTCTTTGATGGTCTCTGGGCAGGGGTAGGTAGATAGAATACCGGGACTGAGGGATGAGTCGCGGCGAGGTTTAATTTGGCTATATGTAAATACCGTGAATTTGCGCGAGCCGTAACGGTCACCGTACAGACCGTCGAAACGTACGTGCAAAAAATGGCTTTCCCTCGCCTCGCACTCGTCGCTGCTTGCCTGGCCGCCTTGTCATTTGTCTCTGCGCAGCAATGTTGACGGGGCGGTTTCCGTTCAGAGTGGAAGAGCGGTGCCGAAACATTACGACGGCACTCAGACAGATGCTCCTAGGTGTGATGTTTCTCTGCGCAGCTGCCTCCTAGTGTGCCCACACTTGTTCCTCCGGTAGAATTGCCCACGTTTCCCACCTCTCCCATTTTGCCCAACGGAGTATGTGACCCAGAAGGAGCGCTCCGACGCGTCTGCAGGCGTAAGCACTGACCAACTGGACGTGGTGCGCACATATATTGTGAACACACGAGTGTATGCTGTGTGCAGAGATTGTCGCGGGCAACCCCACAAGATGGCGCATTGACTCTGGCGATATTGCGGCCGACGACGATCTTTTGGCCGATGATGACGTCGCGGCTGGTGGCAACGTCATTGCAGGGGGCTATGTGCGTGCAGACGGCAATGTCAAGGCGGGTGGCAACGTAACTGTGGGAAACTTTGCCTTTGACGACAGAGTCCCAGTTTTGCCTTTCTCATTATGGCGTAACTCTGACATCGAGGGCAGCATTATGGCGGCTGGCAACGTGTATGTGGGAAGCCCGAATGAGGAGGTCATCACGTCGCCCTTTGGCACCGAACGTCCCGCTTGGTATGCTCCTGGTGGCAATGTTTTGGCGAGGGGCAGCGTAATTGCGCAAACAGATCTTGGGGCGAAGCAGTGTGCGTGTGGAGGGGTGGTGACCCGCCGGGCGGTTGCTGATGCTTTCGAGGTGCCCAGCGACTCGCGCAATCAGCCCCCGACATCCATGGCCGAGTGGGGCGACCGCAATCGGTCGGCGGCCTATGAGGCCTTCCGGCAGCTGCGTGTGCGCTTCGATGGCGACGCCCAGCTCGCCCTTGCCCCTGCTGAAGTGCACAAGGTCTTCCCTTCGGCTGTCAAGACATTCACGCCACATAATAAGGATGAGAAGCCCGAGGGGCCGGCTGCCGCTGAGATGACCATCGACCTCACTCAGCTGGTCTACACACAACTGGCCGTCATGCAAGGCCTTATAAAGGCCAACGACGAATTGAGAAAGGCCAATGACGCCTTGCGGGGCCGCGTCACTCGTCTGGAGAAGGGCCGCTGAACCGATCAAACCGCACCCGGTGAGTGGCGTCCGTATTTATCCATCGTACAGACCCCGCGGGACTCTCTCTCTCTCTCTCTGTGTGTGTGTGTGTGTGTATGCGTGTGTGGCAGGGAAGGGCGGCAACAAGGGAGAAGGCGGCAGGGGCGCCGATTCACCCTCCTCGACCATTCGCGGGCTGGTCATGTTGTCATTCATGTATAATAGTGAATGTGGCGCTGCTGCTGGCCTCGGGAAGTGAAGTACAGTGACCGACAGGGCGAAGCCAGCCCCCCGTCGTCTTGGCTTATTATGCCTGTATGTGTGTGTCGTGCTGTGGTTATGGGGCAAACGTGCATTCTTGGATAGTAGTTATTTGTAGAATTCGCCCGCTCGCTGGCTGTATTATTTGTTTTATGGGGACTTTTCATCCAATGAATGCGGTGCTTGTGAAAGCTGGCGTCATCCATGCTTCCTGCGCCTATCGTATACATGCATGTTGTGCGTGTCCGTGTCTCTGTGTGTGTGGGTATGGCACGGTGAGTTAGATGTCGTATCTAGGTCCGAGTCGAGTCGAGAGATCGCATCTAGGTAGGTCGTAGCGCGTAGGCAGGTAATCGATCGGCCCCCCGTGTGCTGCGTGAAGTTGTACTGTCATACAGGTAGACTGAGGACCCCACGACAGTCGCTCAACTCAATTGTCCAAATCCATCCATCCCCCCATCCATCCATCGTACTTGCGTCCGCCATCTATACACACGTCAGACACACACAGACAGACAGACAGATACACAGACACCACTGCCCGCAACCATTCGTATGCGACAGACAAACGCACTCCCTTTCTCCCTCCCTCCCTCCCTCCCTCCCTCCCTCCCCGACCAGCCAGCCAGCCAGCCAGCCAGCCAGCCACACCAGATGCGCCACATCCGATAGCCCCACATATGGACACGAAGGAAGGGAAAGAAAGCAGACTGTACCACACACATACAGACACCCCGCCCGCAGCCAGCCCATCCACTCCCTCACGGCGTGGCCTTAGCACGCCCCCTCCTGCCCGTGGCCCGGCCGCCCCTCTCGGTCGCCCCCACACTGGTACCGCGGCCACTGACGGTCGTGCCGGTCTTGCGCCTCTGCTTGCGCTCGGCGTTCTTGGTCACCTGGGTGTAAAAGAGGAAAATAAGCCGTATGTTTGTATGTATGGTGAGTATGTGTGTGTATGAAGCTGACCTGCGTGGCCGCGGGAGGCGGTGAGGGCGAGGTGATGGTTGTGCGGCAACGACGGAGCGGCCGGGAAACGGCGGCCGGAGCCAACCAGGTCTGCAGCAAACCCACCCATCCAGCAATCGATGGATGCATCGAGACTGAGTGCTTTCTTTCCCTGCCCACACTTACTTACCTCTACTAGTCCCTCCAACACGCTGATCTGCTCCCCCTCCCCCTGCCGTGCAAACGCCGCCAACTGCGCTACAGACGGCCCCTCACACAGGCCCGAGCGGCCGCCCCCCTGCTGCACCGGCATGTGGTGGTGGTCTTGGTGTTTGTCGTTCATGCGGTAGAGGTAGCACGTGTGTCGCTCGTTGGAGCCGTGCATTGACATGGGCAGCCGGGCGGCGAGGGTGCCGTCCAGACCGAACTCCTCAACCAGATCTGCAGGGGAGAGAAGACACACACACACGACACAGAGAGAGAATGAGAGCACCTGCTATGCTCATCCACCACCTACCACCGCGGAAGCAGCAGAAGGCGGTGAGAGTGCGCGTGACGTTGGCGATCTCCACGAAACTGACACATACAGAGCCGCAAAGCACATGTGAGCAAGAACGAGACCTCGATTGATTGGCATTTCCCTGTCTGTCTGTCTGTCTGTGTCCGCTCCCCTACCTAATCATGACATCAGCAGGCATGCCCACATCGAATGTGTAGATGTGGGTGGCCGGCTCAAACGTGTCGAGCGCCGTGCAGTCGCCCTTCCCGAAGGCTATACGAAGGGGAGGGGGATTGGCCTCTTCTCGTGACTGCACCGCACCATCCACACATGTGTGGACACACACACACATGGACGAACGCGCTGCCTGTGGTGATGCGGCTGATTGTGTGCGCACCTGCACGATGTTCTTGGCGAAGTGCAGCTGCTGTCGTAGCGATAGGTAGAACGAGGAGGCATCTATCTCCATGCCAACTGCAGCAACACACACAACGATGAATGCATTCACTCATGGATGGATGGATGGACGGTCTCTGCACTCTCACGTGAGATGATCTTGGGCCGCATCAGCGCCAGCAGAAGACTCGGCACGCCCCGGCCAGACCCTAGGTCAAGGAACACGGAATCCTGCAACCACAATTCACACGCCACGCGTGAGGCACATCGAATGCTTTCTCTGCCTGTGCTCACATACATCTTTCATCCCGAACTCGGTCTGCAGGGTGTCGTACAGCGCCGCCAGCGACGAACGCCTATTCTCGCCATACATGCCTGACATGACACACCAACCAAACAGCCACACAGAGCCACAAAGCGTTCCACACGATGAGTGTGAGGCCCATTTTCCCGCGCCCCTTGCTGACTGACCATAGGTGGATGTGGCGAGGCGGGCGAGTTCTTTGCTGAAGAGGGAGGGGATCAACGACTGCAGAAACGCCGTGTCAGGCATGTTTAGTGCCCGCTATCACCCAGGACGACAACATTCACTCGCAGGCGTCTGGTCGCTTAATTCATCATCCTCCGAATGATGTGTTTCACGCCTCTGAACCCCAACGCGTAATAAATTTTCAGTGTCGTGAATGGCGGCGCACAAGACGTTTCTTCTGGTCGCACTGACCATCCTCGTAGAACTCCTCGTCACCGCCAATGGCGCCCATGAGCAGAGTAAGTTCGTTTTGCGTGCGTCATGCGCTCATACGCGGTGTGTGTGGGGGGGCTGCACTGTTGCAATGCAGGGACGTCTGCCGAACTGTCCCTCGTGCAGCTGCAGGAGCAGCTTGACCGTTACCAGGAGGCCTTGACCTTCAAGTCCAACCGCACCACGGCGGCCGCCGACAACCTCGCCCTCCTGGCCCACAACGTCCTCCACCACGCTCAGCAATATTCCCGTAAGTGGCACTCAGCGCCCCTTGCATGCGCAGCATCCACGAATTCATCTTGTCATGGCTTTTCCCACTGCAAAAGGCGAAGTCGTGCGCGATGCGACGCAGCCCGCCTACCCCGTCGACGAGTGCGCCCCCCCGAGTTTCTTCACTAAAGGCTTCCGCCTGGCAAAAAAAGCTGAGCTGGCCTCCAAGTACTTCTGCTTCGTCCCGTCTGGCGAGGAGCACTGCCTGGTGTGGAACTGCGAGACCGGCTCCGATGGGCAGCCGCACTACGGCGACTTCCCTTACGACGCGCTGCCCAACCACTGCATCTTCTTCCCGACTGGGAACAAGAAGGAGGCGTGCAGGGTGGACAAGAAGTGCCCGGGGGAGTGACAAGGAGGCAGAGACACTGGCGTGACGAGGAGGCAGAGACAGTGGCTGGCGTGACATGCGTGAGACAAACAGAACATTGTGTGCGCGGCCGGGATCGATCGGATCAGTCACAATGCATTCAACGCGTCCAATAGCACACAGAGTGACCCTTCGCATCTCATCGAGAGGGAAGGGCACACAGCAGAACAAAAACTCTCACACCCACACCCACACCCACATACCTATACATTGGGGGTCCCTCCCTCGTCAATCGACAAGCCCATCAGTACTCTGCACAGACTCACTGACACGCAGACACCCATTCGTCCATCCATATCCAAAACCGGCATGCGGCTCGTCTCCGCTGTGCTGTGCTGCCCCTTCCCAGTCGGCGTCATTCCTCTCTCTGTGCCCATCTGTGCCCTTTTCTCGCCCCCCATCGGAACGGCTCTTGTCACACACAGTGGAAAGGCGGGACAAAGATCCCTTTTGATGGAGAACTTGAAGGAAAAGACGGGCATGAAGACGCACATCATCAGCGCAGCAACGAGAGCACCTGACTCTGATTCTTGCCTCCGGGTCTCCCTCCCCTGTCCTTCGATCATCTACAACGGAGCGGCGCTACGTGCCAACGATCTCAACGGCAAGACCGCCAGCGCACAGCACGACACCCATGTGGAGAACCGAACAAGACAGAGAGGGAGACAGAGAGGGAGATCGACACCACGCAACGACGAAGGGCATTCACCGGGGAGCTGCGCCACCTGTCCGCGGGAGGACGAACTTGTCCAAGAAAAAAGCGTGGAAACGGGCGTCCTCTGACAGATCTCACACACACGGACACACACACACACACACACAGCGAGAGAGAGGAAGTGTGATGTGATTGATGCACGTCGGCGTTCTTGTGCAGTCAGTGTGTATGTGTGTAGCATACCCACCCGTGAGCTCCGGATGAAAGATGGTGATGAAAAGATGACCCTGACTCGCAGCTGGACACCAACACAACGAGGGTGTGTAGAGCGAGCAATGACTGCGCATCCATCACCTACCGGCAATGACGGGTTTGTCAGAGGTCGCTTTGGGCGATGACGGGTCTGCAGCAGCGGGGGGCAGATGGGCGATCACCTCCACCTGCACATGGACGGACATCCATGAGCCGTACTTTGACTCATGGGTGTGTGAGGGTGTTGGGTCATGCCTAGCCTAGCCTACATCGTCTGAGAGAGGCTGCAGGATGGCAGGCGCACGGATGCAGACAGCCTGCAGTGCACCAACCAGCCCAACACGTACATACCAACACACACACACAGCACAGCACAGCACAGCACAGACATCGTTCCTGTCCTGAACACCCTTCCTTAAGGGTGCCTGGCCTGCATCGTTCGGGTGACTCACATTGAATCCACTGGCAATGTCAGCGTATGCGCCACATCCAACAAGGGGAGCCTCAAAGGAGTCCTTCTGCACACACACACACACGGACAGCCCATCCATCCATCCATCCATCCATCCACACATCGGGATGCCAGCTCACCTGCCTCCCGAAGAAGTTCCGCGACGTCCGAACGTCCACGCCGCCCAGGAACTCCCCATACTTGTCGCGCGCCGGCTCTCGCTCGCCATTCCGTGGCACGTCCTGCCCAGATATCACCTCGCTAGACAGCAGGATCGCCCCCGCACACGTGCCCCAGACGGGCTTCTTGTCGGCGTGGACGAACTGCTTCAGGGCCTCCATCATGGCCCCGTTGTCGGCCTGCGCGATGATCCGCAGAGTCGTCGACTCACCGCCAGGGATCACCAGAGCGCTGCATGAGCTCAGCTCAGAGGGAGTGCGCACCTGTGTTGTGTTCGGCCACCACCACACACACAAGCACAGCACAGACACCAACACACCCCGTAAGACAGAGACGACAGGACACTCATATGAGCATCTTGTGTGCAGATCACTGGATGCGCACCTGCACGACTCTGACGTTTGGCCTCTGCAGTCTGTCGAAGAGCTTCTGGTGCTCCTCGAAAGCGCCCTGGAGAGCCAACACGCCCAGCACGACTGCCGTCCGCGCAGGGGAGGCAGGAGGGCTCTCAGGACTGCACGCAGGGGACTCCGATGCCTCTACCATCTTCTGAGCTCCACTTTACTCGCGGGAAAGCAGCAGGGAAGTCGATCTGCGAGCTCAAGTGCGAGCTTAGCGAAGGAGGACAGCGAAAGCGAAGGCTGATCCACCCATCCTTCCTTTGCCGGAGCAATGGCTTTGTGCGTCGGCGACGAGAAGGGGCGGACACAGCGAGGAGGGAAGAGCAGCATCGTGACGGACAGGAGGGGACGGGGAGGGGGAGGGGTCGGCTGCTGCCGCCGGTGTCGGTATGACGACCCTGAAGCCAACGGATGGCTGCTGTATGGGCTGACGAGGGGACCCTGGGTCATACACGCTGGCGCCATCCTCTCGCCTGTCATTCAGGTACACACACACGCACACACTCAGAGAGAGAGAGAGAGGCAGGGGTGGCGCACAGGACATGTGAGTGGTTGTTGTGTGTTCGTGTGTGTTCAGGTGATAGCTGAGGGTGCGGCAGACGAGAATGGTCGGCTGTTCTCCGGCAGTCTGAAAGCCACCTCGCTGCTGGCGGTGGTCAGTACTGTGGGAGCATTGCTGTCCGCCATACAGGTACCCGCGATGACCGACCACTGCATTCAGTTTTGTGATGTGTCCATCCATCGTGGTTCTTTCGCGTGGGTGTCTGTCTGTCTGGCAGGGTCCCATCTTCGGTGCCTTCCTTGATTACACGCCCTACAGAAAACTGGCATGGCAGTGGTGCTCTTACATCTTCGGTACACACACACACACACACACACACACAAGAAAAGGCCTGGTCCATCCATTGTCACCCCTGAGTCTGTGTTGCGTTGCTGTGTTGCCATTTATTTCCTGACTGGCAGGTGTGCTGCTGATGCTGACAGTGCTGCTCAGCGCCGAGACTTTGGCGCTGTATCTCGTTCTCGCGCCCATCACCTCAGTGGCCCTCGACATGAGCACCACCCCGCACCTGGCCTATCTCCCTGAGATATTCCAGACACAGAAGGCCGTCACCAAGATCTCCGCTCAGCTGGTGCTCGTCACCAACGGCACGGCGCTGCTCTGGGCGGCCGTCTTTGTCGGCCTCACTCCAAGAATTGGACTCGGTGAGTGAGGGAGTCATGGGAGAAGAAAAGACCACACACACACACACACATGGGCAGAGGGGCTGGCCCTGTGTGTGTCGTGTGCAGAGGGGCTGTGGAACATGCGTGTGTCTGCGATTGGGTGTGGGCTGAGCGTCATACTGTGGAGCTACCTGTCGTTCAAACACATGGAGGGGCGGCCAGCTGTGCGGGCGCTGAAGCCTGACAAGGGGGAGTACCTATGGTCCATTGGCTTCATCCAGGTGGGCAATGGTGGTAGGGTGGGCAGTGGGGGGGAGCGGACAACACAGACACACGCATTATTTCCGTATTTCCGTGATTTATCGCTCAGACGTACCGGCGTCTGCTGACGGTGTGGAAGGACTACCCCATGGTGCTGCTGACTCTGTTTGCCTACTCTCTCTACTACGCCACCGTCATGACCTTCTTCCAGCTCACGGCAACCTTCCTCGTCTTTCAGCTCAATCTGTCAGCTGAAGAGGTCAGTCAGTCAGCCCCTTTCAATGACGTCTTTCCACTTGTTCATTCGCTTCGTTGGCTTTGTGCTCTCATCTTTGTTAACAGGTCGGTGCCATGGTGACTTTGGCAATGGTCGCGTCGCTCGCCGGAGCAGGCCTCGTCATCGCGCTCCGGAAGCTGGTGCCCCTCAAGGCCTGCCTCATGTCTATCCTCTTCTTCCTGGCCCTCCTGACCCTGGTCCCGCCGCTCTTCCTCAGCACATCCACAGACGGCGCCAAATTCGGCGGCCAAGTCGGCAGCCCATGGCCATACGTCTTTGCGATCGGGCTGGGGGTGCTCGTGGGCGGGATCTTCTCGACGTCACGCGCCTTCTTCGCCGTGATGACGCCTGGCGGCCACGAGGCGGAGTTCTTCGGCCTGTACATCCTTGCGGGGCAGGTGCTGCAGTGGCTGCCGAGCCTGCTGTTCGTGGCGGTGAATGAGACCGACCCTGATGGGAAGGCCAGCACGGGATACTTCGTCTTGACGCCCTTTTTCATTATCAGTGAGGCAGGCGCCATTGACACACACACACACACAGAGAGAGAGAGAGAGAGAGATTTCGTCCCCAAGTGTGTTTGTCTGTGTGTGTCAGGTGTGATTCTGATCGGTTGCGTGAACATCCGCAGGGCCGACAGTGACGTGCGCGACACCCTCAGCGAGCGGAGATACGCGTCCTCCCGCACCAACACCCAGAACAACACACTCGCACACCCATCACTCAGGAGCAACGTCGACCCCCATCATCATGATGTCGACAATGTGTGTGCTCAGCAACCAGGCCAAGGCAGCCAGGGCTGGATTGACCCTTCTCCTTGGCCCGCTCACCATTATGCCTTTCCCCCTCCCTCCCTCCCTCCCTCCGTGTGTGTGTATGTCTGTGCGCAGGTGATCCACCTGCCCGTCATCACCGAGGCCGACAAGCCACCTTCCCCGTCCAATAGGAGGCCGACCGTGGCATCCCTGTCAACGGCGGTCTTCTCAGAAGGCCCAGATCAAGACCCTGAGGCAGGAGAGGACAGCGACGACCGGCCCCCGACGGACCTCTCATCCCGGAGGACGGCAGCAGAAGCGTCGTGCCCGTCGTCCTCTTCGCCCAACGAGTCGCCATACAGCGGCCCGAGGGGCGAGGTGGACGTGGTGGCTCCGGGGGATGTTGCTGTTGGTGTGGGCGTTGAGGTTGATGTGGATGTGGATGTGGATGTCCTCGCGCAAGGGCATGTGAGGGGAGGGGGCGGAGGGAGTGTTTAGTTGCGTGTGTGTGGTGGTGGATGGGATGGGTCTTGTCAAGGATGGATGCCTCGGTCCAGTCGATGCTTTCAACCAAGGTTGGTCTGTCCATGGAGGGTTTGTGTTGGTTGGTTGCACGAAGTGCCTGCATTGCATGCCAACATGCACCATATCATTCCTGACGGTTGGCAGGGGCGGCCTTATTGCTGCGGTTGCTGCGGTCGGCATTTGGTATTTCTCCTGTGGATGGATGTGGGTGAATGACTTTGACTGACTTTGCTCTCACACGTGAAAGAGAGAGAGAGAGGGAGGAGGGAGGGAGGGAGGGGAGGTGCATACACAGGTTCGTACTGCGGCAGCCGTGTGGATGGATGGATTGACGGTGATGCGAGCAACCGAGTGAGCTCGTGGGTCGAGACTGAGGTTGCATTGCATTTTGTGGCCGACGGTCGGAGGGGCGATTTTGTCAGATCAGAGACAGGCGGACTGAGCGATAGGGAGTGCTGATTTCTCAGATGGATGGATGGATGATGGCTCTACATACATTGCCCTGCTGAAGGGCAGGCAGAGTTTCACGTGTGGGTGTGGGTGAGTGTGGGTGTGGTCCTTGCTGTCCTGTGTGTGCATGTCAGTCCTGTGAACGGACGGGTGTCGTGTCGTGTCGTGTCGGGGCTCTTTCTCGTGTGTACGTGTACCATGTTGACTGACGCATAGCATATTCATACCGATCGACCATTGAGTGGATTGCATGTGGGTGTTGTCAATGCATTGACTAAGTGTGGCGCTCACATGAAAGGCAGACAGACAGACAGACGGACAGACACACAGACAGATAGATAAGAGCATTATGAAGACCCGCGAGTACCGTACCAGGGGGGAAAAATACGTTGGTGTCTCTCTTTTCTTTGTGCAGTGTCTCACTGCACTCGTGAGGCCCTCCCTCCCTCCCTCATAAGCCACTCATTACCCAGCCACAACCCCACGGACACACAAATGCCCGTACAAGTACACACCACAGCATCCATGGCTGGCTGGCAGCCACAAAAGCCGCCCAGCTCGCCTCGCCACGCCACAGTCACATCTCAACACACAGACATCTCAACACACAGCAACAAAACACGGGGATGCATCGCGAGAGACAGACAGATAGACAGACAACCCCTCCCCCCGCTCCTCACCATTACAGCACTCCGACGTACCCTCTACGCTTCGACGTAGTCTGTACGTCTCGTCATCATCACACGACATGGACAGCTCACGCATGCACCGCACGTGTGTTATCTTACTATAAAGGCAGGCAGGCCACTATAAAGGCTCATGCAGACAGACAGACAGACAGGAAACCTGCAAAAAGGCAGCTGCTGCGATCCGATGGGCCATCGATGCGATCCCATCTCCATCTCTGGGCTGACTGGCGGTGGGCCACACATACACAAAAGATGTAGGGTATGCCCCCTCCCTTGGCTGTTCTGCCCGAATTCTATCTACCACTCTTGACGACAGAACGCACAAATGCCTCCCACCTACCTAAGCTACCTACCTAAGTACGATCGACACGCCCGGCTCTCTCTAGTCTATGTGTCGGTGTCCTCCGAGAATCGCACCGACTTCTTGGACGCACAGGAGCCGGTGGTGCTCTGACGATCCACACCGCCCGCCATCGCCATCTCTCCCCTCTGCACAACAGCTTGGCCGGGGCCGGGGACGTGGTTGTGGTTGTGGTTGTGGGCGTCGTCACCCTCTGGGGACTGGTGGACGCTGCTGTGCTCTCTGGAAGCCATCTCCAGCAGCTCCTTGCTCACAGGGCCGAGCACCTCTGTCGGCTGTGTGCTGATGGTGCCGCCAGGGGTCCTGACTGCCTCGCCATCGGACTCCTTCTCCTTCCCATCCCCAGCAGCACCATCACCGTTGCCGTCCACGGTGCTGCCGGCGGTTGACGAGTGCAGCGGTGCCCGGGGTGCCCGCTTGAGGCATGGGCAGAAGGGTGCGAAGTAGGACTGGATGATCTCCAGCCGCTTGGACACGATGAGCATTGCCAGCCGCAGCCGCGACTTGGATCTCTTCGTCTTTTGCCGCTTGCGGATGAGGTCCTCCAAATCCAATTGCAAAATCTCAGACTGTCTGAGGATTTCGGTGTGGACGCTGTCCTGACGCTGCAGCACCCGGGTGATGAGCCGCTGGTCGAGCAGCGCCACGTGCAGGTCCTCCACCGTCATGCCCAGCTGCAGGGCGTCCATCCTAGCGTCGCGCGCCAGCCCGTCAAATGCCTTACGAATCCCGATTATCAGCCGCACCTGCCACCACAACACACACAATGAATGCCCGTGTGAGTGTGTGTGCGGGTGTGTGGTATACCTTTTGTATGGCCCTTCTCCATCTGGCAATGGGGTGCATGTGTATGTCGTTGTCGTCGCCGTCGATTGTGTGTCGGTCGTGGTCACTGCTCTGAGAGGAGAAAGTCCGCAGCTTGGACGCTATCCGCCGCAACACGCCCATGCCGGCTGCACGAGCACAGAGCAGAGGAGTTATATGTCCCTTTATGTCTCGAGTGGGGTGGATGTGGTGTACCGTTCCCGCCAGATCCGGCGGTGCCTTCATCATCGCCGCTGGTGCCTGCCCTGGGTGACGACATCCGTCGGCCGATGTCGCTGGCCATCGACAGAGTGGTCTTCGTCTCGAAACGCCGCGACGCCCCAGCAGACCTGCAGCAGCGAAACAAACGACACACGCGTGTGTACCACTCTGGAGGAGGAGAAGATGATGTCTCTGTGCAAAGGGCACTACCTGGCCGTCTGTGGTGGAGGTGTGACGTCTCCCTCTGAGCCCCCGGGCAGCACATGCCCCTCAGACACCGACCGCTCCACCTGCTCGGCCGGCAGCGTGGTGTCCTGCTCCTGCTGCTGCTGGTCTGCCGCGAGCACCTCATTCTCCTTCACACTGGCCAGAAAGGAGTGGCCCTTCGGCAGCAAGGCCGGCGGCTCGGTGGCGTTGACCACATCGGAGTCCGATGCGGAGCGGTCGAGCTGGTGAGGTGGGGTCGCGTCGGGCGACCGGCTCCTGGGGCTGGGGCTGCGAAATGCACCTACGGCATTCACCACCTTGCGAAGCCGCTTGGCTCCTGACACACACGCACACACACACACAGAGAGAGATAGGGAAAGTGCCCCTTGTGTGTGTGTGTTGGATTGTCCCTGTCACCCACACACACACACCTGCGCCAGGCTGTGGCTGGTGCTCGTCTTCCGGCACGTCAAGTGTGGCTTGGGATTCGAACGTGCGGCTGATGCTGGGAGCGTTCTGCGATGGGGAGGTGGCGACCGAAGGACTTGACGAGAGGGCCTTGCTGCAGCCCGACAGACACGTAACAACGACACACACATCCCATGGTTGGCAATGATGTGCGTGAGATGGTGTGGTCACCTTGAAGTATGGCTGAACGAGTTGTGCGACCCCGGAGCCAATTTCTGTATCCTTCGCCGCAGGTTGACCAGGTGCCGCAGCACCCGCACGCCCGGCGACTCCTGCTGCGTGCCCGACAGCAGCAGGTTCGGGTCGACCTGTCGGATCATCTCTCTCGCCTCCGCCAGTTTGTTCTGCAGCGCCTTTCGGCGGAACACCCGGACCAGCGTCTCGTGGACGAAGAACACGTCGAAGTAGGCCACGTGACGGTGCAGCTGCGGGATGATGGCCTCCTGCAGAGAGGGAGGAAGGAGACGAGAGAGAGAGAGATGGAAGAGTGCGGTGTGTATATGTGTGTGTGTTTATGTGTGTGTGTCGTCGATCTCACGTTGAAGCACTCTCTGAGGAAGTTTCGCTCCGCCTCTGAGAGCTGCGATATGTCTAGCAGCTCGCCACCCTTACTGCACGCACAGAGGCACCACATGTGAGTAACACGTACGTGTGTGTGTGCGTGTGTGTGTGTGTACCCCGGTCTGAGGAGTATCCTGGCCTGGTCGAGCATTGTGAGGCGCCTGATGAGCTTCGGCACACGCCGCCGGGGACACGACCAGGCCTTCCGCCTTGGCCTGACCAATGACGAATGCACGTGTGTTGTGTTGTCCGGATGGTTCTGTGCAAACAAACATGTGGCTGCCTGCACGACTCTCTCACATCTCGTTGTTGAGTTCCCTCTCTCTCTGCGCGTGGTATCTCTTCTCGGCCTTCTGGAAATAAGGCCGCAGAAACCACAGAGCCGCGCGAAAGACGAAGAACACCTGTGCACACAGACAGAGACACAGACACATGTACGCCTTCATGTGTGTGAGTGCACCGCGCCCTACATGCAGGCAGACAACGAACACCACCACGGCGTACTCGGCGCCCGCCTCAGCCACCGCCCCGGTGTCCACGAGCTCCTCCTCCACCCTCAGGTTCTCCAGCACCGGGATACACAGGAGGGTCAGCAGGAAGGCCCACAGCGCCTGGGACTCGAGATGGTCACATATCTTGAATGCACGGTTGTCATACGGCTGGAAGGCAGCTGCAGCGGACACACACACACACGGTCTGTCTTGGGGAGGGGTGGTGGGCGTGCTGACCGTTAAGGAAGAGGGAGATGACGGCGAGCAGCAGGAGGACAATCATTTCGTGCTCGGCGCCGAGGAAGGGGATGGCCGGGGGCAGGTCCACTATGATGCGGCGGAACATGGCCCACGACTCCCACCAGTAGAAATCAGGCCTATATATAAGCACACAAACAACATACACACCACACATGACATGAGTGGCTGGCCGGTTCTCTTGCTCTCTGTCGGTGCTCGGTGCGGTGTCTGCCGTCTTTCGCTCACTCATAGCCCGCGAAGAGGAAGCCGAATCGCGCCATGACGCTTTCCTCATGTAAGCGGTGCCGATGCTGCGCCGCAGAATCAGAGGTGAGCCGTGGGGCTCTGTGTGTGTGTGTGTGTGCGCCAAGCTTGCCTGTCTGAGAATGAGGTACATGGCGATGGGCAGTCCTGCTGTCCACAGGACCATGCCGACGAGCGACAGGGTGAACCAGTACTGGAAGTGGTGGCCGGTGCACTCGATGGACGGATGGGACCTCACGCGCGGCCCGTCCAGCACCACACAGTCGAGGTTGTTGATGAAGCACTTGGTCATTATCGGGTGGAACAAAACCACACACACTACCTGGTGGACACACACAACACACAACACACAACACACATACACGGTGGCACCAATGGGGTGTGTGTGTGTGTCTGAGTGTGTGTGTTTCCCTCCCTCCCTCCCTCCCTCCGTCCCTCCAGCTGGATTGCATTGCACTAACCACGCACGAGGTGGCTTTGCGGTGGACCTCTGTGAGCCACGGTAGTGCCTCTGCGTCGTCCTTGCCCTCGAGGAAGCGCTTCATCCGGCCGACGTAGATGTTATCGTTCTCGCCGATTCCCGTCGACGGCATTCGGCTGATCCGACGGTTGGGGACATGTACGGGCTGCTCCTGAATCGGTCAAATCAGATCAGACCACACCACACCACACCCGTACACAGCGTCACGTCGGGGTGTGTCTGTCTGCCGACCGTGCATGGGTCGATGCTGTTGGTGCGGTCCACGCCTCGCTCAGCATCAGGGGTCAGCGGCAGGCCGTGCCGCTTCCGGTCGAAATACACCTTCCCTGCACACACACACAGACACAGAGTATTGCACAGCACACACGCGCCCGCCAGAGTCTCTGCGTACCCGCATAGAAGCCGTAGGCCAGGAGGACGGCCACAGGGGGAAACAGAAATGCCAGCAGCGCGTAGAAATGGATCGCCGGAAAGGTTCGCAACAGGCACTCTGCCCGACAGACAACACACCCAACACACAATACAGTACAGCATCCACTGAGCATGCCATCCCTGTCTCCCTCCGTGTCTCTCCCACCCACCGATGCCTATGAAGTTTTTCAGCGGGTTTGTGAGCGAGTCGAGGTAGCCCACCCCCTCTGTGAGCTGCCGGAACACGTCGAGGTTGACGTTCTCCATCGCCATCCCCACAGCGGGCCCACACATCTCCAGCCACGTCTGGACGATCTTCACAATCACCGCCTGCAGACTCAGCGTCTCCAGCCCCTCGCGCAGCGTCGACCGCACCAGGAAGGCGATGATGGTCAGTGCGACGACGGGGAAGAGCACGATCTGCCAACGGGCAGGCACCACACACAGACACATGCATCTCTTTCTCCCTGTGTGAGTGCATGTGTGTGTGTGGCGTACCTTTGACCATGACCAGATGGGGGATGGGCACTCCTGGCACTCTCCTCCGCCAGTGGGGGGCGCGTATCCACGGCTGCAGTCAGCACACAGCGGCCCAAGCGAGCCCTCGCCGCAAGTGTTGGCACCCATGCACCGCGCGTCATTGGGACACTGCACAAAAGTGTACCTGCACCCAGACGCCCACCCAGGCGGCGCTTGAGTCGATCTATGCTATGCGTGTGTGGTGGATGTGTGGATGCGACGCACACGTACGCGTTGCTGGACTGAGCGACGGGGTCGAACCCATCGTAGAGGCGGAACATCGTTCCCTGCAGCCAGGCGTACCCCAGCCTGTTCACAAGTGCCTCCACCTCCTCGTCTGCACCAAGAATAAGGAAGATACACCCACGCGACGCGACGCAACGCAACGCTCTGGCTGTGTCGTGACCCACGAACTCACTGACTGACCGGTCATGTTGTCGAATTTGTCTTCTCTCCGCTGCCTGTACAGATTGTCGAACCGGTAGAACCCCGGCAGTGCGTCAGGATCCGCGCGCTGACGCGGCAACGAGCAATTCGCTCCCACAGGACACTGACAAGTGACATCATCAACACACGCACACACACACACACACAGACACATGGCTTTCATCTCGCCTCTCTCCCTCTCCCCCCCCACACCCACACACACACACACACACATGCTCAGCTCAGCTCAGCTCACCAGCCGACATGTGGCTGCCCCGGACACCTCTGCAACAGTCCCCTCGACGCAGGCCGAACAATACTGGCTGGCGGAGGTGGCTGCGTATGTGCCGGGGGTGCACCTCAGACAAACCACCGCCCCCTCGCGCGAGAACGTCCCCTCCGGGCATACGTCGCACTGGCCCATCCCCATCCGCGGCGCCGCCTTGCCGGCCACACAGGGGAGGCAGAAGTCGATGCCATCGACACGGAAGTGGCCCGGGGGGCAGGGCGAGCAGACGTCCATGGACCGCCACGTGGCGTTGTCGATCTCGAATCGGTGCCAGTAGTCCTCTGATGGCGGCTGGTACCCAAGCCGGCAGCCGAACATCCGAGGGTCGATCTTAATCTGACAAATGGATAAATGGATGGATGGATGGCAAAAGAAACGTTTCGAGCCCTGTGCTGTGTGGAGGCGTGTGTGGCGCACCCTCAGTGGCTCCTCCCTCATGTGCCGTGCCAGCGATGCAGGGATGCCTAACACACACACAGACAGACACACAGACAGACAGACAGACAGACAGACACACAGATAAGTACTACGTGCAGACATGCAGTAAGTCCATGTACCCACCTGGCTGGAGATTGGGGTTCTCTATGAGCGTGATGGAGTTGGTGAGAGGGACGTCGTCGAACACGTCAGGAAGCGGACCCGCAAACTGATTCCGCTGCTCAAACCAAACGACAACACAACAGAACCAACGAAATACGCCAATTGACACGCGTCCGTCCGTCCGCTTCACATGGAGGAATATGGTGGAAGCCATCTTGAGGCCGCCAATGGACTGCGGGATCAAACCGGAGAACCTACACACACACACACACGCGCGCGCGCGACGCATCAGGACATCTGTCTCTACTTGGTCGGTCGGGTGAACTTGCCGTGACACGTACATGTTGTAAGACAGGAATAGGTAGGTGAGGTTTCTCATGCCGGGGTAGTAGTTGCCGTCCCTTCCCCAGCCACCCCCGATGCACGGCGGAAGCGGGCCTGAGAACAGATTCCGCTCCAGCCGAAACCTGCACACACCGAGACACACACGCACACACACGTGTGGATGAGTGATTGATGGTCAGGGGGGTGAGGCGGGTGGGGTGGGCTCACTCGACGATGCTTGTGAGGTTGCAGATGGTGTCGGGCAGCTCCCCCTGGATGCGGTTGCCCTCTATGTTGAAGTCCGTGAGGGCGCCGCAGTTGCCCAGCGACTCGGGCAGCTCCCCAACCAGCATGTTCTGCTCAAGGAGCAACATCTTCAGCTTCGACTCGCGCCCGCTGCCCCTGCATTACATGGACACAGACACACACACACACACACACACCCCAGGGAGGGTGTAGCTGTGGGTGAGGACTGTTTTGTGTGTGTGTGTGTCTGTTGTGTGTGTGTACTTTGACGGGCATAGGTTTGGTTCGAGTGACGGGATAGGGCCGTCGAACCTGTTCCTCGCGAGGACAAGCCCCTGGCAGTGCTTCAGCTTGCCCATACTCTTGGGGAGCGGGCCGCCCAGACCTAAAGGACACACACGCGGAGACACTCGTATGTGTGTGTGTGTGTGTGTGTGTGTGTTATGTGTGTTAGTGTGGGAGAGGGGCGAGGGGCCGTACCTTCGGCGCCTTGCATGATGATGTAATAGGCGTCCCTCTCGCAGAGGATGGCGGCCCACATCGAACAGAAAGGCGAAGAGACGTTGAGTCGCCAGCCGGTCCACCGCTCCAACAGGCCAGTGGCGTTGTTGTGCGACAAGAGATCGAAGTAGAACTCGATGACCGACAGGCGGTCCTCGTCACACACGTGGCACCGCGCCCCGCACAAGACACAGTCCTTCGGGACCGTCACCGACCTAATCTCAACCCACACAGAGGCACACCCACAGAGAGAGAGTGTGGTGGGTCTGGTGGTCGGTGTGTTGCTGACCTGCCGGGCCAGACGGGCTGGTAGGTCCTGTTTCGCTCTCCCCGATCAAAGTTCCAGGTTCCTGTTTGTTTGTGTGGGTGGGTCCGCCACACGTCAGTGCTTGTGTGTCGACTGGCGTGTGTGCGTGTGTGTGTGTGTGTGTGTGGTTGCGTACCGTTCTTCCACTCGGCGGCTTCGATCCACTTGCCTTGGTCCCACCGGTTGTTTAGCACCACATACCGGCCCTCGGCTACACACACACACACACACACACACACGGGAGGAATGTGAGTACCACCATCGCATCGCATCCCATTAGTGTGTGCGAGAGTGTTAAGTGTGTGTGTACCCTCTTTGTCGCTGCCCAGGTGTATGGGCCCCGTCAGCCCTTCCATGTGGACGTCCCTCAACGCGTCCAGCAACACCTCACCTGAACACACGCACACACGCACACACACACACGCACACACGTGTGCCTGCACGTTTCCATGGTGCCTGTCTCTCTGTTCACCCAAGGGATTGACCATCCAGGTGGCCGGATCGGTGCTCGTCGGCTCAGTGAACGGAGGCAGCTCATCTGTGTACACACACACAGACACACAGACACACACAGACATTCATTTAACAATGCCCTCACTCACCGTCGAATCTTTTGAGCGCCTCGTCCACCCCTTTGGCTGCGAACATGGCGGCGTCGTACGAGTGCGCCACATAGTTGTCAACGCGACTGCGGTCGGCCTCAGACACGTTCAGGCGGTCAGCCAGCCTACACACACACACACACACAATGGACACTTGCGAACACACAGGTGGGAGGTGCATTATTGGTCAAGGATATGATATGTGTGTACGTGGCTCGAGTGTCGGTTCCGTTGGCTATGGAGGGGATGACGGCGAGGAAGCCGCCAGTGGCGTTGAGAAAGTCGGGGTCGGGCACTATGTCCAGAATGGTGTCCGTCCCAATCCTACACACACACGTGTGTGTGTGTGTTTGTATCCAGGCATCGCACGTCGGTGTCATCATATGGAGGGATGGATGGATGGCTACCGACCGACCATACCATGCGGTGCCTCTGTCGAGGACGCGGCTTTGTTCTGCCGCCCTGAGTATGGCGGGCAGCATGTCCTTGCTCACCGCCAGGATGAACACAGCGGCATCCTCACGGACATAGATCCCTAAACAACACAACCACGCCAACGCAGCAAACGATTGGTATCTATCGTGTGTCTGTCTGTGTGAGTTTGAGTGCGTGTGCGTACCCTCCAGTATTTCAACGAGCTCCTCTACAGGTCTGTCGCCCACTGCGTATCCCAGGGGGCTGATCTTGTATGAGGGCGCCAGGCTCTCAAAAGCCGTCTGGATGCCCTCACCTGCACACGCACAGCCAGCCATCGACAACACACCTACACACCCGCGCATCGCAGACACGTGAGTGTGTTCACTGATCACCGACCGTATCCGTCATTGGTGTGCAGAATGACGAGCCGCTCCCACTTGAAGTGCTGGCACATGTCCAAGATCACTTTCACTTGGAACACGTCAGACGGCACCAAACGGAAAAAGGCTTTATACCTGCAGCCAGCCGGGGGGGAAGCACACACACCAATGAGCGTACACAAAACAAGAGGGAACACTTTTGCTGCAGGGGTGGGCGGGGATGCATCTCATCTATCTATTTACCGGACGAGTGTCGGTGCGGTGGCAGTGGGCGACACGAGCGGTATGTGGAAGAAGCCGGCGAGCGGCAGGGCCGCCGCCGACATGCTGCTGCTCATCGGGCCCACCACTATGCTCACCTAATACACAGAAAGCAAGGCAACATCGGCGCAATGCTGTCACTCCGCCCTCCCGTCCTGACTCACCTCCTTCTCAATCATCTCCCGCACAGCCAGCAGCCCCCTGATCGAATCAGCCGTCGTGTCGCCCACCAGAAGCTCCACCTGCAGACGCAGACACACACACACACACACACGTACGTGTGTGTCCATGTTGATTGCTCACACACACGTGTGTGTGTGTGTGTCCATGTTGATTGTTCTCAGTGTGACTCACAGTGTAGTTGGTGAGAATGTCGGGGTCATTGTTGATGTCATCGATGGCCAGCCGAATGGCCGCCTCCCTCACCGTGTCCTTCTCGGCGTTCAGCAGCGCACCTGCACAATCACAAGCAAGCAACAGTCAAAATCACGATAGATGGACAGACAAGCAAACCACTCTCATTCAGTCAGTCACGATTGAGAAGTGCGCGCACCGAGGCGTATGGTGCTCCGCTGGGCGCTCGAGAGCCACAGGAGCGATAAGGCGCATAAGCAGACGAGAGATCTCATGCTGGTCTGCGACGGAAGGGCCCTGTGACTCAGGGGCTCATGCACATCGTCGCGCCAGCGAGATAATCGATGAGAGATGTCGATCAATGGCAGATGGGCACATCGGCGGCATGTGAAAGCCGCGCTGTCGTGTTGATGTCCCTTCTTCACTCCTTTATTTGACTGCGAGCTTCCTCTCATCCCCTGCGAGCTTAGAATTGGCTGAGAATTCAAGAGATTTGCTCAATGGCGTTGGAGATCTGAAGCCGCAGAGGCCGTGCTGTGGCCGACACGAACAACTGGCGAGAAGGGCTCCCGCCCAGAGTTTGTCTCGCTGACTTTCGAGCAGGGAGATTGTGGCGATGGGTGCGGGCGGCAGCAAGGCAGCCGCAGCGCTGCGGAAGCCGGGAGACCCTCTCAATGTCGCCGGTGAATTGCCACACCGTCATGGATCCATCCATTCATTCATCCACTGGGTGTGCGGTGACGCTGCTGTGCTGTGTGGGTGTGTTGCAGGTCACAAGAATGTTCACGAGGCCATCATAACTGAGCCGTCTCAGAAGGCGTCCAAGTACTCCATCTGCCGGTGCTGGAAGAGCGCCAAGTTCCCCATATGCGACAACACCCACCAGAAGCTCCAGAAACAGGGCATACAGTGCGGTACGTACGTGAGTATGTATCGACGAATAGCTAATGGGTGGACAGCCAGACGGACAGTCGGAAGGCAGGCGTCCGCCCATTGTGGGTGGGTCCCTTCTCTCTCTCTCTCTCTTCTCTCTGCGTGTCTGAAGGTCCGTGCATGTTGGAGGTGAAGAAGACGATAGTGACTGCCTCCACCATGGTGAAGAACACATCGGCGGGAGGGGCAGGTGCGAAGCTCATCACGGTCGGAGCGGCAGGGGGCATCGCTGCGATGACCGGTACGTATGATAGATACGGTTGGCAAGCATATGACGGCAGATGGACGGCCTTGCCTATCTCCCGCCCTCCTTGATGTGTGTGCGTATCTGTGTGCGTGTGTGTGTGTGCGCGTGTGTGTGTGTGTGTTGCCTGCAGGCACTGCGCATTGGATGGGCGTCATCTAGCATTGCCCCAACCACTCAGTGTGTGTGTGTCGCCGTGCCGTGCAGGTGTTGGCCTGCCTTTTGCGGTGAGGTGCTGTCAGTCTGTTCTTGACACAGCGAATGTAGTCCTGTAGCCAGCTTATTATGCGTGGGTGTTTCTAGCCTGCAACTGTCCCATGACCGATCTGACCGATCACACACATGACCCATCGGCTGACTTGCAAGGGGGAATGCAATCACACAAGGCATGGCATGGCAAAACCCAAACACAGACAGGAAGAAAGGGCTAACAGTCCGCAAGACACAGGTCAGCACTGACTGACCAGTCTGTCTGCCCTGTCTAATCTAGTCTAGGCGAGTTTGGTGGACCGATGCACACGTGCCCGAATGCCCTGATTAACACAGATGAATGACAGACACACCAAAGCAAACAAACATGCTTGTCGTCAGTCATTTGAGCAGTTAGTTAAACTGTGCTGTCGGGTCGGTTGGCATACCGTTTCCTCTCCCGCGTAAGTGCCGTCGGCAGCACCCTCCTGCATCGCACGGACCTGACCCTGCACACAACACACAACACACAACAGTCAGTAGGGCAAGCGCACCAACGTGGCTCTTTCTGGTGGGCTTGTTGGTCATTCATTCATCTGTGAGTACTCAGAGTGGTCAATCATATCATTGACTGACCTTTCTGCGTTTGAGCGCCTGGTCGTATTTGTATCGGTGTTTGACGCGGGCGTTGCCCTCGATCTTCTTCCGCTTGCGAGTGAGACCCTTGTTCTTCATTATCTGATACGTCGTACCTGCAGCCATCGATGTGCGCGTGGACACGCACACACATGCAGCAGATCTGCATGCCTATCTGTCTGCTCGCCTTGCGTACCTCTCTTGCCCTGTGAGGTCTCCTCGACGGCATTGATGTGCTGCAGTGACCTCTCCTTGAGCAGCTCCTTCTTGTGCACTTTCTTGGCCTTGTTGGCCCTCATCTGCTGAGCAATGATGTCGGCCACGTTGCCCCCCTCCTCCTCCATCTCATCCTCGCCGTCGTCGCCATCGCCCATCCCCACATCGACCTCGTCGGCGAACATCTGATAGATCCATCCACCCATCCATCCATCCATCCATGTGTGATGTGACGCGTGCTCACTCACCTGTGTGTCGGGGGTCTTGTTGTTCTGAGCCGATGTGCCACCATTGCGTTGCTGGAGCAGGAGGTCCATGGCTGACGCCTTGTCGGCCCTCTTGCGTCGCTCCTTGAAGGCCACATTCTCGTCAGCGCTTTTCTGCACCTTGCTGCGGTCAAGAGAACCCTTCGCCTGCACACGCGTTGGCATAGGCAGAGACACACATGGATGAGTGCACGGCACGGACGATCGGGCGTCGGCGTGTTTGCCTGTCGGGCGATGTTGAGGTACTGGGCCAGGGTTGGTTTCTTGCCGAACTTGGGCATGAGAGAGGGGTCATCTAGGTCGCCGTCGAGACCCTCAGTAGAGAACCTGGCCATCTCTTGCTCCGTTGGCTCGCGTGTCAGGTCCGGCTCTCTCGTCGATGGCAGATGCTCTTCGTCATTGGACAACGGCACCTGGATGGATCAAATTCGGCACAGACAGGTCAGCTGGTGGATGAGCTGAGGCTCTGTTCTCTCTGTGTGGACGGACGCCTGGCTGACCTCTTTTGTGGCCATCCTGCGCATGGCAGCCGCCACTATCTCACTCCGTTTCAACACACGAGGACCGTTGGCAGCCTGCCTCACGACACCACAGCACAGAATAGCATCGGTGGCACCCATCGTCCCTCCCCGAGGTACACAAGCCTCTTTCGTCCATGCGCACCCACACCCACCTTCGACGCGTTTGTCTCCCTCTGCGCCTTCCTGTCCGCTTCTCGCTTCTCGATGCTCTGTTGGCCATCATCATTGCCGCGCTTCTTGCCCGTTGCTGCTATCCTGAGCAGCGTGCTGATGTCCTTGTTCATGGCGTCGCCGCCCATCTTGCTGAGCTCTTCATCGAGCGTCCGCAGCTGCACCAGCCGCTCCACGACAGGGTGCTCCGTGATGCTCCTGCCCTCGCCCTTCATGGCCAAGTAATAGCAGAAGTGCAGGTGGTAACTCAGCAGCACCTGCGTCCACAACTCGATCAACTGCCGACCCTGAATGAACATACAACACGCACACAAGAAGCATCAGACACACACCAGCGGATGGATGTGGATGCGCACAGCTGACCTCGTGTGTGACAAGGGCAGGGTTAGCTCGGATGGCGTCCATGGCTGGCAGGAGGGTCGTCTGCAGGAGGTGAATCTTGTGCTTGAAGTCGGTGAGCAGGCCGACCATCTCGGGGTGCTCCTCCCGCACCAGCCGCCTCTTCTCGGCCACCGAAAGGCTCGCCACGTCCTTGCGGATGCGCTCCACGGACAGACCTCCACTCAGGTGCATCCCCGACGCAAGAGCCTCAAGCTCCTGAAAAAGACCAAACCACGCGGAAGGAAGGCAGATTGATGCACAAACAAGTGAGTGCAAAGCGGTGCGGACGGCCACGTGTTCACGTTTTGGACAGATTGTGCGAGGTTCTTCTCCTCGGCTTCATCTGGGAGCTCCCCGCCGGCCATCTCCTTGGCGAGAAGGTCCAGCTGGCCCGTCCCGATGTCCAAGACCTGACTCATCTTGGCGGCCCGCTGCTTCTGGATGAGCCTGGCCTCCTCCAGAGCACCCGCCTCGTCACTCTCCTCGTCGGACTCGTCGACGCCTTCGTGATCCAGCCCCTCGTCGTAGAAATCGCGTGCCTTGCGGCCCCAGGCTGCGCGGGGAGCCGTCCCGCTGTCGTCTTCATCCTCTTCCTGGTCTTCACCCTCGTCAAACGCATCGTCGCCGGCAAACTCCGCCTCTCGTTCTCGCTCGGCGAGCTCCCTGAGTTTGCGGGTGTCCTCGTCTTCATCCTCCTCTGCTATCAGGCCCATCAGGGCATCCATCGCGTGGGCGTACTCATCTGAACACAGTCGACCAGCCGAGAAGCACATGCTGATGTGAGCATGTGTATCATGTGTGAGAGATCTTTCTCAGCTGCGTACCTTCTCCGGCGTCCTTCGGATGAGTGTCATCGTAGATCTTCAGGCCCTCCTCCGCTGCCGCTTGACGCCTCTGGTAGTGCGCGTCCACCTCTCCAAGTCCGTACTTCTCGATGCCTGACGACGATGCCCCTCCTCTGCCACGCTTCGCCTTCGCTGATCTCTTCATCGCTTCTGTTCTGTGAATCAACAGCTGCCTCTTTCTTCCGTCTTTCCTTCTCCGATGCGAGCTAAACCTGCAGATGTTCTCGACGATTGACTCTCTTCATTCGCTCAGCGCCATGATGGCTCGCCTCGACCTGTGCTTCTTCAGCCTTGTCAGTCTGGTGGCTCTTTCACCCGGCAAATGTGGACAAACGCTCCCCGACAGGATCAATCGGCTTTCCAATCCCCTCCACAGCGTTCGAGATGCAGCCCGAATGATAAAGAGGCTGGCCAGCGTGAAGAAGAAACCTTCTGAGATCCTCCAAGCACCTGGTGAAGGATCGGGGCCCGTGCGTCGGCTGATGCGAAACCAGATGCGTGATCATGCAACGCGCCGAGCGGTCGATTCGGTGGGCAGGGCTCTCATGGGTCCAGGGCTGTCAGCCAATGGGCGGCTGCTTGGAGAGAAGAGGACAGGCAGCCGCCTCAGGGCATTCATCACCGGCAGCGAAGAAGATCTAAGGCAGCTACAGGCAGACGGCAGCACCAGCACTGAGTCTCCGCCGAAGGGCGATTGCCCAAGCCCCTGCATGGCCCACCCCATCGATGACCACTGCGTGCCCAACGCGACCGCCTTTCAGGACGACATTGACGCACTGACGGACGACGCAGTGAAAGGCGTTCTGGAAAGGATTGCCAAGTGCCGGGATGCCACGTCTCGAAGCGCACATGGCAATTGGTGCGGGCCTGACACATCGGACGACTGCGAATGGAACGAAGAAAACGCAGTGTGCGACCCGAAGGGCAACATCTTGGTAGTCACATACACAGCATGTCTCGGATTCTTGACATTTGTTCACCTACAGGTGCCTTTCTTCGGCCTTCCCTCATGTTGCCCGACCATTGACTGCCCCATCCATGGTGAGGGCGACCAAGCGGAATGCGAGGGAATCGACGGATGCAAATGCGTCCATGGTGACCAGGGAAGCAGCATGGGGCGTGCATGGCCAACTGGACTGCGGCCTATGAGGAGAAGCTTGTGGGCGTGAATGAGATGTGCAGACAATTTGCGCCCATATGGTCATGCGAGAGGCTGACGAGGGACGAATGCGACAAGGACTCGAGTAAGGAAACAAAGATGGTGGTCACTTGCGCGGTAGCGAAGCCTGTGTTTCTGCTTGCAGATTGTGCCTACGAGTCGTGGTTAGGATGTAAAGTGAAGAGTGCCCTTGAAGACGAGCTGAACGACATTCTGAAGGGCGCCCGCGATCTGTCGATCTGCGGCCCCCTTGTCCGCTGCCACAGCATCGGCTTTTCCAAGCAATACCAGTGCGAGGCTGATCTGGCCTGCGTGTGGACCAAGCTGGACAACGACCCGGGCGATATGGGTTTCTGTCACGCGCATCCCGCCGTCACTGTCGCCAATCCTGATCTTGTCAGCCTCGAGACTGAGAAATGTAAAGCGAAGCTTGGGTTTCACGTCGTCCCATGGCGATGCGGGAGAGAGCACATCTTTGCAAACGACAACGGGAAGACGTGCTTCGAGAATGGGGCGTGCACCTTGGTTTGTCCCGAATGGGGAGAGACCAGATGTGACAGCAATTGTAGGCCATTATGGACACAGCTGTATGCAATGCTATGCATTCTTCATGTGTTCATACTGTACATTGTGCACATGCAGATTACTTCCTTCTCGACACGGTAATTGGTCAAGAATTGCCGGCTGCATGTGAGAGAACAAAGAGACACAAGGACATGACAGCCTCACATGTGAGACACAATGTCAATTTCAGCTGATCTTGTCGACCGAATGGATGAATGCTTCGCTGTCGGGGACAAGATGTATGTGTACAACGGTGAGGTGACAGCCGAGGGTTGGTCCGAGCACGGCTCTGCGATCCGCGACAAGTGCCCCAACATCATCGACCCGACCACACTCACCGTCAACAAGGCCGTCGATCCCGTCAGTGAAACTATCGCACTCGCACAGACCGCTGCCGCATTCCAGCCGCCCAGCAAATGCAGCCCGAGTGACGGCTGCAGGGTCACACAGACTGGCGCGTGTGTGCCCGACTCTGCGAAATTGTCGTCACGCATTGATGCACTCGCGGACGAAGAGAAGGCCTTCCTGCAGAAAGAGTTGGACTGCATTGAGCTGGGGGAGTCGGCGTGCACTGGCGACTGCGAGTGGGACAAGAATGACCAACTCTGCCAGCTCTCTGTCAAGGTCGCAATCAAGCTGGTGAGCTCGAGATAGACGATATTAACGCCAATCCAAAGTGCTCTTGTCGTTTTCTCGTCAGGTGTTTGGGGTCGATAGCTGTGGCAAGGCATTTGACTGCGGCCTTTCCATTACACAAGAGGAGTGCAACGGAGACGAAGCATGCTATTGGGACGAGAGGAAGGCCGAGTGTCTCGTAAAATGGAGTTTCATTCGAGACATCTCTATCGGCACTGAAGACGAATGCACGGTTAGACATGACATGCATTCACGCAGAGCTTCCCGGTTGCAGACACATGTCATTTTGTATGTGACTCAGAAGTACAAGCCACTCATTGAATGCGGCGGGCTGACACCCGATGAATGCAAAACGGCTGACTGTAAGAAGCACAGTCGGTGAGAACGAAGCCTTGAACTTACTATTCTACTTGTTGATCAGATTGCGAGTACCGTGAAGAGGGTGATGGCAATTGGAGCTGTGATAAATAGGAGGCGGTTTATGAGCCCCTCTACAGGGAGTTCAGAAAGGAAAAAGCGGAGGACCTGTTCAAGTGTGGTCCGAACATTCGGTGCCCCTCGATGGACTACGAAAGGGTCAGCAACTAGTTCTGTCTCAGTGCCGAGGAAGCTACGTTTCCCGGCTCCCTCTTCTTTGGGTACAGAGCTTGTGCAATCGCGACCAAGGATGCTTTCACTCTGGAGGGGCCTGCGGCAAATGCAATCCAAACCCGATGGTAAGCATCCGCGAAAAGACATCAAGCGTCAGTCACAATTGGTCACCCGGCTGGCTTCGTTCAGGCGTTGTTCGGCCATCCAGATCTTTTCGATGTGTCGAATGAAGCCTGCAGTCGTCTGCTGGGTGCATTCATTATGCCTTTTCTTTGCTACACAGAGGTGCGAGAACAAAGAAGCGTCTCTCTCCTATCGGGCATGACGTGTTCTATGTCTCCATCTGTCTCAGCATCTGAAAGCTCGTGATGACGGCGAGACATGCCTGCACAATTCAGCATGTCAGCTATGGTGCCACACAGAAGGGAAAGAGCTGGAGTGCCACGGCAACGGTGAGCAGAACCGTCGATCGGCACGAGACATATGGTTGACGTCTTGCCATTTCTTGCTGTCAGAGGAAAAGCTGCAGGACGAGATATTGCCCTTCAGCAAAGATGCGAGTAAGCTCTCCCACACACCATGGCCCTATGGATGCACATTGGTGGGCGTCTGATGCAGGGGACCTGCAAGCCGAGATGGAGAGGTGCCTCGATGTATATGACGATACTGCCGATGAGGAAGTAAAACAAGGCATCCTCCTCAACGACAACTACGCTGAGGCGAAGGATGTTTGCGGCATAGTCGCCGACCCAGGGACAATCACGCCGGACTCTGACTACGAACAGGCGCTTTCCAGGGCCATGATGGCGGCCTCCGAAGCTGGCGAGTATCAACCTTCGCCTGCCTCTCTGCAGTGTGAGGCACAGATCGCCGCAGAAGCCGGGGCAGTTACCGCAGGACGGGATCTTGCTGCCCTTCATCTTGGTATTGCTGTGCTTTTCCTTTCGGTGTTTGTGGTGGCGTGAGGATTTCTTGTGCCGTGAGACTTGTTGTGGATATGCAGTGTGTCATTTGTCAGTGAGGCTCGGCGCCGAGCCTCACTGACACCATTTAGCGTGAGACACGAACAGCTTCAACTATGGTTTCAAATTGTCGCCGTGATGTCTCGAGCCAAGCGACAGATGCAAGATCTGGACGAACGCGGATTAGATCGCAATCTGAAAAATCCGTAATCACCACCACCCCAAAAATCCGTTTGCGATGATGGCGCGCGTCGTGCTCTTCGGCCTCCTTGCCCTCGCGGCCTTCACCACCGTGCGGCCAGACCCCCTCGAACAAGCCATCATCCGTACGCTGCAGAGCAGCGTGTACAGTCCATCGTCCGATGTTTCTGACCCACTTGCAATCATCCGCAATGTGAGTGCAGTCCTGGTTTAATTGGGCACACTCTACACATTGAATTGCATTTCTTTCGATGCAGGCAACCAAAGCGGTTCGGGAGGTAGTCAAGAGCAAAATCACTGGCCTGCACCGACGCCGCCTTCACGGCCGTCGGCTATCGGCTTCACGAAGGGTCCTGATGCCCGACGCAGCCAGGGATGCCCTCGCCCGCATGCGCAATGGGACCCACTTGAAAGAGCTCCTTGACTCCGTGAAGGGAGCGCTGAAGCGGTCGCCAAATGGCAGACGTCAGCGCCGAAGAATGCAGATGGGACCTCATGGTCCTAATCCGCTGTTCGCCATCCACAACGACACACAGGATGTCAAGGATATCATCAAAAGCAGACTGGGGGGGGTGGTGCGGAGATTGCACTCTGACTACCTGCTGGACAGTCTGGACGGCATGAATCTCACGGACGCCGTCAAGGAACAGATCAGGAGCACAGTGCCTTTCACAAGGAGGCGGCTGCAGAGCGGCAACGCAACCACCACTGCCCCCACGACCACACCTGCCCCAGCCAGTCCATGCCAAAGTCCCTGCAAAGCCAACTCTCTCGACGAGTGTGTGCCTGACATGTCCGCCTGGAAGACCGAGATCGAAGCCATCACCGACCCCAGCCTCAGGCGGCTGCTTAACGACACTGCGTACTGCCGCGAGGGCACATACTCGTGGGGATCCTGTGCCGACAGCACCAAGTGCGAGTTCAACGAGGACGACAAAGGTGTGTCAGAGTGTAGAGGGTAGAATTCACTCATCATTAACACACGACGTATGAATGGTCTATCTTTGCCGTTTCTGCAGTTTGTGACTGGAATGGGAACCTCTTGACGCCTCTCCGTCACATGCAGTGCTGCCATTAATTCATGGACCGATCGTGCGGAACTGCAGGAGTGTGTGTGTGTGTGGACGATCGAAGCCAATGCATGTCATTCATTTAAGGTCAATGAAACTCATCCAACACTCAATCTGTACACACCACGACGACCCGGTGCGCCGTGGAACTCACCAACACGTGACCACACATCTGAAGAGCGGGCCACCGTGTTTCACAGACACAAACCAGTGGCCGCATGTCAATCAACCAAGTCTGACTCGTCTCTCGTCTCGTCCATCCATCCACACACAGTGCATAACAAGCATCTCCCGGGCGGTGAATTTGCTAGCAAAGAAAAGCACCAGTGTGGATACGTCCAGTACGCATACCAACCCGCTACACATGGTCCACAGCTCAATCGAACCCGTCCTCGTCAGCGTCGTCATCAGTAGAATCCCTCCGAATGCAGCTCAGCCCGACATCCACGCACCTGTCGGGTGGGGGGGCTGGTGTCCCGGGCCGCCTGTGCCGCCACACTAAAGCCTCCCCACGTGGCCCTCTTTCAGTCCGCTCAAAGGTCCGGCTCTTGGGGATGTCGTCCAGGCGATCATTCCCCTTCAGGCCAAGATCGCCCAGCCCCTCTCTCTCAGCCAGATGCACCAGCACCCGCAGCGTAAAGCCGCACCCTTTCTGGCCGGCCCCGGCCGTGTGGAAGCACAGCTCGATGACGTCGACCACCCACTGCACGACTCCAGCCTTGAGAGCCCTCATGGCGCCCGGGTTGAGCACCTGGTCACCCCTTGCAGACAAGGGAATGACCGCCTTGATCTCCCGCGCATTGGTCGAGCGGCAGTGAGGTGGGCGAGTGGAGTTGGCCGCCACCCACTTGCCCATCTCACCGTCCCGCTCACGAATCCTCTTTTTAAGTGTGAAAAGCTCCCATCCGCCGAATGCGAAACCGACCCGAGTAAGTCAGCGTGAAGATGTGGGCATTCTCAATGGATGGAGTGCTGGTTGTCTCCGCAGGCTGTGAGTGGTCAGGCGATACTTGCCGAGCCAAGCGGCAAATCGCTGACGAACTTGAAGAAAAGCTTGACGATGCCCGGGATCTGTCGATGTGCGGCCCATTTGTACGCTGCCAGAGCATCGGCTGGTCCCTCGAAGCCACGTGTGTGGCCGACAAGGCGTGCGTCTGGTACACACAGACCGACTGGAATGGGTGGGGACCCTGTGGCACCAATGAAGTACTGGTGGTGGCCCATCCTGACCTCGTCACACTCGACACCGACAAGTGCAAGGCAAAATTAGGTGACACCGACATGTGTGTGCACACGACTGTGCAGCTCTCCATTTGCTGTAGGACTTTACGTCACCCCTGGGGAGTGCGACCGGATCGTATGCATATGCGGGGGATCGAGATCGACTAATGTGTCTCCCTCCTTCTCTCTGTCTGTCTGTGGCTGCAGCACGGAAAAGCGGGAGACAACGGAGAGACATGCTATCAGAACGGCGCATGCTCGCTCGTCTGCGAGGAGTGGGGTGGCTCGAAGCCGAAATGCCAGGCAAACAGTAAGCTGGTCTCTATGTTTGCCTTTCTACACTGCAACACAACTCCTTCCCTTCTGCTGCTGCGGACTGCGTCAGGCACACGTCTCGTTCACGGGCTCGGGGGCGCTGAATTCTCCGCCGGAGGTAGGTGGAGAAACAGCCACAAGGACAGAGACAGACGAGAGACACTCCTTCCTCGGCGTGTGATGATGATGGTCAGCTGCGCTTGTCGAGGAGATGGACCAGTGCTTCGACAGAGACGACCAGGAGCACGACTACGAAGAGGAGGTGACAGCCGAGGGTTGGTCCGAGCACGGCTCTGCGATCCGCGACAAGTGCCCCAACATCATCGACCCGACCACACTCACTGTCGACACTACCGTCGATCCCGTCGCAGTGGCAATTGCATTCGCACAGACGGCCGCAGCTTTCCAGCCGCCCAGCAAGTGCGACCCCAACAATGGCTGCAAAGTCACACAGACCGGCGCGTGTGTGCCCGACTCGGCCCACTTCGCGGCACAGGTGGAGGCCCTGAGCGATTCAAACGCCAAGGCTTTCTTCATGAAGAGTCTGGAGTGCAACAACATCGCGAATGAAGCCGACTGTGCGGGGGACTGCGAGTGGGACAGCGACGAGGAGTCCTGCAATCCCACATTGATAACCGCACTGAACCTGGTAATAAGTGGGAGAGACAGACACTCATCAACCACTTGTCTGTATGCATGTTTTTCCCGCCAGCTGTACGGTGTGAGCAGCTGTGGCCCTGGGCTGGACTGCGAGCTGGCCGACACCAATGAGACGTGCAAGGCCAACAGTGCGTGTTGGTGGGACGACAGCGACCAGGTGAGGAGTGGAGAAATCAGAACGGCAAAAGAAGGCACACTGCAAACCAACACACCAACCACACCTGGTCCCAGGAGTGCCACCTGAGATGGAGCTTCATTCGCGACTCGGTCATCGGCACTGACGCAATCTGCGAGGTATGTTCGTTGAAGACGCAGAACAAACAAAAACCCATGGACAGATTGAGGACCATCTCTGCTGTGTGTGTATAGAAATACGCTCCTCTCTACGAGTGCGGCGAGCTGACACCCCAAGAGTGCAAGACGACTCCCTGTAAGTCGTGTCTCTTCACCATGCAGCCACGGAATTTTGATGCATGAATGGCCACACATGAGTGCTTACGTACGCAGACTGTCTTTACGAAGAGTACACTTGGGGCGACTGGAACTGTCGTGCGATGGAGAACGTCACCAAGGCGCTCCAGAAAGAGTTTGACAAGGAGAAGCCCGAGGATCTCCGATTGTGTGGACCGATTGTGAGATGCCCCTCAATGGGCAACGAAAAGGTTACACAGCCAGAAACCGTGTGTGTCATGGTGCCTCTGCATTGAGTGACTGGACGTTTTATGTATGTATGTATCTACGTATGTATGTATGTATGGTGTGCAGAGTCTGTGCAATCGGGACAAGGGGTGCTTCCACCTCAGCGAATGGTGCGGCGCCTGCACCACATCGCCACTGGTACCACACACACGAACACATGATGGGCCGCATCCCCGGTCCGTTCGTTCAGGCACTGCTGGGTCTCCCAAGCGTGTTTGACCTGTCCAACCCCGGCTGCAAGCGCCTCGTGGGCTCCATGATGGTCCCGGGACAATGCGGCATCGACGTAAATGACCACTCCTCACTGTCTCTCTGTGAACATCGTGTTTGTATGTCTATTAATGCAGCATTATTTGGCAAATGATGACGGCGAGACATGTCTGAGCAACCCTGCCTGTACACTGTGGTGCAGCGGATACAGCAACGAGACAGAGTGCCGATCTAACGGTAGACTGTGAGACACATGGATGGATGGATGGATGGATGCGTTGATGCCGGTCGTGCTGCATGTCTGCTGGTTGCAGACACGGTCATCTCAGAGAAGGCCCTCGGGCTATCGCAGGCAGCCAGTAAGTACAAACACACCGGCACCGATCGACAACAGAGCAACATTCGTGTGCCTGCGCGTCCATGTGTGCAGATGAGCTTGAGAGACAGATGTCCACCTGCCGCGAGGCCTATGACGAGGACTACTCGCAATGGGGAATGACCGACGCAAAAATGATGGCCGTCAACGGGGCCAACGCCACCGAGCTGGACCGCGCCACGGCCCACTGCGGCACACTTGCCAGCCCCAACACCATCACGCCGTCGTCTTATGATCAGGTGCTGGCGGCCACGACAAGTGCCGCACAGCAGGCGGGGACGTACCAGCCGACGCCGGAGTCGCTGCAGTGTGAGGGGCAGCTGGTTGACGGGGCGCGCATGTGGCCGGGCCGCTGCTGGATGGCCATGGTGTCCTTCTCGCGGCATTCGTGACAATGGCCTTCCTCTTCTTCTAGACAGACGACCACTGACCTGTGTGTGTGTGTGTGTGTGTGTGTCCATGGAGGGCGTTGGCCGAAGCGGTTGTGTTGTCGAATTTGAGGCAAAGCCCTCTCTCTCGTGTGTTGTTGTGTCTCTGCTCTGTGCGTCGATTCAATTCACCCACCTGTCGATCTCGACTCACAGGTGCACATAAATGCTTACACACGCTAGCTTAATTGACGCATCACGGACAGACACGCAGGCAATATTCACACGCAACCTACCTAACCAGCCGCCCCCCCTCGCTCGGTTAGGTTATCCCCCCTCCCCTTTGGTCTCGGCGGCAGCTGCCTTCTCGACACGCCCGTTGATGGTTCCATGCGCCCTTGACGTCACCGCCGCTTTGTCAACCTTCTCTTCCAACTGACACACACACACACACTCTCTTATTGTCTGCTCGTTTCCCACCTCGAGGGCTCGTGAGTACCTGAATTGCCCCGCCCCTCTCGGCCTTCAGGTGCTGCCGGTTGTGCGCTGCCTTGGTGTCCAGTGCGGTCTCATAGACAATTAGGACAGCCAGCGCCGCCAGTGCGAGGGCCGCAGATGCGAAACCGATGCTGCTAAAGCCGTGCTGCTTAAGCAGGAAGCCCCCAAGGGTCGGGGCGATCAAGCCACAAGCGGATCGTGTCGCATGGCCGAGGCCGATGACGCTGCCCTGCCGTTCTGACGGGACGATCTCGGTGAGCAGGGCCGTACTGACGGTGTAGATGGTGCTGGTGGCGAAGCCCAGCGGCAGAATGAGCACAAACAGACTGGCGAGGCTCCACACGTAGGCGTAGCCCACCATACAGGCCACCAGGGTGCAGGTGGCGTACAGCAGCATCGACTTCTCGGACGTCAGCGCCACTGCCCAACCCTGCACAGCACACCACAGCACAGCACACACCATATAAGATAGATACGTGTGTGCACATTGCGGACACATCCAGGCCGGGCGGGCAGGCCTCTGTGTGTGTTTATGCTGTGCTGACCACAGTGAATGAGTTATGCAGTGTGCCGAGGGCGGCGCTGTATGTCAGCACATAGCCCAGCTCACTCGGACGCAGCTGCAGCCTACACACCACACACAAACACACACACACACACACACACACACATACACACACACACACGGAGAGAGAGAGAGGGAGACGTTGACAGATAGACCACGCGAGTGTGTGCTTTCATTTGATTCATCAATGGGTACTTACTTGTCGGCAAGCGCCATAGAGAGAGTGCTGTGGAAGACGGCGAAGCCCATGCCGACGACCAGCTTGAACAGCAGGAGGGCGCTGACAGACGGGATGCCCACCAGGTGGGAGAATGCGGCCCACACACCTTCAGAGGCGCCGCCCTTTTTGTCCTCCTGCTCCTTGCTGCCCACATCCACGTCGCTGCCCGCCTTCTTGTGTGGCTGTCTGTGTGTGCCGGACGGCAGACACGCACCGTCAAGCACACCGAGGGCGAGCGTGATCACACCTGTCAGCAGTAACGAAACACAGACGTCTGTCTGTATGTGTGTGTGTGTGTGTGGATGAATCCACATATCTGTCTGTCTGTCTGTCTGTGTGTGAGTGCCTGATGTGAGAGCCACAGGTCCGTAGCCGATGCGCTGCGCGAGCAGCCCACCGGTTGACGAGCCGAGCACCATCCCGACACCATAAGACAAAGAGAGCCTGCCTATCGCCGCTGTGCGGTCAGCTGTGGTCGTGTAACTGGCCATGAAGGCCTGACACGGAGGGACATATAGATAGAGGACAATGCATTCAATGAGCAGACAGACATGCCGCCCGCCCGGCTCTCGCGTCGTTCGTTTCGCCGGCCCCTCACCTCACCTGTGCGACCTGCATGCAGTGCATGAGGGCCGTCGGTATCCTGGACACGAACAGCATCAAGGGCGTCCGCGACAGCCTGCCCACCGGTGGGCACACACAACACACACACGCGCGCGAACACACACATGGCATGGTGTTCCGTGAGGTCACAGTCTGCTGATTGTGTCTGCTTGTTATGTTACCCAAGGATGACATATGAGAGGCCGCTGGCCATCTGCGTGACCACCATGGCGAATCGCGGAGAGGCCGCGTCAGACATGCGCCCCACCCATGGGCCGCCGATGAGCTGCATCAAGGAAAAGACCGTCTGGAAGCCACCTGCGCACACAACAAACAACCACAAACAGCGTCACGGATGGGCGGATAACGTCGTGCATTGCCAAGCACACACACCGAATGCGACAGCGTCTGCGCCGAGTTCCTTCATGAGGAATGGCAAGACTGGCTGACACAGCCAGTAGCAGAAGGCATAGAGGACAATGTTGAGGTGCACGAGCAGCAGCACGGGCAGCGCTGAAGGCTCAGGAGCGAACGCGAAGCGGCACAGGGCGCTGTGCAGCGTGTGAAGCGCCTTCATCTTGATTCTGGCTCGTGAATGATCGATGTGATGGAAATGCGAGCGGTTGTGAACTCATATAGGGGATGATCTGCACCCTTAAGCTCGCATCAGTTGGACACGCGGAAAATTGCCCGTACTCGTCATCCCTTGACGCCGCTATGAGCTGATTCCGCCTCGGCAGGCCAGATCTATCGGCTCTTCGGCTGCGCGTCGGTGTGCACCCGGCCCGGAAGCGCATCATGGCTGACAACGAGGAGATGGCGACGGAGGAATCCGCCCCTGCTGCTGCTGCTGTGGCTCCCTCGCTGCCCCTGTGTGAGCTGGAGGCCGCCCTGGGTGTCGATGTGCAGGGCATGACCAAGCAGGCCTGCGATAGACTCAAAATGCGACGTAAGTGAAGTGAAGTGGGCGGGAATGGCATGGCGCAGATCTGAATGAGGTGAAGATGGTCTGTGGTGGATGGGGTGATTCCGGTGTGTGTGTGTGCAGTGGGAGTGGTGATGGATGAGTTTGACCGGCACATTGGCAAGTATGTCAAGAGTATGCCGCCTGAGGAGCTCAAGAAGGTACGTACACACATTGGTGGCATCGATGGGATGGATGGATGGATTTTGTGATTGGCGCATGCAGCGTTGTGCGGCCATCCGGGCGTTCCTCCAGGACCACCTTGACGCCTCCCTCACCCTGTTCAAGGTATGTATGTGCACTGGACTGGAGTCCATCGCTCCCATCGATCCACTTGTGTGTGGATGTGTGTGTGAGTGCTGGCTGCAGAAGCATCTGTTTGAGCACATCCTGCAGTACCCCCTGCACCTCCCAGCAGCCATGCAGAAGCACGACGCACGGCCCGGCGTCCACGGTGACCATGACCCGCCTCCCACACTCGTGTATCGCCCGGGCATCGCCGACGAAGGACACCACCACCACCACCACCAGCAGCTGCAGGAGGGGAACGGCAACGGGAATGGTGAGAATGGGAGCGGGAGTCGCTCGGGGCGGACGTCTGGTAGTCAGAGTGTGGGCGCACGGCTCATCGTGGCCTTAGACAAGGTACGCAGGGGGCGGTGGGTGGTGGTCGATGCGTGGATTAGTCGCTCTCTCTCTCTCTCTGTGTGTGTGTGTGTGCGTGCGTGCGTGTGGACAGGAGGTGGTGGCTATGGTTGAGAGGGATGGGTTTGACGAGGTCACCAAGACCGTCAAAAAACAAGTCAAACAGGAAATGGACACACACAACAAGGTAGGGTACCCACCACAACCACACACACCCGCACACACATGGAGGTCACCTCATAGGACCACCACACTTGCTTCCGACCCCCCGCCCTGTGTCTGTCAGCTGTCGAGTGAGTTGCGTCGAAAGGAGTGTGCCTTGGCGGCTTACAAGGCCACCGATAGCAGCCGCAAGGACATGCTGGAGCAGCTCAATAGCATCACAGAGTACCTGCAGACACGTAAGCACCGAATGATAGATGTGATTGGGGATGGATGGATGGATGGATGCCGGCACCCTTAAGCATATGTCATCCCTGTGTGTGTGCCAGATGATATGGGAGATGGTGGTGGTGATGGTGATGGTGGTGGTGGTGGTGAGGGCGCCATGCCCATGGCCCTGCTGCAGCAGCTGCAAAAGGCCACAGAGAAAATAGTACCCACACACCACCTAAACATCTGGGGCTCCGACGCATACACACGTACTGCACTCAAAATTCCCTTCTCTGTTAGGGTGAGGAGTTGCGTCTGATCCGTGCGGGCCAGGCGGACCAGGAGCTGTTCAACCAGCAGCTCGACGCCACACAGGCCGCACTCGTACAAAACATACATAAGAACACACACACACACATGCACACGAGATGCGTGTGTGTGTGTCTGTCTGTCTGTGTGTCTGCCGTGCAGGGCAGCGAGTCGAATGTGCTGCGATCGCTGGTGCAGCAGCTCCAACTGGACCTAGACACAGACACCGAGGGTGAGCGAGATGACATGCATGTGGCAGAGGGGGAGGGGATGGGCGGGTCGGACACACCACCGCCAGCAGTACCAGCCGCTGCTGCAGCAGCAGCAGCAGCGGCTGGCGAGGAGCGTGTGTCGCCCAACAAGTACGGCAAGCGCCTGACGGAGCCCCCCGACCAGAACCAGCAGCAGGGCGGGCAAGGTAGGTACTGTATTGCATTCACGGCCATGCCATGGGCTGCATATGCATGTGTGTGTGTGCTGTTGGTCAGATGAGTGCGGGGAAGGTGATCCCAAGTCGGCGCGCAAGACCGTCCCCGCTATGCAGTAGACAGACAGATAGACAGATAGACTGACGGGGTGGGGTGGGGTGGGTGCGTCGAGAGTGACTGACTGACTGACTTGATGAATGGAATGGATGGGACTCTGTGCTGTGGGACGCACGGACATGTAATGATGATTCAACCAGCGAATGTCTGTCACACAATACCCATGTCTGTCTGTCTGTCTGTCTGTCGGATAGAAAGACTTTGTCCGTAGACTCGTCCATCGATGATCGATCGGTCAAGGAAAGGACCCCTCCCCTCCATCCCTCTCCCTTTCTCCCTTTCACAAGCCATACGACACGGACGGAACACAACTAGTCTCGGTCGCACCACATGACATGTGTCCCTCCCCACTGTGTGGGTCGATGCACGAGCAAATCATGGCACGGCGGCATGCATGGCACGGCACACAGACAATATGGAATGGGCACCCGAAAGATGCGCATCCAGGCACACCAGACAGAAAGGAACAAGCCATTCTTCATTCGTCATTCACTCGGATTTTCCCCCTTCTCCTCGCACACTCCCTTCTCCGTGCTCTCCTCAGTATCCTTACTGTGCTCAGTGCGTTCAGCAGCGGCCTGTGGCAAGAAGTCCTCCAAGTCCACCAGCTTGGGCTTCACGAGGATGTCCGTCTCCCGCGCCTCCTCCTCAGTCACCTGCCCTCTCTGCAGCCTGTCCCAGAAGTCTTTCTGGCTGGCCGGCACTGGAGGCGTCAGCACCTTGACAGGGTCGTCTTTGCTGGCGCCGACCGACGCCAGTGCCACATCCACCAATGCCGTCAGATCCACCTCAGTATTTTCGTAGGTGAGGTCAGTCACGTCATAGCCCTCCCTCGCGAGGCCGGTCTGCCGGTTGATCTCCGCCAGGTAATCCTGGGCGGTCATGTCGGGGCGATAAGGCACCTGGGCGTACTGACATTTCCACGGCTGACGACACTCGACGACACACAGAAGACAAGACAAGACGCCGTGTAAGTCTAGCTCTATCATGCAAGACGACAGCGGGCGATTGGCTGACCTTATCGCTGCGGCAGGCTGAGACGTACTTGGACGGCTGTGCGGGTGTTTTGTCGCCGCCCTGCTCGACCGTATCCAGATCCGTGCGCTGCTTCTTGGCCGGCGGGCCGTCGTGTGCTGCACTCGAGGAGGGATCAACAGGGCTGGTGGCATCGCCACTGGCAGCGGCCATGTAGATGGTGCCTCGACAGCGACGCGCAGTCTTCGACGACACCTGACGGACGGGAGATGATAGGACGGGCAGACGGCGGCTGCCGGGGAGGAACGCCGTCACTTGCACAGGCAGGCACACGTGCAGCGAGAGAACCAACACCGCTGCAGCTGAGACAGAGTGAGCCAGCGCCATCGAGAAATGAATGAATCTTTCGTCCTCTCTTCGTGTTGCGACAGAACAGTTCATTTCCCTCACCTGTTAGCGAACGAACGGAACTTGCTGTCGGCGACCGATCATGTGCGAGCTGAAAGCAAAAGCTCGCCGAGATCTGACGGGCCTCCCAAATGCGACGTCTTCGCGGCCTCATCCGGCATCTTGGGATCCCTGGGTCGGCGGCGCAGGCGCATGGCCTGTCATGCGAGGCCACCACATCAGCTGCAGCAGGTGTGCCGGCGGGGCGGCGGTACCTGTCGAGTGCGGTGAAGGAGATGGAGACCATCAATGAGGGCGACGCCCCTGCACTGCTGACGGGTGAGCTGAACCTCACGCAGCACCCCAACGGGCTGATGGAGTTCGTCCTCAACCGGCCCAAGGTCCTCAATGCACTCAGCGTCGACCAAGTGTGAGTGAGCGACGGAACGCTGCACTCCCACAATGGGAGCAGAGGAACCACACAAAGGGATGAATCGAATCGACAGACCCATGTGTGAGTGTGTGTGTGTGTGTGTATGTGTCAGGGCGTGCATCGGCGAGTACTTGTGGATCCTTGACCACAAGAGGGGCAAGGAGTGCCAGGCCATCCTGATGCGCGGCGAAGGGCAGAAGGCCTTCTGTGCGGGCGGCGACGTGCGGCGCATGGCCGAGGGCGAGGCCGCCTACAGCGTCCGCTTCTTCAGCCGCGAGTACCTCATGGACTACCGCACCTCTCAGCTCAAGAAGCCCTACGTCGCTCTGTGGAATGGCATCGTCATGGGCGGCGGGGTGGGCATATCGGTCCACGGCAGCTACCGCATCGCCACCGAGAAGACCATGCTTGCCATGCCTGAGGGCAACATCGGCCTCTTCCCGGATGTGGGTGCCTCACACGCACTGGCGCCGCTCAAGGGCTTTGGGCTGTATCTGGGACTCACGGGTGCGCGGCTGAATGGCGCTGACGTGTTGAGGCACGGTGAGATTACCTACTAAGCTGGCATCGTGCACTGCATGTGACAGACGGTCATGTGTGTGTGCGTCTGGTCGTAGGTTTGGCGACGCATTTTGTGCCATCGGAATCGGTGGAGTCGCTCATTCAGGAATTGAGAGAGGTACGTGCAGACACTGGCTGGGCTGGCTCACGTGTGTATCGTATCACACGTGCGCTGCGGTTCCCCTCATGTGTGCAGGCGCCGCTGGGTGACTGCGATGTGGGTGCAGCCCACCAAGCCGTCAAGACACTGCTGGCGTGAGAAACCACACACACCACTGACAGCACGGAGAGAGCGTCTGATGATGTAGTTGAGTTGCTGTTTGTTTGTGTCTGTGCCTGTCAGCAAGTACGGCAAGTCCCTTGACGAGGTCGCTAAGACGCTGCCGCCATCCGTCGACCAGGAAGCCCTGTCAGCTGTGGATCAGGTGATGTCCCCCCCGTCTGCATCGCTCTCTGAGGTCATGGGCCGACTCAGGGAGAGAATCGGCTCATCACAGGGGCAGATCAAAGACTTCCTCCAAAAGGCGGGTGGGTGAATCGCTTGGGTGGCAGGGCTCTGTGCGGAAGGCAGGCCCACACACGCTCTTGTTTCTGGATTGGCGTTGACTGATCAGAGTCAGCCATTCGCGCCAAGTGTCCCATGTCGTGCGTCGTGTGGCATCGCCTCTTGAAGGAAGTCACAAGTGAGCAACGCCAACAAAGCGCAACACCGGCAGAGCCCAAACACACACAGACGCGTGTGTGTGTGTTGGTGTGTGTGTGTGTGTTGGGGTGTGTGTGTGTTGGTGTGTCAGAGCCTGACGGTAGTGTGATCGATTTGGCTGACTGCCTGCGTTTTGACTTCGCGCTCGCCCAGGCCATGACCGTACACGACAGCTACAACTTCAGAGAGGTACGCGCTGCGCCATCCGTGTGATGGCGCATCTCTGCCATCTGTGGCGTGCTCTGCGATGCCGTGCAGGGTGTGCGTGCGGCTCTGATCGACAAGGACCAGCAGCCAAAGTGGCAGCCGCCCACCATCGAGGACATGGAACATGACACACAACGAATCGACATGTACGCAGCCGACAGACAGACAGATAGACAGACAGACAGACAGACAGAGAGCGAGAGAAGCCAATGTGCAACGTGCCCGTCCAGTCCTGGATGGATGTGCCGGATGGATGGATGTGTCTGTCTGTCTGTCTGTATCTATGTGTGTGTGCAGGCTGTTCCAGTGTCCGCAGGGAGAGCGGCTCGACGATGTGGTTAAGATGTGATTGATGCCACACAAACGGGCCCATCTATCTATGTGCGGCTGTCGTCGGTCCCGTGGGTCGCCTTTGTCTTGTGACCTAGCTACGGTTTGTTGATGCCTGACATTTTGTCGTTTGGTGCCCCATATCGATCGAATTCTGATACACGATGCGTGGCTCACGCAGCGAATTCGTCGGTGATCTCTCTGGCTTGACGTCCTGCCTCTGAGATTGCCGGCAGGTCCGCTGAGTGAGCCACGCACGTGACAGAGCGAGTCAATCGACAGACATGTGCTGACGAGAGCATGGGACGTGTCGAGTCGAATCCAATCGGAAGTACCGCATCAGATTCTATGCATTCATTCATTCATCCATCCATCCATATAAACACGTGTGTCTGGGCACGTACAAAGCACACATAAACACTACTATTGTCCTTACACACACACACCCGCACCCCACAGCTGTCCTGCCCATCCCTCAAGCGACAGCCCTCTTGTCCATCTGTCTGGCCTTCTCAACTTGGTACACCAGCAGCCCAAAGGCCACGACGGTCACCACGCCCATCAGCCCCGACGGCAGGAACACCCGACTCCTCGCGAACCGAACCGTGAAGAAAATGGTCAGCAGCAGCTTCACCGCCATGGCGAACTGGAGCCACCCTGTGCGGGCTGTGGCCATGGCCATTACGCCAGATGCGGTCAGGAGGGTGGCGAAGACGCTCGACATGGCGATGGAGGGGATGGACCCCTCGCTGACATAGCCCGTCACGCCGCCTGCGAGCACGATCAGTGCAAACACGATGATGATAGCGCCGCCGAGCCTGTGCGGTGATGCCGAGGCCGCTGCCTTGGCCATATCGGTGCTCGCGGTGCTGTTTGTTGTTTATGTCGTGGCGTGTGTGCGGGGAGCGGCTTCTTTGACCTGTCAGACAGCAACAACGTAGAGAGTGATGAATGAATCTAACACGCAGGCTCATATGTGATGATTACGGACTGACCTCGGTCCACGAGTGGCTGCTCCGGACCTCCCCTCTCTGGAAGCAACAAAATGGAGGGGAAATTGATGAGTGGAACTGTTCAGGCGTGTGAATCCCAGCTCCTTGCCCCCTTCTTTCCCCGGCAACCTTCTTTCTCTCTTTTGCGAGCTTGGCTAAAGGTTCTCCTCCCCTCCCTCCTCGCCAGATCTGTCAGAAGTGCAAGTCGGTTCAGGGTTTAGGGTCTAGGGTTCATAGACCGACGATCCACTGATCTGTGAGACAGGACGGCTGTTGAGTCTTTGTCCGTTCCATGAGACAGGCCATGGCGGACAGGACGTCA